ACACTATATTATAGTGTAACCCGTGCCTACGGCCGGTACTTCAATGACAATATTGCAGTTGAATTGCATAAATATAATAAACAGTGCAAAAGTTGGAACGGTGCAAAAGTATGAACTCGCTCAGTCGAAACTGGCCGCATTAGAGTAAATTTAATTCTGAGCGCCCAACACGTATCCAATGGTAATACTTAATAGGCTCCACTGCCAGTGCCAAATTAACTAATTATTTACTAATCTGTAATTTGGGGAGCTGTAAATGAGGAGAGAGAGTGTGTGAGAGAGGGGGCGAAAAAGTTAGACACTTTAATATCATATTTGGGGTACGAAACCATCAATTAAACCACTTACCAACGGCCGAATTTTTAAAAATTTGCTTATTCGCTTTGTCGGAGTATTGTCGCAACTATACCGAAAAAACCAGTTTCATAACTAACCGTTTTCTTGATTAAGCCGCTCGTTTATTGGGATTATTAGCATAGATAATCACTAACCCTGGTCATATTATATGATCGACACTACCTGCGACCAATATCTGCAAAACACTATCCAATATCACAGCCAATTCCATTACCAGTACCACAGTACCAGGCACCGAATGTACGAGCACTGGGGTGGTAATTACATGCCAGTGAATTTCTTACCAGTCAAGGGAGCTGCTCACAGTTTGGTGTTACTTTGTTTCTCTATACACCACTATACCTCTTTACCTGTATAGTGCTATAGTGCGGTTATCTCTCTAGATCGAGGGCATTTTATGATAATTGAACCAGAACTAATCCATTTAAATTCCGTTGGTCAAGTTATCAAAATATTGATCATAGCTTCTGCAATTTTCACTGTTACTTCACGGTGCTTATTAAAAAGTTTAAGCTTTACCAATAGTATGCGTACCCGACGGGGTTGTATCGTATTATATTATATTGTACATAAATCAATTTGAGTAAACATTTATCAGTAGACTAAAAGCCGGTCCCCAATCAATCAAATAAATCTGTGTCCACTCCTTCTTAATCTTACGTCACGAGGACGAACTGTCACGAACTACAAATTATGAGCTGCATTTCAATTTGGTGTAAAGATTTAAATTCTAATTTTCCCTGAAATTGAAAGAAAATATCTAATGATCAATGTTCTGTCATGGTTCGTAGTTAGAGGTGCAGACTGTGAAAATAATGTGAGGTGAGCAGCGCAGTTAAACTCGCTTCAAATAGAACATCGTAATATGTAATAATATAATGAATTGTCAAAGGCAAATTGCAATGATCAAACTGTTATGTCATAATATCTCCGTTCACAAATTTGTGAAATTTACTTTTCCTTCCGTTTTTCCCCGATACATTGTCCAACACAAATTTACTCTTCGTTTTCATTTTGTCAATAAGTGTTGTTCCTTTGTTACGGTTCATCTTGCTTAAGTCTTGAGGAAAATTCATTGCGCTCTGTTCAAATTTTCCTCTTGTAAAGTTACTTAGCAATAAAAATAGGAAATTAAATCAAACCTGTTAACTAGCCAATCAACAATAATCTGCACAATCCAACATCAGACCGTCTACAGTTTTATTTACAACTCATTAATCCTACCTTGTCCCTCTTACTCGTACTCCAAGTTCTATTTATAAACTAACTATGCGGAACGTACCGATTTACGTAAGTGCTATTTCTTATCTCCCTAGTTCATATCTCCCTAATAGAATTTCAATATTTTTGAATGAATTTATCATAGATTGATGCGTATAACTGCTATGACAAGGTTGTATTAGATGTTGATTTGATGCCTTTTCGGTGAGTATTAAGCAGTGCCCACGTTTGAAAAACTGTCATCCACCATCACTGAAATTTGTTTAGAATTTACCAAACCTTGCATTTTAAATTTAAAGAAGTTCAGGGCTTCTCACATGATATCCGTTAGGCTACGTTTATTATTATTACAGATGAAGCCTGAAAGATGCAGTATCCTTTGCAGTTGGCTGTATCATTTGATTTTGGACTAAATTACAAACTATTAAGTTAAATATAAGTTACATATAATATGTGTATTCTGATTACGTATATTAAGATAAAGGCTAATATTACATAACGGTTAATGCCATGGTTAAATGATTAAATTTTAACAAATTTGTCTTGTTTCTTTCTAAGCATCAAAACACTGACTGGTAACGCTCAGAATGACAAGTCAATTAGTCTTTATTCCAAAGTTTTGTATTTGCTTGATTGATTGTAAGTTATAAAATAATTTTCATTTTGTAACGACATTTTGCATAGAACTTATTGCAATTTCTTAAGGGGGGGGGGGGGGGGGGGGGGGGGGGGGGGGGTGGGGGGGGGGGGTTCACCCTGATTTTTTCGTGAAACTTGGTTTCGAGATAGCAGTTGACCAACAAACTAGGACCAGTGACCGAACTTTTGAGGGGGTCCCGGACCCCAACCGCCAAACGGTGCTCGCGGGGCAGCCACGCCCATATTTTGTCCAAATTATGCCCAATTTAGCCAAATACCCTGAACATGCCCAAAATCCAGATTTTAGGTGCTCTACTTGTAGCTAGTGGTCCCCTGAACTCGTATATGAATTTTCATCAAGATTAGACAATAAATGACTGAGTTATGACCAAAAAAACCATATGACCATATTTGGGCATACGCACCAAATTTGATCGATTTTGGCCCATATATTGGTCAAAATCGATCAAACCAACTTTATATGGAAGGTAAGCCTATACTACACATTATCTATGATTATCAGCTCAGTATCTACCTAACTGTGGATTCTGTGTTCAAATAATCGCAAAAAATTAACAAAATTGCCCATATCTCAGTTCGCGATATTTGCAAAACTGATTTCGCTCAAAACAATAGAACTCAATAGGGTTTCAATATTTTTACATGAAATTTTCAGAATCAACGTAGAATCGCATTTCGATCTTAAGTTTTGGGACAGAATTTTGAGTTAGGCCTTTAAAAAAATTTGGCGGCCAAATTCAAAAATTTGCAATGCGAGATTCAGGATTTGGCATTGCAATGTGTAGTATAGGCTTACCTTCCATATAAAGTTGGTTTCATACAAAAATATTGATATTTGACCAATATATGGGCCAAAATCGATCAAATTTGGTGCGTATGCCCAAATATGGTCATATGGTTTTTTGCTCATAACTCAGTAATTTTTTGTCCAATCTTGATGAAAATTCATATACGAGTTCAGGGGACTACAATCTGGATTTTGGGCATGTTCAGGGTATTTGGCTAAATTGGGCATAATTTGGACAAAATATGGGCGTGGCTGCCCCGCGAGCACCGTTTGGCGGTTGGGGTCTGGGACCCCCTCAAAAGTTCGGTCACTGGTCATAGTTTGTTGGTCAACTACTATCTCGAAACCAAGTTTCACAAAAAAATCAGGGTGAACCCCCCCCCCCCCCCCCCTTAAGAGATGTGGGGTTCTCGTAGATCAGGTGACGTATGCAAGTAAAGCGTAACCGCGGCAGAGAATTTCACTATTCTCTGATTTGTTACCATGGTTATTATACGGCTCATTCACTAACCATTTCCTCAAGAAAACCCCAATGCACACCTCATTGTTCAGGAACGTGTAATATTACAACTTCCCATTCGGGTATAATTGCACCAAAACACAATGCACTCATGTTCACCCAATATTTGCTATTTAACTTTGACATTTAACAGTATTTCAACAATATTGCTGGATTCAGAGACAGCATCTTTAAATTAAAGGATGTCACCTCCCGAATCCCGATCATCATGTCACTGTCATAAATAGCTGGAGAGTTTCTGGGATGCAATATTTAAACAAACGTGACAAGGCAATGTTTATGCCTTATGGCTAAATTACAAGGCTATAATATTTGATTCCTGTGGGAGGGTATAACTATGGAAGTCGAGAGTTTTAAACAATGGTATAGCGTGTGAAAGGATTTCCAGATTTAAGTACAAATAAAAATGTGATTTAAATTTAAAACCACAATTCCAATGTGGTGCTTGGTGACTGTATCAGAGTGGTGCCTGTATCAGAGCTTAGCTCTGCCGGTATTGTATTACGGAGAACAATTTTGTATATTCTGATCTAACCTACATTAAGTAAATGCTCTTTCTCAATTTGCTGGCGGACTTACCTAAAGTAAGTCAGTAACTTTCTGACTTTTTCAATTTCACTTGAAGAAATGAGCTGGAACAAAAGCTTTAATTTAAAGAGATCAAGTTTCACAATCATAATAGTCAACCTCGTTTACGTCCGAACAGATGTTTGATGAATGCAGCATTACAGTCTACATAACAGGTTTACTAGGTTTACAGTCTATGACCTATGTACTGCAAGTTCTGGGTCCGGACAATGTTTGGAAATGTTATTGGCTTCACTAGTCTGCCTTTATTATACATACATTTGTTAAACAGACACCCTTCCATGGGATATTATTTGCAGCTAAACTTTAGTTTTGTCCAGCAAAACATTGTTCTATTAAAGCTGTTTACAATTCTCTCTCTCTCTCTCTCTCTCTCTCTCTCTCTCTCTCTCTCTCTCTCTCTCTCTCTCTCTCTCTCTCTCTCTCTCTCTCTCTCTCTCTCTCTCTCTCTCTCTCTCTCTCTCTCTCTCTCTCTCTCTCTCTCTCTCTCTCTCTCTCTCTCTCTCTCTCTCTCTCTCTCTCTCTCTCTCTCTCTCTCTCTCTCTCTCTCTCTCTCTCTCTCTCTCTCTCTCTCTCTCTCTCTCTCTCTCTCTCTCTCTCTCTCTCTCTCTCTCTCTCTCTCTCTCTCTCTCTCTCTCTCTCTCTCTCTCTCTCTCTCTCTCTCTCTCTCTCTCTCTCTCTACGTTTAGTTTCCTTGGTAAAGTTTGCTAGTAGAATCAAGTAAGTCTAATTAAAGTTAGTATGGTACAGCCCAGGTCAATTTTTAAAACCGTAATTTTCATTCCTCTTATCACTGATTTTCCTTTTAACAAAACTTTTGATTGTCATATAGAGATTTAGGGTAGGATCTGCCAGTTATTTATAAATAAATGATTTTACTATATTTGTTGTTATACATTCTGTTCAGCTATCACATAGTTCTGATAATAAACATCCTATTACTATTAATTGCGAATCATCCGTACATGCAATAATATGTTTTTAGCAGTCCCAATATTTGAAGCGAAAAAAGCGTACTTTTGCAAGACTACAACGTTAATCTATCGAAAGACTAAAAAGAATTGATAAATTACGTAAATACTGCTGGAACACTATTAAACATGAGTTACAGTTCACATACGTTATTCGATCATACAAGTTTTATTGAGGGAATCTGCACAAGTATTTTTTGAGCTCAAGACTTCGCAACCACGATTATTTTTAAAGCTACGATTTAGGCTTTCCAAAAGTCGAAAGGTAATTCGACCGGAATTCGTACCACTTATAAGTCCTTATAAGCGGTATGATAATGTCAGGTTCAGGAGCTACACTTGGTGGTCCAGGAACTGGTGGAGCAGGAGGTGCTGTTGTGAGTTCACTTTCAGAGGGTTCCGTTTGCACTGACACCTCTGAATAATGTTTCGGTTCTGTTCCGACAGCTTGATCACGTTTTTCAACTTGAATATTCAGGTAAGAGTCAAGTTGTTCTGCATCTTGATTTTCAATAGCTCGGTTGGTAAGCTGCTCTATCGACAGCCAAGTAGCCGCAAAGTTCTCATTGTTTGGTTCAATTACCAACAAGTTCTGAAGAACGGCATGAAAGTGATCACGCTCGGGGAGATGTTGCATTTTAGAGTATACCTTCGATAAAATAAACTCGGTACTGTCTAAATCCTCGTAACTGTCCGCGTCCTCTTTACCATCATGATCTTCATTTTCTACATACGTTTCGAGCTGTAAGAGGAGATCATCATCAGTCTCCTCAGATCTCAGCTTCTCTATAATCTCCGGTAAATGAAGTGAGGCTAGTTGGGTTCTGATGTTGTTCCTCTCAACCCTACTGTCCGTACTTACGAGTATAGTATTGACGAGGGCTAGTATGGTAGTACTGTACTCTGGTATCTTAGTGGCTTTCAGCTCGCTCACCAAGATGTAGTAACTGTTTTTCGGTACAACATGACTCTTTGTTTTCTTAAGTGCCTCTAGTGCCATGATGTACCCTCGTTTGGAGTTGTAGCACAGTGCACTTAGTAATTCAAATATTTGCTTCTTGACCATTATGTTGTTTGTAGTCAGTGCGTGTGCGAACTGGTCGCTGTAATCATCCCTCTCCAAGAAGAACTCGAGCCCATTTTGTCTGTTTAGAATAGTCTTCAAGAGAGACACACAATCTAGCTGTATCATAGAGTCTGATATACTGAAGTCTTTATGTTTTGCAAGAACGTTCAAAGTTTCGAATATGACTGAGACCCCGTCTAGCTCAAGGAAGGATAAGAACCACTTCTTGTCGACTGACTTGAACCTGGTCTTGGCAGCCATGTATGTCTTGCAAGTCGGATGGCACTTTATTAGGTCGATGAATTTTTCAGGTGTGGAATCTGACATAATACCCTCCGTATTAACAAGAAATTCTTCCTCTTCATCCTGAAGAGATTCCGGAGTCCCACTAGAGATCGCAGTCTTATTGTCTGACTCCTGGGTGTCTTCCTGCAGATGTGTTGAGTTGCCTGCCTCATTCAGTGGCCCCCAGAAGTATCTCCAAAGTCCGCTGATCATTCCGTTATGATGGATCGTGCAGCCATAGGAGTTGGTCCTCTAAGTGTAATTAAAATAGACGAGAAACATTCCACAGATCAACAAAACGTTCAATAAAAAATTCCCTAGCTTTGCTACACCACCTCCTGTTCTACATCTGACATGAGACTGCTTTGTTATAGTGAATCAGGCACGTGTCACATGTCTCAGCTTGTCCACAAACGCCGGTAACTGGAATTGAAGCTAGTTCTGATGTTATTCCTATCTACCATATGCAGTCTGTACTTACGAAGTATAGTATAGAATGATGACCGTTACAGTAGCACTGTAGTACGATAATTCGAAGACCTTCAACTCACTGACGAAACTGACTGTAACTGTTCTTCAGTCCTGATCTGTGTAATGACTCTGTTGTAATAGTCCCATTGTCATTGCATTGTTTTTGCTTAATGTAAACCCTATTACCTCACTGGAACGCAGCAGAGTGTGTTTCAACCCAGCTCACGGCCCTACTAGGATGGCGAGGCATAACAATTAAATACTTAATTAATTAAGTAGAGGCACCATCAGTAACCAGTGTCATTTGATTGTGGTTTGAGTGACGCAAGCAAGAACTTTGACCATGTTTACGTTTTGTCATCTGTCCAAGAATCACAGAAAAGTGTACATCTTACAGTGACTCAAACATCACAACAACTCCACAGTCCACCACCCTCGTTCATTCTAAGGACTGAAGATCACATATAGCAGGTGGTTACACAGCTAGACACAGAACTTTCAGCTGTTCCAAAACAGATCATTTCGTTTAGCGTTAGTGGGAATGTTCTAGTAGCCTCCAATTATTATCCAGTATATTGATAATACAAGTTTTACTTTTCAACATGAATCTTTTTATTTGTCATTTGCCTTCGGTGGTAATTACGAATACACTTACAAAGATGTTTATTAAAAGGTTAAGGGTGTCGAGTCGTTGGTGTTTGTGATTACTTGTGTAACCTCCACTTGAGTAGCTCTAGTTTCTGAAAAACACACACATACGTTAATCTAGGTGCTCTCATTTGCTCGGCTCATGGTTTTACTCTGCTTCAAATCACATCTCACGCTGTATTCTGTAAACTCTACCAGAGAATTTGTCATAATTTCTAGGAAATATTGTTGAGCTCCTATCAAAAACGGAATCCACATTCATCCACCTACTGCAAGTTCGTCATATCAAATTTCAGGCCACATTTTCAGAACTAATTTCATTTCTTAGGACGGAAAAATAAGTAGAATAAAGATGTTAAGTTCATTGTCACTTCATTCGCCCAGCTGTAATAAGCAACAGTAACTATAGTGGAGTAATGGCTCCCCACTTTATTGTACTGAACATTGGTATATTTTGTTACAGTTTGGCTGAGGTCACGAATTTTAATTTTTACAACTTACTGCTTCACTTTCCACTTTAACATCGTAATACTAATGAGCTCTATAGTAAGGCTTCGATTCTAATTCTGGTGGGCAAATATCGAAATAACGGTACGTTTCATCTCAAAGTCATAAGAATGTGATGAATTTGTTGTGAATTATATGGATTAAGATGAGTTCAGGATGTTGTAACTTCACAACTTCAACTGAAATTATAAAATTATGTTAGATCGCAATTCGCACGTTACACTTACGTCTGACAGCTTTGGAGTTTGCAGGTTTTAAAAGTTGAAACTTTAAAAATTAGCACTTTAAAATGTAAGACAATTTCGTAGAAAATCATAAAAATATCATGTGTATTCTTATTTTTCATCCCAGTTCAATATGCATGAGTAAAGTGGCAGTGCGTGTTCCTGCACCTGAATATTCAAGTTTCCTTATCATACCATTACCGGTTAATTAAACACCGCGTGCATATTATATATTAAATAATACATCGAATAGACCATAGAGTTGAGATTGTTAATAACCCTGAGTATAACACAGATATATTACTTTTTCGTATACTGAATATAGATATTAGATACGCATTACTCATTCGCAATTCGCATATAATATATTATATAGATACACTTATTACTCGTTAGTTTTAACTTACATGTTAAAAATTTGGGTGTAATTTGCACCATCTGGTTTTATACTGACTCCTTACTCGGACTTACCTGGAATATCACGTATTAGTTGTTAGTTGACGCTAATAACTGGGTGTAGACTGTAGAGTGTAGCTATAATCTACACTCTACACTCCAGAACCGCTCCACATGGGACCCTGTACTACTGGCAGCGCCTTCTCTTCACTGCAGGACACATTCTGCTGGATTGTGGAGGATTTAGCCGTTATGTGTACTTTTCTTTGTGTTTCTTTGTTTTCTGTGTTTAGAAGAGAGAGAGAGAGAGTTTTGTGTCTCATACTGAACGTCCCTTTCTAGTTTCTGTCGACTTTAATATTATGTGCTCCGTATCTCCTGGCTATGTTTTGTGTGTCATGTTGCTAGAATAACTAAGTACACTAGTACAGTAAAATGTATAATTTGGCCGGAAATAGTTTGAACAAAAGCAATGCTTCACGGGACCTGTCCCAACCTTTTTTTTGTTGAAATCGCTTTTGTGCAGATCATTTCCGGCAACGTTTGACGTAATGAAATATTTGACTGTTCTACTCATCTGTCAAGTGGTAAACCAATTTTATTATCTTTGATCTCTGTTTTCAACAGTCAACCTTTAGTATAACTACACGGTAACTTGTGGCCTTTAGCGAACGCAGGATTAGTGCTAGTTGTGCTAGTTGTTAGTGCTAGTTAGTTAATTAGTGCTAGTTGACGAAAAATAATTGAGAGTCTGATACAAACATTTGGGAATCGGCGGAATTGAAAGTTGGACTTCTATTTCTATCGTTTATGTTCGCTTAAAGTTCAAAGGGAGTTATTATTTTAACTTCTGTCTGAGCGAGCCCTAATTCAATGTTTTGTAAAACGACCACCTGTAAGTGTAACATCTCCAGTGTTTAATAATCACATGCTCAATAATCACGTTTGTAAGAATCAGGAGTAGTACTAAAATTACTGTATATCAGGTACATTTATCTTTTATTCTGCACCGGTTATGTTTGAAGTCTCCGAGTGTAATGACTTTTTTTAATACTCTAAATCTGCAGCTCTATCATGGAATGGATTACGAATGACTGACACCCGTGGAGATAACCTCAAACATCCCCATCTCTCAGACATCTAGCTGCTCTAAAGCCACTACATTTTACACCCCGTACACCTCAATATGAACAGTAATATCCAGAACAAGAACTCCATGGCCGCGTTCCTGATGAACGACAACCTGGAGCCAGCAACAATGACTCTAGACTTTGTCAGACTTGTGTTTCACTTCTGTAACTTTGTTAATCTGACTCTGGGAGGGATTGCGTTTGGTGTTGGTATTGGCTACGATCTGACTCCGATTAATGTGAGCGGTAGTGCTGCTATGACTCCTGTACAGGTTCGTGGGACTCTCAGAGTTACAGACTATTTATCTGTTATTTGGGTTGCAGACTATTTATCTGTTATTTGGGTTGCAGACTATTCAAATTTCATTACAAGTTTGCTATCCATGCAAGAACTAGACTTCCAAGCATGTTGAATGTGATTAACATCAATTTAGGTAAACGTGAGCTATTTATAGTTTGTATAATTGAAAAATATTATTTCAGACGAAGTTTGTCATAACAGGGGTATTTGTGATAATACACGGGCTTATTGGAGCGTACGGCTTCGTGTCTAAGCAAAGCAGGTATTTTAAAATTTAGTTTATCACTTTCCAGTTTAATAAGACTTCGCTTTTTTTAATTTGAGAAATTAAATTCACAAATAATTTCTCTGGGCTATGGTAAGCACTAAGCAGTCTCGCGACTCACATTGACCGAGACTGTTATGCGATAAACATATTATAAAGTTATAAAGCAGCGGGTACTTGCATTTCTGAGCTATCAATTTGCGCAGATTACCAAAACATTAAAGTGCTTTCAAATAAAGCCATTCAAACTATGCCATTTCAATAAGTTCAAAGAATTCCGATACTTATTCTCTCCACAATGAAGCTGTAAAGTGTAGACAGACCTTTAAATTACATAAAACCCCTCTAAAACCCCTCTAAAACCCCTCTCCTTCCAGGTCACTGATAGTATATGGGTGTCTGGGTTTCTGTCTCCTGATAGTGGGAAGTGTAGCTGCCTGGTCCGCAATAACTGGTGAAGAGAATATTATCAGAGACTCCAGGGACCACTTTTACTTCAAGTGGAAGAATTTCGATGAGAAAATTGATAAATGTAAGTTATTCGTTAATCCATATTCCATATTAATTACTCATCCTCCTTATCACCGATTTTACTGATTCCGAATTAAATGAAGTCAATATAATCGCACGACATCATGACACAATTAACATTACCCCTGCCGTACAAAAGAATGAGCCGCATGTAATTCAGCTCAATGTATTGGAGTAGTGAATATAATCAGCCTGGTTCAGTGGTCACTGCATCACACTGAATATTTCCATTACACCTCACCCTCTTCACAGCGCTTATGTACAATGTACAATCTAGATGGTTCCGCAGTTCCATAGTGTACTTTGTGCATTCTCATCTCTACTGGGTTCACAACAATGAAAATGACAATGAAATAAGGGAACAGGTGGGATGCTGTAATAATCTAATACGTAATCTTATATACACGGCACACTAGTGACACAGTTAGTGACACAGTTAGTGACACAGTTAGTGACACAGTTAGTGACACAGTTAGTGACACAGTTAGTGACACAGTTAGTGACACAGTTAGTGACACAGTTAGTGACACAGTTAGTGACACAGTTAGTGACACAGTTAGTGACACAGTTAGTGACACAGTTAGTGACACAGTTAGTGACACAATTAGTGACACAGTTAGTGACACAGTTAGTGACACACTAGTGACACAGTTAGTGACACAGTTAGTGAAACATTTAGTGACACAGTTAGTGACACAGTTAGTGACACAGTTAGTGAAACATTTAGTGACACAGTTGGTGACACAGTTAGTGACACAGTTAGTGACACAGTTAGTGACACAATTAGTGACACAGTTAGTGACACAGTTAGTGACACATTAGTGACACAGTTAGTGACACAGTTAGTGAAACATTTAGTGACACAGTTAGTGACACAGTTAGTGAAACATTTAGTGACACAGTTAGTGACACAGTTAGTGACATATTACCTCACAGTCGTGGGCGAACACAAAATGACCAGAGTGGTACACAGCGACTGCGAGTGCAGGTACAGTCCCACGGACACGGATGTTCCGGAAGCAGTGAGAGACCACATAGTGGATTGTTGGTCCGGTAAATTGCCGAAATCATCACGAAAACCGCTGACCACTTGTAAATGGCTTGGGAACTTCACTTATTCTGATCAAAGCACTATTCGATCGTAGTCTTGACTTTCATTTTAAACTTTTCTTTCGAACCTTTAAGCCTTTTATTGCTGAAAAGTTGCGATTGTTTTATGATTTTTTCTCTCGACATTATTCTTAGATACTTTCTCAATGCATATATTCTTTGCATATGCAGTACACTCTACGAATACTCCCATTTAGAGAAATAGCATGGTACTTTTAGTCTATGAATACTCGAGCTTTTTATTGATATGACACTCCGGTTCAAAGATGATAATATCGCCATGAAAATTGATAAATGCCTGAAATCTGAATGGTTGACTGATGTCTGCCTGCATGACTTAATTCTTGATCTAGTTATAAGGTTACTGTTAATTCTGTAAAAGTCGCTCAATATTCCTGCCGCATAACTCAACTGTTATTTTTCAGCCAAAGAAGGGATCGCTCCTACACCAAAGGATGAAGATAATCCTCTTGACAAGGATGATCAGTATATCTGGAACTTGATCTGTATCCAGAAGTCATGCCATATGAGATGTAAGCAATACAAATTACTATATACTTTAATCGTGACTGTAACAAAACAACGCGGATATATTGCTTTAAAAAAACAGAATACTTATAATGAGGGTTATGCTGAACATGACAAAAACCGTGTGATATCTGGCGCATTCCTATAACACAATACAGTCAGTTTATATGTGTTCAAGAATGTTCAAGAACTTTTTGACCCATAATATGTATAATTATTAACATGTTCTGCATAGTGCCAACATTTCAGATATATTTTTTTTTATAAAAAATAAAATAAAAAAACATTTTAGATATTCCTGTCAATATCGATAAAGACGAGGCTAATTTCACGAAAAAGATCGATGATTATGAGGATCAGAAATACTATAATTGCAAGTGAGTTGTTTTTGTACTCCGGGAAGTGTCGATGCCATAATTGAGCAATTTACGTTTTTAAGCGTTTCCAGTTTGACTATCCATATTCCATAACTTATGATTATGCCTTAGCTGTAGAGGGAGGGAAAGTAAAGGGGTGAGAGGGTTACTTACTTATTATCACCTATCTGAACCCTCTATATTAGAAGTTAACATCTGATAAACCTACAGAGAAGAAAAGGTATGTACCGACGAAAACAGTTGTGATACGAGATGTGATCCTTTCCTCACCACTTACGACAAAACTATGTGCTCGGATCTCTGCAATGTTCATTCCGAGCCTTACACCTGCATCAGATTCGTTGCCATACTTACCGGGGTGAGTTTAGTAACCTTGTTAGTACTAGGTTAATTATTATGTACTAATTTATAACCTAGTAACCGCTTTTGTGCAAGATTAAAAAATCACAGAACAAATAAGCCCCAAACTAACACCAAACTAACACTCTCCTCCTCAGTATCGAGTAGTAACGATGTACGTGATCCTGTTCTGTTTGTCTGTTACTCAAACCGTCTGCCTACTTTGTGACATCCTCTTCATCTTCTGGTCCCTCAAAGAGGAGGTGGATATTGAGATCCACCAAACAGATGGTAAAGACGGTAAACGTTTGTCAACCAAGATTCAGCTCCTAAATCGTTTCTTACCCTGCTGTTTCGGCATACCTACACCCGATAACAATAGACAGTCCAATGTGGCCCTAAGTGACATTTTCTCAGCCTCTGACCCGGACAGTTCCCAAATTAACGCTATCACGGACTCCGATCCTAGTGATCCCAAAACTTGAACCTTACACCCACGTTACTGTGTGCTCTTGTCAGGGAGGCACTTAAGGGGTATTAATTAATTAACCTCAGATGACCAAATTTGTTTAAAAAAGCTGCACATTAAACTTAAGGCAAGTTTAATTCATGCTAGTACTGATCAATGAGGAAAGCTTTTTAATGATGATAATTTCGTCCCTTCTACAATCTACAATCTGGCCGAAGAGGCCTGCAGTAGTTAGTTTGAATACTGATAGGCATCTGAAGGAACTAAAGCAGGTGCCCAACATTCAGCCAACAAGACAAAGTACCAGTCATTTAAATATCAGATAAAATGTCAGATAAGAGAAAGCAAAGAACCTACCTTGTGCCAGTGGCCCAATCTGATATATTATTTCATATGGAATGCTGCTTAAAGTAACAGATCAGTTTTTCAGGATTATAAACATAAAGACATCTATTTATCAAGAAAGGGTACATTTGTAGCATATTTTCTATTTTAATTGGATTGCAGTTTCTTATGACGCTATACATATTCTGAATGGGGTTCTTTTGCAATATCTTTGTGATGTTACTTTTCGTTGTGAAATAACTGTTTCCATTTAATTACAGATATCTTTAATTCATAACTCAATTTCTCACTGCTTTTAGTAACAAAACCGGAATAAGCGATAAATACTCAGAATAAGGACATTATTACAATTTGTCTCTTCAAACTGACGAATAAAGGCGAATATCATGTACACATAACATTATAATGAATATCACAATGAAATAAGTGTTCATGAAAAATGTACGAGGTCTGTTGTCGATATCAGGGGTGTGGTTTTCATGTGATTTCGGGAGAACTGATAATAAGTGCATGTGCACTCAGTACTGGAATGTTCCAATTGACCAACAAAATTGGTGACGTAACTATTGAATGATATCATTATTGATTGCAACATGTTTTTAATACTCAACAATGACGTGACGTAATTAATACTCTCTTCAATCTGTCTTTAAGATTAAGAGCTTAATTCACACCAATCAGCAACCTAGTTCAACTTTAATTTCGCTTTCCTTCAACATAAAATAAATCTGTTTACTTTAATCTCGACACTACAATTTTCAACAATGATAATAAGAATGAATAAAAAGCTTGTTCTTATCAGTAAATCACATTACGACTCAGTCCTGTATTGGTGGAACACTGCATAGAAGGACCCCGGTCTCCCTGTCCTAATACCTACGAACACAGTGCATTATTAGCGGGCATGTTACCCGATACTGTACTGGTGGTCAGATAACAAACACATGACTGCTTTCCCTCGCCACCTGACTGCTTACCAGCCTGGAGAACCCGAGAATTCGTCACTACCCAATCAGGTTCCAGATGAGATAAGGGAGAAATGAGAGATAAGGCAGGCAAGCTACAAATCTAGACTGCTTTGAGTTTGCCTTTACTTCAGCTTTTTGAACTTCCATTTTGTTTACTCAGCGAGATAAGAAACTCAAGCTAGGAATCTAGCCTGCTTTCAGTTTACTCTTAATACAGCTTTTTGAACTTTCTTTTCTGTTGATTTATCGTTAGAAGATTCAAGACAACGGAGATTATAGTTTATGGTGTACTGGTTAATGCAAAGGAATGCAAAGGAGTAGGGTATTACTCCTACTACTCCTAGTACATTACACACGTGAGTTATGGAAGCTATATTTATCTTGGTGCTAATACTACGAACGTAAAAGGAGCTTTTTTGTGGGTGATCATGGTTCGCCCGGTGCTTGAAAATGTAATTCAGCTAAAGTGATGCATTTATTAGCAGGATAGAGCTTGCAAAACCTGATGTCTTGCTGTCGCCTTTAACTTAACGAGTACAGTTGAAAGGAAAATCGAATTAATATCGAATTAATATAAGCCGGAATTAAATAATAACTGAACTGGGTTTCTTGCGCTTTTATCGTCGAAAATATGAGATCAAAGCACAGGACATAATTTAATGATAGCGTTTTGTTGACGAGAATGACAAGGAGAGCAAACAGTTCAAAAGTGTACACACCGAGAATAGATTTAACTACACTAACTATAAGGATGAGTGTAAGAGTTGCACAGTGCACGAGCAATAATGTATCCCGATCGGCTAATCGGCTAATCGGCTAATCGCTGCGTGTATGTTTATCTGATTGGCTGTAAGGGTCTCATGCGCGCGCTTATTGCTTTTCTATTTTGTTGCGTGTTCAGTGTTCGGAGGTATTTTGTTTAATGTGACTATCTGCTGTTATGTAGAAGTTTCCACTTCGTATTCAGTTACATTTCACGATAGTAATTTGTAACGAATTTCCTGTCCTCAGATTTAACAAAGTCAAAGCTTATCAACGCGGGTATGTTTTGTTCGCAATTGTTACTCTCTTGATATTATAAATTTCCCGCTAGTTCCTACAAAGTTCCTACATATTGAGTCACTGTTAGGGTACACTGCACTGAACATCTAAATGATTAATGAAGTGAACAGTGTCGAAAATAAATAATTATCAAATGCTGGTATCGATGTTTGGTGTGCCTATGTTTCAAAAATCGTTCTTGTTCAGAATTATCGTTTTCGGCCCCATGCAAACTTAGTACTACGGATGGATCGAAAAAGTGTGACCTTGCGGTTGATGGAAACACCAGGACAACTTCTACCTATAGCTGTGCGACGTCAAAAAGTCAGGCAAACCCATGGCTTTGGGTGGATCTGGGTGACTACCACTGGGTTTCTCAGGTAAGATCTGACAACTACCCACATTCTTCAGCTGCCATTGAGTTTTAAAACACACTATTGTTCACTCTACCCTCCATCTTCTCAGTGATCTTACTTATTTGACCCCTCTTGACCCCTCTTGACCCCTATTGACCCCTCTTGACCCCTCTTGACCCCTCTTGACCCCTCTTGACCCCTCTTAACCCCTCTTGACTGTCAGGTAGTAGTGTACGGACCGACATCCCTAAAACAGTTCACTGTTTATGTTGGAAACAGCACTACCGACCCCACTAGTGGGATCCAGTGTGGTGGAACTTACGATATTGCTTCTGGAACTACTAACGTGAGTTACTGAATGTTAGTAAGTCTCAAACTGTTAAAAAATGAAACGATGAATAAGTTTCAACTCCTTTATCTAAGAACAGGTTACCTATAAATCTGATGATGTCCCAGGAACAAGTGAACTGTGACCCTGTGATCAGAGGACGGTATGTAGCCATCACTCTCGCTAATACCGCAGTTCTAACTGTATGTGAACTTATGGTCTACGGAGCTGGTTAGTTACATTTCAATCCAAATTAGAGGCCTGAAACTGGTATTTTTGTTATATCTCAAATCATAAATAATGTTCTTTGTACCAAATTCTAGAACTCTCTCCAATTTTCAGACTTGTTTAACGTGATGGGAGCCCAAGGAGCAGACTGTAACACAGCCTGTAACGAACAAGGCCTCACCTGTAACACACACATTAATTCACGGGATGACTCTAAAATAATGAACAACGCTGGGATTCCCTTCTGTTACAGATACAGTAGCTCTAATACATGGTTCAATGATGATCAACCTGGATATGTGGCCGGTACTTCTGATCCTAACAGATACAGATGTATTGGCTTCAAGTCTGTTCCTGATTCTGTTCCTTGTACTGGAAATTATTGGTCTGTTCAGAGACTCTGTGCGTGTGACAACTCCGGTAAGTTCATGAAAGTTTTAGATTAACCTTGTATTCTATTTTAGAATCATATGACTATAAAATTATCTTATGGGTTCTGATGATGGTGCTCAACTTAACCTCCTCTCTTACCACCCCAGGAAGTGTATCTGCGAGAGCTTGTGAGACTCACACCCCTACCTGCTCCTCTGTTGCTGTTATTCAGTGTCCTGCAGGTACGGACCTACAGCAATCAATGCTTTAAAAGTTTAAACTTCACAACATTTACATTTCACAGCATGGACGTAATGTGATTGGTTACCTCTTACTCATCATAAAATAAATCAAACGTTTTAAAAATTCAAACTGTTTAAATAACTTTTCTCACCACTTTTCTCATCTTTTACTCCACTTCCAGGGATGCAGATAGTCATAAATGATGCCCAGTTTAACGGGACGAGCTGTGGAATAGACGCTACAGACAAGGTAAAAGCAATGTGTCACAACAAGGACAGATGTCAACTGTACGCTAGTTCAGCTACAATTGGGAACAGTGGATGTAATCCTGGAACTGCTACTCTAGTCGTGGGATACTCTTGTAAAAGTAAGGGACTGGGATAAAGTTTACTGTTGCAGTGTATTGCACGGTATTGTTCCACCGTTTATCGGAGGAAACCAAACCTGAACTAACAGTTAACTACCAATATTTCCTTTTTAATATCCTTTTGCTTAAGTTCCTGATCCTGACCGGGTGTTTACTTGTTACAGTTCCGATCCCATGTGCTCTTGGAGAGTTCACCTGCGATAACGGAGAGTGTATATCAGACCACAAGAGATGTGATGGAACTACAGACTGTGGAGATGGTAGTGATGAGATCTGCTCCTTCATGGGTCAGTATGAGGAGGGAGGTATTAGGGATTTGTCGCTCTATTTTAGCTATTTAGAGGAGGGTTCAGGAGTTATCTCTTGGATGGCACTGGTAGTTACAGTAGCTGTAGTGGTGAGATGATTATGATTTGAATTTAAAATCTGTCTTTATAACCACCTCCTGCCCCAGACATCTCAATGGGATCTAAGTGTAAATCCCTGACCACATTCTACGAGAACGTGTGTGACAGAGTAGTGGACGGTAACGAGAACTCGGACTACTACGCGGGCAGTTGTTTCCACAGCGAGATGGATATTAAGAACCCCTGGGTACAGATTGATCTGGGCAAGACATCACAAGTGGACCAGATTACTATTGTTAACAGGTACGTTTGTTGAAATGGTTTAACAAAATAAAAAAGAATTATTGAAAAAGAAATAGTTCGGTATTTCATTTATTGTTTGGTTTATCCGTGGAGCAAGATTTGGCTACCCGTTTAAACCACAATAATAACATTTGTCTTGTGCACGGAATCGCACGGTTCTGCACGCCAGCATGCTCGGTATCGCACGGTTCAGCATTCTAGCATGCACGGTTCAGCACTCCAGCATGCACAAAAGGTTCCCATCCATCTTCCCAGGAATCCGTCTCTTGGCAGACTTAGTTCTTATCAAACAATGAACTATCTTTTTTGCTTTGTTTCCTTATCTTATCGCAGCTCTCATATTTCTACTTTTCCCAAATTCTGGTCCCGTGTTAATCAAATTATACGGCACCAGTTTCTGCATGGGTTTTAGAAGACATCGACACTGTTATGAAACATGAAAACGTTCGATGAAGTCATCGAGTAGAGTTTGATAAACTAGTCGGCAGTCCTCACGTGAACAAGTGCTGTCTTTGTGTACAGTCCTGGAATTTTGGGAGGGGTGGGAAAGGAATTTAAATTTGAAATGTTTCTCTTATCGAACGTATGACGTCACACTCGTGACCCACCAATCTATACAGGAATGATAATTGTTGGTATGTCTCATTATCATCGACTATCATGTGAAACATAAATAAAGGTCTGAAAATTGGTCTGCTATGGAGATAGATAATTTTACCAAAGAAAAACCGTTCTGAAAGATGTATATCAATAGCATCAACTAAATATAATGTAAAGAACTACCAACATTCCTCATCTCTTTTTTTTTAATATCGTAGAAACCTGGAAAAGCAGCCATCGTAGACTTAACAACAAATCAAAATCAAGCAATATTGTTGATATCTCAATTGCCCATCTTTACAAATCCGTGGCAACTTCTTAAACCAACTTCACCCCGACCTGGAACGTGTTCACCTCAACCTGACACGTGTTCTCCTCAACCTGACACGTGTTCTCCTCAACCTGACACGTGTTCTCCTCAACCTGACACGTGTTCTCCTCAACCTGACACGTGTTCTCCTCAACCTGACACGTGCTCTCCTCAACCTCACACGTGTTCATCTCAACCTCACACGTGTTATCCTCAACCTGACACGTGTTCTCCTCAACCTGACACGTGTTCTCCTCAACCTGACACGTGTTCTCCTCAACCTGACACGTGTTCTCCTCAGGATGGAATGCACTTACTGTGAGGGTCGTATCAACCCCTTCCGACTCTACGTTGGGGACACCACAGACCCGGACAAGATGACACTATCTGAGGCTTGCCAGGGAAAAGTGTTCAACATTCCCACTGGACAATCTACTTACGATGTCAAGTGCAACAAAAAAGGTTTAATATGTTCCTATACATTATACAAATCAACTAGGAAAATAATTATGCAGTCTAACCTAAAAAGGAAATGGTATGTGTTGGTGACAAAACTCCACCTTCAGGCCAATACGTTACCATCTACCTTCCTGGAGACAAACGAACCCTGAACTTCTGTGAGATGACAGTGAAGACGAAGGTGAACGGTCTGGAGTGTAGTACTAATGTTGATAACACGTACTATGTAAACGGAAACACTTACCAGCTCATGTGCCCCGCTTGTGCTACTACAGGTACGTTTTGCCTGATCAATCATGGTCGGTCTGTTTTATTCAGCTAAATACAGATCTAACGTACACTGCTTTTATTATTGACAAAATAAGGTTGCACAACTGTTTTGTGGTGTGAGTAGTCGATAATCTGATAGGATTAAGACACCCTCTGTTCCAACACCCCTCCTCTACACAGGTTCAGTGTACGGTACAGGAACATACGCAGCCCGGTCCTCAGTCTGCACTTCTGCAATACACTCTGGGGCTATATCTCCGGAGGGAGGTTGCATCTACGCTACTATTGGAGCTGGAGCTGCTAACTTCAGAGGCAGCACTCAGAACGGAGTCACCAGTCAAGAGTAAGGGGAGATTTCGAGAAATGTTTGGAGAATAGACAAAGCAAAAAACAGATGTCTCTGATTTTGATTTTCTTACGTTGGAGGTAAATTCTTCGATGATCGTAAGTCTGACGTAGCTCAACCATAACTCGTCCCAATTTCAGTTATGGTGGACTGAGTAAGTCGTTTGATGTAGCAGCATGCTCAGGAACCATCTCAAAGTCAGTGTGCCAGACCCCAGGAGTAGGATCCTGTACTAACAACACCATGATCATACAGTGTCCTAAGGACATGGTCCTCCTCATTGAAACTGCTTCTTACGGAATAGCTCCCAGCTGCAGTGCTCCAGATACATTCCAAATCGTATGTTTGCTAGATAGTGTTGGAGATGATTGGTATAATAGTTATTAAAATCAAAGAAACACTTTAATGTAAGAGTTAATCTTTGGTCTCAAGTTAAGATGAGTAGAGCTAGAGTACTAGGGTAAGCTCACTTTAACACCTCTGATATTCCCAGGTAAGAGAGAAATGTAGTCACAGTAACTCTTGTAAACTCTCTGCTAACAACAACATGTTCGGAGATCCCTGCACTGGAAACAAACAGCTTACCGTGTCTTACTACTGCCAAGGTGAGCTTTTTAGAGGATTTGTCATTGATCTTATAAATTACTTGCGTAAATACAATTTTAAATTTATGCAACGTCTAAGAAAGCAATTTTAAAATGAATTCCAACAACTTAAAGATATACGACTATACCAGTATCATAATAATGCATATACCAGAAACTCCTGAAGATAACCCTATCTCCCCCTCCTCAGTGTCCGCTCCTTGTCCTACGAGCGCATTCGCCTGCGGTTCTGGTCAATGTGTTGACCACGCCCTTGTGTGTGATGGAAAGCTGGACTGTTATGACGGGAGTGATGAGAACTCAACAAACTGTGGTATGTGTCTTGAAGATTCCTTGTTTTTTGGTGAACTAGTTGTTTTCATTTGTCATTTAGTCTCTGCGTGGGAGGTATTCTGAATATGTAGTCTGGTTTATATTATGAATTTATCTTTCATTCAGTGGGAGGCTGTAATTTCGACAAAGGAGGTTTCTGTGATTGGAAACAGTCAGCTGGTGACGATCTAAAATTCTATCTGGACTCAAGTGATATCTACAACAACTACGATACTGGTCCTCCTCATGAGCATACCAACCCGGTGGCACTTCCTGATAAGGACTGCAAAACCTGGAAAAAAGGTGTCTGAATTATGAAGAAGTCGTTGATCAATGAAACTTTTTTTCAATTCAAGAGAAATAAGATCAGAAAAGTGTATACCAATTTTTAATTTGTGGTTTTTGATCGTATGCGTAATTCTCTGATTTTAAACCCACCAAATAAAAATGAATGTTAAAATATTAACAATTGAACCCCTCGTAGGTCTAGAATACCGTGGTACTGAAAGTGTCACGATGTACGGTAACATTTGCCAACGTTGGAGTGCTCAGAAACCTCAGACTAACCCCTACATCCCCGCGTCGGCGTACGCAAGCAAGGGTCTGGGAGACCACAGCTTCTGCAGGAACCCGGACGGCAAGGCTGGAGGACCCTGGTGTTATACCACGAAAACTAATGTTGTGTGGGAGTATTGTGATATCCCCGTCTGTGGTGAGTGGTTCTAAAGTGATCGCTCTGTTTTTAAGCAACATAATGTTTTTCAAACTTTAGCAACATTAGCAGGGTTCCTTCCTACCTCTTATCTACTTTAGCAACATTAGCAGGGTTCCTACCTTTTATCTACTGTCACCCTCTCCAGGAAAGTTCGCCTTTCTACCGAACGTAAACCGGCAACCAGACGAAGCAGCAATAATATACCTGACCATGACCAACACTTCACCTCGGTGTACCATGACCTTCTGGTACAGCATGTACGGATCTGGTATTGGTACTCTCAGTGTTATCGGAGATAGTGCTACTGTCTGGTCTAAAACTGGTCAGTTTAGTGAAAATATATTCGACATAATTGCAAAACAAACATACGAAAATGTCGAATAATCTTCGGAGGCTGTTTTGAATAAGATTGTTATATTTAAATTTCCAGGTAATCAAGGTCATGGTTGGAGCAAAGCCTACGTCTTCATAGGCCAAGAGGACTCTTACACTGTCGACATAAAAGCAACAGTTGGCATGTCACCAAATTCTAGAATAGCGTTTGACGACATAGCGATGCTGCACTGTCACGACACTGCTCCAGCAGCTTGTTCTGACTTCGAGTTCAAGTGCAGTACCAGCACCATGTGTATCCCTGGTGAGAAGAAGTGTAATGGTATTCAGGACTGCTCTGATGGCTCAGATGAACAGGGGTGTCGTAAGTACCTTCTAACTTATTTATTTTCTTCCTTAGACTTAGAACTAGAATCTGCTTACGGCTTGGAAACGTTTTACTTCCACATTAAATGGCATAACATATTACCTTATCAAAACTCACAACAGGTTAATTAATTCCCGATACTCACTAGCCCCTCTCCTTCAGCCCCCGTTGGAAACTGTAACTTCGAGAACGACATGTGCGGTTACAAGCACTCCAAGTCCTCCGACTTTAACTTCGTGATGCAGAAAGGTGCTGATGCTATGGAGAACAACGGACCACTGCATGATCACACGACTGAAACTAATCAAGGTAGCGTATAAGTTCCGTCAGATAAAGAACCTCATCTCATCCAACGATAACACATGAATGTGACCATGTACCTATATGTGGTTCTTCCTCAAGCCGTCCACTTAATTAATCTTTAAAGTCCGCTCTCTTACCCTAACCCCTCCTCCTCTCAGGTCACTACATGTACGCGGAAGCAGCCGGGAAAGCGAGTGGAGCTAAAGCGACCCTCTCCTCCCCATGGATGACTCTGAACACGGACTGCACTGTCAGGTTCTCCTACTACCTCTACGGAGACAACGCTGGTTCTCTCTGGCTCAACAATACCAACGCTTACAGCACTTCCTCTGTGAGTGGACTGATATGATTATCTGTTGATTACGAATGTATTTAAAAGTCTTGTTTTGGTTATAATGTCGAACTCAATTTTGTTCCTCATAATAATGCTGAACAAACTGTCTCCTCAGGTATGGAACAGCACTGCCTCCAGTGCAGACAGACACTGGCAGTCTGCTCAAGTCAGTGTCGGACGTGGATCCCAGTCTCAGCTTGTGTTTGAGGCTGTTATGGATGGAGACATGTCTGATATAGCTTTAGATGACATTCAACTGATCAACTGTGGAGGTAACGTCTCAATATTTTAAATTCAGGTGTCTCACAGTTTAGGACATTGTACAGCTCAAAAACTCTTACTCTTAGAAACATATCATGAAACTTTCTTTTAATTTAGAGATGTTTCGGGATTTGTAGTCTAGTTTGAAATTGTTTATTGCAGTGAATCCACTGTGTTCGGACCAACAGTTTGGGTGTAACGATCCTACTTGTGTGAGTTTGGATAAAGTATGTGACTTCGAGAACGACTGTACTGGTGGAGAGGACGAGGATGTTTGTGGTTCGTTTATTCAATGTCTTGAGAACTGAATAGCGGTTTATAGATTATTGATAATGAGCAAGTCTAATTCAGAATGATCTTCACAGATTGCACCACATTTTGTTTATAGATTTATGATCAGTATCTTTGACTCACCTCCTCTCCCTGCAGGAACATGCTCATTTGAAGATGGTAGCTGTGGATTCAGCAACTCTGAGGATGATACCTTCGACTGGTCCAGGAACTCTCTGGGAGATGAGAAGTTCTACAGCACCATGCCTGCTGACCATACTGTACCTGGTGAGGGTCCTAAATCTGTAGAGTTGTCATTTAATTGTATTTTCTTGTTAAAATAGGCGGAGATTTGTCTTCGCAAGTCCTACATCCTGTTTACATGAAAATACCAATATTTTGATGTTCAATCCTCCTCAGCTGCTGACGATCTAGTTCTAAATTTCCCGACCCCGAGCTCGAAGAACTACGCGCTGCTGAAGACCAACATGCCATCTCTAACTGAATTCACCGTGTGTGCTTGGGCGCAGAGTAATGATAAGGACAGCAAAGGTTACTTCTTCAGTCTGGCTACCGGCAAAGGAGATGCTGCTAATCAGATTGTTCTCAGTGCTCTCAATAGTCTGAATGTTGCGGTTTTGAGCTCTTTCCAACAAACTATGGTAAGAGTCACTATGAGCACTACCTTGATGAAGTTCAAGAAAAGTGCCAGTTTTAATTTAGCCAGTTTTGTTAATTTATTTCATATCAATATTTCAACCAACAATTTACCGAACAATATACGAACCGAATTGTGGAAACATTTCACTAATCCCGCTCTCTCCTTAGATCCCACTGAACGATGGAGGTTGGCATTACATATGTATGACCTGGGCAAGTGGCAGTGGAGACGTGAACATTTACGTGGACGGCGCACTTGGTAAAACTTTCACCAGTATTGCTCAAGGACAGAATATTCCGGCCGGTGGCACGGTCGTTCTCGGACAGGTTAGAGGAGGATTGTTATAGAATTGTAGAATGTGGCTAATTTTACTAAGTCTTAATGCTTTAATACTATTCATTTAATAACGAACTAGCAGTATAGATACGTTGTAGTTTCCAAATGCCAAGATTACATTCAAATAATCAATATATAATTTACTAGGATCAAGATTCTGTGGGAGGAGGATTTGCCACAAAACAAGCTTTCACCGGTAAACTTTACGGAGTGTACGTGTGGAAGAAGGTTCTGAGCGTTGGTGATATTCTCTCTTTCGCTAGCGACTGCTCGGTAAGTACTCAACATCATGTGTTTCTGACCTGGCTCAAAATACACATTCAGATTTACAACTTCAATTGTTATTCTTGATGCTTGAATTAGATATTATCCAATTGCTTTTCAGACTTCGATATCGAGTACGGACTTGGTTTTCCAGTACGGTTCTATCAACAGCAACTTGTTCGGAGGTGTGACCTCTCCAATGGAGACTAAACCTATCCTAGGAGCTTGCGGTTAGTTGAAAGGTCCTTTTTAATTAGAATAGTCATCAATAACGGTACTCAGTATAAAGAGTAAAGGTAGTAGAGAAGCACCTATTTATAGCTCGACCCCTTTGCTATTATCTATAGCTAATGTAAAACGTTCTACAGGACATTACATGTACATCAAGACGGAAGGATTCCCCAAGCCGAACTTTGCAACTCTAGTAACTCCCAAGTTTGCAGTCACCGGACCGTCCTGTCGACTCAAGTTCTGGTACAATATAGATGGAATTGGAAAGATCGGTTCTCTAGACGTGAGTTTCAGTGCTCTTATAATTGTGCAGTTGTCTACTAGAGTACTAAATAATCAAGTATGAACGGATAGGTGAGAAAGCAGTAGATTGTTAGGGACTGAGAATTCTACTAAAATCATTCCATTATCACTTGGAGAAGTACAACGAAACAAATTTCCAGGTAGTAGCTGTTTTGGAGAACAGCACCTCCCTTCTCTGGTCCATGGGCGGTAAGCAAGGATCTGAGTGGAAGGAAGCTAACGTAGCTATCGGACAACACGGCAACTACCACATCGGTATCAGGGCTAACACTGATATCGGCAGTCCAGAGGGCCACATGGCTATTGATGATACCCAGTTCTTCGGGTGTTCGATTAAGACGTACAAGACACCAAAGAGGATAGGATGTTACCGTCACAACACGACAGTATCAGGGTTACCCACCATCGTCAGACAGTACTTCTACCCTCCCTACGGTATCAGACAGCTCTGTGAAGAGGCTGCTCTCAAGGGAGGCTACACGGTACGTTTTATTATTAGCTGTGTTACAGAATTTGGTTTTATGTGCTTTTGTTTTATAATCTTAGGATAAAATTCAGGTGCCGAAAACACCTTTAAACTAGTTCGATGAGGAATAATCATGACTAACTATAACTCGTTTCTTTCCGCAGACCTTTGGTATCCTGAACGGTCGTGAGTGTCGCTCCGGACCTGATGCTATGAACACATACGATAAGGACGGTAAGAGCACCTCCTGTAACGGTGACGCGGGCAGCTATGACGCTTACACCGTGTTTATGTTCGAGGACGAGAAAGCTCCCCCACTGACCCCCGCTACGATAGTAACCCCACCTGCTAGTGGGGTGGTACCTGGAGGGTTCAGCTTCACTCTGACTTGTGGAACTACTGGATATCCCCAACCTGCTGTTGTGTGGACTAAAGATGCAGTCAGTCTTCCTGATGACAACAACTTTAAGGTAGGCCTTGATGGTAGAGCTTTTAGTGATAATGGTAGGAGTGTATGATTGAGTTATGATATGATGAAATATTCCTCACATTGTTGTCGTTGTAACAGAACCCATAGCAAAACCTGTTTCTCATCCTCAGATTGACAGTAACGGGACTCTGATAATCACGAATGTTGTCTCCGAATACTCTGGCACTTACATGTGTAGCGCAGAGAACGGTCTCGGATCAGACTCTGCTTCAGCTACTTTCACTGTTCTGGGAGAGTGTACGTTTGAGACGGACATGTGTTTCTTTAGTCAGAGCTCGGATGATAAATTCGATTGGATAAGACAAACTGGCAAAACTGTCAGCGTAGACACCGGGCCTACCAACGATCACACTATCGGAAAAAGTAAGTTTCGTTTTTATCTTCAAAGTGCAACAGTAAGTTCCACTTTCAAGGTAGCAGTGTGTAAATTTTCCCATCCTATATACAACTCTTGAACTTGAAATTATTTTTAAACAATCCAGTAACTTCCGTCCGTTACTCACACCACAACCCTTGTAGCTGGAACACAGTGCCCTAAAGCATATCCCAACGTGTATTACAATGGAGAATATTGCTGCAAGTACGACAAAGAAAGCACCTACCCAGCCCAGGGTGATCTCTGTGATGGGGGTCCTATTGGGTTCGACAGTCTCTGCTGTCAGGGCAACGCTTATAGATCATGTTCTAGTGCTCCTTGCTCTAGCTATGGATCTGCTGGTTCGTCTTAACAGCTGTGGTGTACTTATTGAACAAATAAGAAAAACGATTTCTTAATAAGAGTGTGTTAATGTTAATTTTAAAATGTTAATTTAGTTACAAAATTGCTTATATTTAAAAATCACCAATACTCTAACATCCCAGGTTACTACATGTACATCGAGGCATCAGGCCGCCGACCCGGAGACAACGCTATCCTGGCCACTCCAACTGTAGACCGTGCCGGACCACGATGTGAGATGAACTTTTGGTATCATATGATGGGAACCAAGATGGGGCATCTCAACGTCTGGATGACTGCCAATAATGTTAAGACTCTGCTCATGAAGAAATCGTTTGACCAGGGCGCTGATGTTTGGTTTGAGAGCGGTGCTTTTATTGGTGCTCAGACAAACTTCTCCATTATGGTCGAAGGTTTGATGATACGATTATTGTCATTACATTCATAAGCTATGTACTTTATTCGCGCTCATAATCTCTGAATTTAAAATAAACCCACTCCACCTTCCTGTAAAAAGAAAATTCCTGTAGGAGTGGTTGGAACATCCTACACAAGTGACCTGGCAATAGACGATGTTGGGTTCAGACACTGTGGCGAGAACGAGCTCCCAGTTTGTAACTTTGCGGAGTTTACTTGCGGTAATGGTCGGTGCATCCCACAAGATCTATTGTGTGACTTGGTGGACCACTGCTGGGACGGCAGTGACGAGAACGACTGTGGTAAGTGGAAGAAAATCAAGGTTATATAAAATGAGCACTTTGGAACTGACTCATTCGTTTCTTTTCTAGCTAATTGCGAAACGGTTGTTCGTGTATACTGTATAAGTGTATAGAATAGTGTATTTAATTCACTAAATTCCTTGCTTCACTGACATAACACCTCTCAGATAACCACCCTGTTAACATTGGTTGCTACACTGAAGTACCTGATAACCCTGTATTCCCTGAAAAGTTAGGAGATTTCTCTCAAGCTCATAACGCGACCACTGCTTGTGCTCAGTTGGCTCTTGCTAAGGGTTACAAGGTAAGACTTGTTGTATCTTCCACTCATTCGGAGGCAGCTTACAGTTGAACTTGTCTATTTAGGATAACTTTTGTTTCAAATATTTTAATGCCGTATTACAATGATTTGTGGAACGCGCTTCCGATAGTCATTTACATATTTTCACACTTAATTGGAATTCTAATTGGATATCATAATGATCATGATACTGATTATTTTCCATGGTCGGTCACTCTAATAGGTCACATGATCAGATCCCATAATCAGATCACATGATCACATCTTGACACCACACTAAAGACCACATTATCGTGAGCGCCTTTGGAGGTGGTCTGTGAGTTGACACCAGTCCATTAACGATATGTGAACTGTCCTGGTATCAAGCAGATATTTGACACCACCCACAGGGCCAGTATAAATACCCCCTCCGACTCAGTACTATTATCCAATTCTCTTACTTCATCTTATAACGATATCAACTAAACTACAAACTCTCAAAATGGTTTTCTCTCTCCCTAAAATCTCTCTCCCAACTCTGAGACACCGCAAAGTTGCCCCTGCTTTCTGCTCGTGCACTGCTACACAGAAGAGCGTCCGAAGAAGGGAAACTCCTCTTGTTCTCCTTCCTGCTGGTTCCAAACCTAACACACAAGCTTTCTACGCAAACCCTCCTAAGATATCCAGTCAGGATTCCTTCATTCCCAAATATACCTCAACTGGGATATCTGATGAAGATTTGGAAGAAACTAAATCCTGCCAGACCACTGGATGCACCACCCTGTACATCACAGCTTCAGCTCAGAGGAACTTTGTTGCCCCTATAATCGAACTAACTGACGGAACAGTCACACCAATGAACTTTTCACACGATGAGATCGTATCTGATGACACCCCTGCAAACTTCCTGTTCTGCACTCAGAACTCCGAAGATATCCAACCTTGTCCAGTCATGTCCGGACAGAGCAAGAAGTCAACTATAGGCAGATTCATGAAAAGAAACCTGACAAGAGGACGAACATTCCTGAGGAAGATGAAGAAACCAAGATCCCTCCCTGTCTACCCTGCTGGAAGAAGCTCTGAGCGAAGGACGATGAAAAGAAGTCTCCCCTCCATGCCCGGATCATTTGTTTGAATGAATATTAACTAGTGTGAATATTTGAGTGTGACTATTTTATAATTATAATTCTTATCCGTTAAACTCAGAAATTCATTTATTATATCAATAAACTTCATATCAATAAACTTCATATCAATAAACTTCATATCAAAAAACTTCATATCAATAAACTTCATATCAATAAACTTCATATCAATAAACTTCATATCAATAAACTTCATATCAATAAACTTCATATTTTCATTTATTATATCAGTAAACTTCATATCAAAAAACTTCATATCAATAAACTTCATATCAATAAACTTCATATTTTCATTTATTATATCAGTAAACTTCATATCAAAAAACTTCATATCAATAAACTTCATATCAATAAACTTCATATCAATAAACTTCATATCAATAAACTTCATATCAATAAACTTCATATCAATAAACTTCATATTCATAAACTTCATATTCATAAACTTCATATTCATAAACTTCATATTCATAAACTTCATATTACCTACTTACTTGTGTAGGTCTGTAGAAGCATTAGAATCGGGCGTTGCCTGCCACAGGTTATCCCGAATTTAGAAGCTTGCTTTAATAATAATACTTCATATCAATAAACTTCATATTGATAAACTTCATATCATAACTTCATATCAAACTCGGGCGTTGCCTGCCACAGGCTATCCCGAATTTAGAAGCTTGCCTTAATAATAATACTTCATATCAATAAACTTCATATCAATAAACTTCATATTCATAAACTTCATATCAATAAACTTCATATTCATAAACTTCATATTCAAAAACTTCATATTAATAAACTTCATATTCATAAACTTCATATTCATAAACTTCATATTCATAAACTTCATATTCATAAACTTCATATTCATAAACTTCATATTCATAAACTTCATATCCATAAACTTCATATTCATAAACGTCATATTCATACTAAATTTGTTTTTGCAAACAAAGCATTGCAAAGTGTAATATGGGTTAACATAAACTGGTCAGCCACAAGTATGGTAATTTTACTTTCTAATCCCCAGGCATTTGCCCTGCAAAGTGGTGGATTGTGCTACTCGGGACCCAACTGTGACAAGGACTACTCTAAGTACGGACTCTCCTACAGTTGTGTTAATGGACTTGGTGGTTTCAGAGCCAATGATGTCTACATGTTTGGACAAGGTTTGAACTTACTGTTTTGATGTATTTTCTATCAAATAAACGTTTTACCAATTCACCTTGAACAATGAATTAGTTAACAATGTGTACCTAAGCAATTGTGGTAATAGCTAAAACCAACCTATTTAGATGGATCCTGCAACTTTGAGCACGGAACCTGTAAGTGGAGCAGCACTACAACCCTCCAGTGGACCCGACATCATGGTCCCAGCAACCCTCCCTTTACTGGACCACCCACTGATCACACTCAGGGTAACTCATATCACTCATTTAGCTCCTCTTTCACTTTTTGTTTGGTCTGATTTCGAGTCACTCCTCTCGACTTGGAATGCCACTAAATAACAAGTTGGGCATTTTCAGGAACACCAGCAGGGAACTACATGCTTCTGAATGCCACAGCAGGCACCCCCGGTGACATCGGGACCCTTGTCTCACACCAGATAGAAAACACTGGTCCTCTCTGCGCTATTAGCTTCTGGTACAACATGAAGGGTAGCGGTGTCGGTAAACTTCAGGTCAGTTACCGGGTTGGCAAATTAAAAATACGTAATTACTCGCTGCTTCAGGTGAAGTTAAATGGGTTTAGTTCAAGTCGTTCATCTACAGTCTAGACTGTAGTTTATAAGCGCAGTTTCTGTTTACTTGTGACCATGATCAATGTCGGTTAAATCTCCATTCTGTAGGTGTACGTGACGGACTCAGCCGGACAAGTTGAGCTCTGGTCTCAGGTCGGTTCAAGTGGGGACGGCTGGAGATACGCAGGTTTCTTCGTCGGAGAGAAGATGCAAGCTAACATCACCTTCATGGGTATTCTTGGCAGAAACAAATACGGAGATATTGCCCTTGATGACATCCATTTCTCTAGGTAATTTTATCGCTGACAAAATGATATCTAAAAGATAAAGTTAAAGAAATTTTAAAAATCCATCTCAACTTCCTAAAGATTTTTCTTGTGATTCTCAACCCCTCCAGATGCGGGGCGGAACACAGTAACCTGTACTTCGTGGGGGATCTTGGTGAGGACTGTGACACAGTTTGTGAGAACAACCAGCTGCTCTGCACTGGTAAAGTTGCTACTGATAACAAGCTGGATCTGTTCACTGAGCTGGGTATCACTTGTACTCCTAACACCAGACCTTATCAATACGAGTGAGTTGTCACTTGTCTTTATCAGTGTGGAAACGGTTTGATCGCTTATCTGAGATTATGTGTGGAGATAAAATGAGCGTATTCGTCTTGTTATAGAAAAGGGTTATCATTTAAATTTGTATAACTACAATTTTGGTAATGAAACTCCTCTGAATAAGATCATTCATTTTAATCTCTTCTAGTGACGAACCTTGTTACCACGACGACCCTCGGTCGCCTAACTACGGAGAATGTATCGGATTTATCAATGTGCCTGACAGTGTGCCATGCTCTGGAAGTTATTCTTCTTCTAGACGTCTCTGTGGCTGCAAACTCAGTGACGGTTGTCAAGGTAATATTAACAGCTTTTTAATCAATATTTATTATTTGAGTCATGGATGAAAATCTAAAATCGATGTTGTCGGCCAATTTGTGATCGCGGAAAATATACTGAACTTTGGGAATACGAATATCATTTTCACTAAAATATACCGATTAAGTTTTACGATCTCTTCTGAATACCAAATTTTCTCAAGGTGCTGACTCGGAGCGCGTCGACTGTTTCCCCGGTAACTCGGGAGTTTCCCAAGACCAGTGTCTCCGGGCTGATTGTTGCTATGACGAGACTCTCACTGCATCCGGAATCCACTGCTTCAAGAGGAATCTTACTGAAGTTTGCCCTGTTGGTAAGTCATGTTTAATTAATACAATAAAGAAGACGATTAAGGATATAGATTTGCACTTGAAATTGTAAATCTCAAAATTGGATGTACTGTTGGATGTAATGGGAATTATGAAAATACAGCCAGTTTATTAACCATGACCCGTTCCCAGGTGAGAGAGCGTGTAAGAGCGGACAGTGCATCCCAGAAGGATTGTTCTGTAACTATGAAGCTGGTGACTGTTTCGACGACACTGACGAAGACGGTTGTGAGCAAGCCTTCGGGGACTGTAACTTTGAGGGAGATTTGTGTGGGTGGAGCGATCATAAGCGGGACCAGTTTGACTGGACCCGGCACAGAGGTTCCACTGGTACTAGCAGCACCGGTCCTAAATACGATCATACAAGAGGATCACCCAAAGGTATGTGAAATGTTTGAAAAGAGCTGATGGTCTATGAAGAGTTTCCTGGTTTAATAACTTCTATTTCCTATGCCTGTTTCGTGATTTCTCAAGTTTTAACGAACGGAACCCTCCAAGGTTACTACATGTATATAGAGGCTTCCCTACCTCGTATCTCCGGTGATAAAGCTATCCTGAAATCTCCCGCCATGTCCGCTGAAGGACAGTGTACTCTGAACTTCTGGTACACCATGTACGGGAACACTATCGGTGATCTCAACGTTCATCTGATAAACGAAACTGGGCAGTTCGTGGTAAGTGCTCTATAAATAGGGAGATATAGTTTTTATGATATCAGTGAAGTTGATGGAATTTGCATAAATAATTTTATTGAAAGAAATATTGGCTTTAAGTCATGTTTGTTCTCAGATCTGGTCAAAGAGTGGTAATCAAGGCGCGGACTGGATCTCAGCATCCTATCAACTACCGACAATGTCAAAGTTCCAAATCATGTTCGAAGGTTTCAATGCACACATATTCCACTTGAAATAAATTAGTAATTGAACGATTTGATATAATAATGATAATTTTGATATAATAATGATAATTTTGATATATTAATGATAATTTTGATATAATAATTTTGATATAATATTGGACACATTTATTTTGGATAGAATATTCTAAAACTTAAAGCTCAAACCCAACCCTGCTCAGGAGTGAGAGGATACAGTGTAGGGGCAGATATAGCAATAGACGACGTCTCATTCTCCGGCTGCACTCTCGCTAGTCTATGTCCTGAGGACGCTTTCACTTGTGGAGGTTTAGAGTGTATTCACAAAGACGAACAGTGCGACTTTATCAACCAGTGCTCTGACGGAGAGGATGAAGCTTATTGTGGTAAGTTTGGTTGCTACCGAAGAGATTCTTATTCTAGAGATGTTTCTTGCCAATCCTTAAATGTGTTAAATTATCATATATTCTCGAGTCTTTTCGACGATCGCATCTAATGTTAATGCGCCCAATCTCAGGCTCTTGTGACTTCGAGAACGGAATCTGTGGTCTGATCCAGAGTGTGTACGACGACTTCGACTTCACACGTCAGACAGGACAAACAGCGAGTAAAGGAACAGGACCTAGCACTGACCACACTACAGGATCTGCAGACGGACACTACATCTACATAGAGTCCTCCTACCCCCAGCAGGCTGGAGACAAGGCTGAGATCATGACTCCCGTTTACAGGGGCTCTGCTCCTAAGTGTAGGATGACATTTGCTTATCACATGTACGGGAATACTATCGGAACACTGGAGGTGAGGGTTTAGTATTTTACTTTGAAAATAAACTGCACTTGTAACTTATTTATTAATCCATCTGAGTACTTTGATTTATAACTACTAATCCTCTCTCTAATTTGTGTAAACCTGTGTTATTCCCTCAAAATAACACTCGATTAGTAACTATCCATCGCCTCCCTAGGTGAGAGTGCTCTCTACTGCTACCGGTGAAAGCAAGACAGTTTGGCAGCACTCTGGTACTAGCGGAGACGCTTGGTTTGAGACAGCTGTTGCTATTGGAGCTCAAAACATGTTCCAGGTGGTCTTCTCGGCTACCGTCCGCAACAATGCTGGAGATATCGCTATTGATGACATCTCATTCATTGACTGCAGTCCTGGAAACTTCTATGGCCCGGTTGATTGTTCGTTTGAGAGTGATTTCTGCAACTACCTCAACCAACAGCACGAGGTACACTAGATTCTATCAAAACATTTAGAGATTGGATACAAAATTGAAATACTATACAGCTCGTGATGATATCTACTGACTTCAAAACTTCGAGAAAAAAACTATAAACTTTTTCTCCCCTCAGGACAACTTTGACTGGACGAGGATTCAGGGTACCACCCCTAGTTGGGACACAGGACCAGGATTTGATCACACCTATAACGACACCTTCGGTCACTTCGCCTACATCGAGACGTCCTATCCTAGGATTCCAGACGATAAGGCTATCTTGACCAGTCCTTGGATTAAGACTGAGAATCCTGCAACTGGTAAATATACCCCTATAAACTACTCCTATCACTCAGAATTAATCGTTACACTTTCTGTATCATACGTTCCCCTCTTATTTCATTGAAGCTAAGTTAGTTCAATTTCTTTATCTCTCCTGAATCTTGACCAGGTATCTACGCTGGATACAACTGTTCGTTCAGTTTCTGGTACCACATGTACGGAGCTGATGTAGAAAGTCTTGAGGTCATCATGAAGACTGCTGCTGGTGAGCTTTATTCACATCTCCTTGAAATTGCTAGCTGTTTCTTTTGATTTCATATCGTAATTTCTAGACATCGAGTAGTAGAAGTAAATATATAAAATCATGTCTGTTCTGTAATTGAAATCACCACTTAAAGCTGGGAAATGCAATTCAAGGAACTAACCTCTTGCTGGGCAGGTAACACGACGATAGTGATGGAGAAAGGAGATCAAGGAGACGCCTGGAAAGAGGGCTCAGCTGTTATTAACGAACACGACGCAGCTCGGTTCATGTTTGTGGGTACTAGTGGGAAAAGTTTCTCCGGAGACATTGCCATCGACGACATCTCTGTAAAGACCTGTCTCATAACTCCGCTCTGTAACGACAAGGATTTCATGTGCCTCACTACTCCTAAGTTCGTGAACTCTATGGGAGTATTCCTGTAGAAATTGTATTGGTGTTTTTAGACATAGATCTTTGGGTCTAATTATTTCTGAATTTAGTGCTCGATCACCTTCTAGTTATAACCTCAACCCTATCAGGTGTATCACCCCTTACAAAGTGTGCAACTTCTACGATGACTGCGGTGACAGTACAGACGAGAACAGCTGTGGAGACTGTGACTTTGAGAGGGACTATTGTGGTTGGACCTCCCCTGAGAACTACAGGCTCTGGGCCCGGTTCAGAGGATCTACTTTTACTAACGGTACCGGCCCTGATACTGACCACACTACTGGCAAAGCTAACGGTTAGTTCAAACTTGTAGCTGTTCCCCTTCTACATATAATACTTGACACCAGAGCTGACTGAGAGCCTTGATTTTCATCATGGTCTCTTAGCGTTAATATTTTGAGATTTTAAGATGTTGGTTCCTAAATTTCAATTTATGTTTGAATATGTTTTAGTAAATGTTCAAATATCAGGTTTCTACATGCTATTCGAAGCCCATCTGGGTGTTCGACAAGGAGAGCAAGGATTACTAACAAGTCCAGTATTCATGGAGAGTAGTGCTACCTGCAAGATAGACTTCTACTACCACATGAAGGGAAAGAATATGGGAATTCTAGAGCTTTTCATTGTCGATGAAAACGATGGTAGGTTCTCTTTGTGGTTCTCACTAGAATGTCTGAACATTATTTTAGTTCAAATCTTTCCTTTATCAATCCGTACAAAATTATGAATTTGCCCCCTGATAACCTGCCTTACCCTGATATTATTTACAGTGAAGACCTCTTTGTGGAAGAAGGATACGGAACAAGGCAGTGACTGGATGTACGACACTGCTCAGATCGGACACAAACGGAACTTCTACATCGAGTTCGTAGCGACCAAGGGTTTGGGAAGTCAGGGTGATATAGCTCTGGACGACATTAAGTTCTCCAACTGTGCCATGGGACCAAGCGCCAACCTGACCATCAAGGACATGGCTGTTAACAAAACAGTCGGTGTGGATACAGATGTGATTCTGGACTTCACTTACGATGGTGCTCCACTAGCTTATGTTACCTGGACTAAAGATGGAGATGCTCTGCCAACTTCTCCTAGATTCTCAGTCGGCATGGACGGTTAGTTCATTTTCAATGGTATTTTGGTATTCGGTTGTGAGTTGTCTGAAATAGTTGACATTGCAACACATGAGAACGTTTATAATTCAACTTTTAATCTAATGATTCTAATTCTAATGTTTGGCAGGGTCTCTGTCTATCATGGCAACTGCAGCGGAAGACTCGGGAGTATACACGGTGAAGATCAGTAATGGTTTCAGTGAAGCTACAGGACAAACACAGTTATTTATTGCTGTTGGATCCTGTGACTTTGAGACCAATCTCTGTGGTTTGAAACTCAGCTACAAGCCTTCCTTTTACTTTGAACGAACCAAGGACAGTGGACTCACTGATCATACTACAAGTGGAAAGGGTGAGTTTATCTCTAATTCTGTGTTTGATATCTCCGTAACACTGATAACAGTTTTGTTTGCAATCACAACCATAACGAATTGTGATAACGTGATCTGAAATGTAAACTCCTCAGGTTACATCCTAGCTCTGCAAGCCAACAACCCCGGACCTGTCATCTCAGCGACCATAACCTCGCCACTCTACCGGGTGAAGTATGCCAGCTACTATGATACCTGCAAGATGCAGTTCTATTACCATCTCAACGGCACTGCTGGTCCCATCAAGGTCAGAGTCAGGGACATGGCTTCTGCTGTCCCGAAATGGAAAACTATCTGGTCAAAGTAAGTGATGTCTTAGATTTAATCGAAATTCCTGTGATGAATATGAAATTAGTTTATTTATGGCATTTGAACTTATTTTAGTTAATGGTCCAAATCATGACCATAAAGGTACACCATCCTGTATATTTGTTTGACGTCGTTTTTTTACTGGACCTCGTGCGATATCACTACACTGCTAATTTTCAGGATCCCACAAGGTAACGGATGGAAAGGAATAGCTCTTTCCTCAGAACTCGGATACAGAAACACTCTGATGTTCCAGATACAGGCCAACTCTAAGAAGGGCTTCAACTCTGTGATCGGAGTAGACGATCTGCAACTCACTGGCTGCCAAGGTAATATTGTATAGATAGTAGAATGGTTAATGCTTCTCCCCTTATTTGTAATTGTATCAGTTGCCTTGTCAAGGACCCCTCTAACAGTTCACCCCTCAGTTACACCGTACTGTCTGAAGGACGAGTTCACCTGTCCGACCGGGTCTTGTCTTAACAAGGATCAGGTCTGTGACTTTACCAAACAGTGCGGAAATGGAGAAGACGAGGCCCAATGCGGTGAGTGTTGATGAAATGGGGCCCATAAAAGTTCTATTTGGTGTTTCAATGTCTGCAGCTCTTTTGATAGTATCACCATTATGATAAGTGTTATCATACCATAATAACAATAAACTTTGTAAATCCTTTAATTATGAAATCTCGTCTACAGGAGCGGGTAGTTTTGACGATGATATGAACGGTTGGCTGCCTGACATGGAGTCAGCAGTAGGAATCTGGGACCGAACAACTGGTCAGGACGGCTTCACTGACCACACCACCGGAAAAGGAGGTTCCTACATAGAGGTGGAGACAATCAAGCTGAAGCGGCGCGACTTCGCCTCCCTTGTCTCTCCTAACTTCGCCTCCTCCGACAATGGCTGCAAGATGTCCCTGTACTATGCTATCTGGGGCACGAATACTGTGGGTAACATCACCCTCCATCTGAAGACAACTAATGGGGACATCTTGCTGTGGAATGTTGCTGGGAACGGAAACTCGGTTAGTTTGACTTTGAGAACACTGCAGAGACACATTTATACAGTTTCTGGTCCACTTCGTAAAATACAATTATAAGGTGAAAGAATAAATAGATTTTATCGCTTATATAGTGCTTTGCCAGATCATAATTGTTCTATTTATAGAAGAAGCAGTGGACAAAGGCAGAGATCCTTATCGGAGCAAGAGTTAACTTCAGGTTGGAGCTACGAGGAGAGTCTGGAGGGCCAGTCCTTGGCTTCCTTGCTGTTGATGACATATCTTACGTTGGCTGTGACCACGGTATAGCTTTCAATGATTTACATTCTTTTTCTGTTCTAGATACATAAATTGGTTTTATAATATTGAAATTGAATGTGTATATTGTGTGGTATCTAATATAATTGATCCTCTGACACGATCCTGAGTCCTGACTGTAACCATGCCTAGGACCACCACAGCAAGCTGTTATAACGGTTAACCCAATGCCGAAGACAGTTTTACTTGGAGATGATGTCACTTTTGCTTGCAAAGCCACTGGTGTGCCAACACCTAACATCATTTGGCAAAAAGACGGGGTTGACATCGCCATTGGTGGACAGTAAGTTTTTTATGGGGGGTCATTACTCTCGGACAGCAAGTTTTAATTTATTTCAATTCAGCTGAACTTCGATTAAGAATTATCCACTTGATAATGTACAAATCTCAAGCGAGATGGCTGATGAGAAAGTTTCACTTCGAACTTTTCAGTTACTCACTATCACATGATTTCGTTCTGACTGTCACCAACGTGGAGAAGGATACTGCTGGTAACTACAGATGCCTCGCTAAAAACCCTCAGAGTGTTGCTAAGTCTAAGATCGCCAAACTCACTGTCAATAGTAAGTGTCAATATTCGCTGCAGGGTCACTTTGACTTCATTTTTAAACGGCGGATTAATTATGATAGTCGATTTACAGATCAATTTTGATTTGAAGCACGAGTGGGATTTAAAATAAAATTTGCTGTTTTTCATTTTATGTTATGTATTTAATTTTATGATTTCTTCCTCTTAACCTGACCTTGTTACCCAACTCCTCCTCCTATAGATCCCCCGGGAAGCTGCGACTTCGAGGACGGACTGTGCGACCTCAGAGACGTTGAGAGGGATGATGACTTCAACTGGATCCGACAGAAGGGTCACACTCCATCCATTCACACCGGACCCGTCGCTGATCATACCCTCAAAACTCAAGAAGGTGAGATTTGTGTGTTTAAACAAGATTGAGCAAATGAAACATCTTTTGAAGAAATTTTTGTAAAACACTTACATAACAATCGGAAAATTTTAAGATAATGATACAAAGAATATAAAATCAAATTTAACAAATCGGTAAATATCAGACAATCAATAAAATAGGACCATTTTAAAAGAAAGAAAAAGCAATCACATCTAACAAGTAATAAGTAATTATCGATTCTTGTATTCAGTAAACACGGCGTCTTCAGCCTTCATCGCACAGATTTTCCTCTAAACAATCTGCTTACCTTACTCGGGATTATTACGACGGGTTTATTAACGACCGGTTAAAATATGGTTCGGGAAAAATATGGCGAAATTGCTCAAAACCCACCACATTTCCCCGGTCGCCATTTTACCGGTGTCCAACCTTTCAATTTTAGATTCAAAAATTTTGTCTCAGGTGTAAATTTCCTTATTAGAGATAAGCAAGTTTAGAAATTTTCGCATTGCTAAAACTTGTGAAACAAGTCGAATTATCAATAATTGTTGAAAGTAGACAGAAATAATGACTTGTGGTTAATCAAACTAGATGGAAATAATTTTTAACATTAGAAGCGTGACTGATGAAACTGATTCATGATATTGACAGTTTTAATTAATTCAAGTTTTAATTTAACTGTTACTTTAACTTTGAGTCCTATTTCATTATGTAGAGATAGTCAATACCTAAGAAATTAAAAATTGGCCTATTTAAATCAACTTTGACAATAAGGATATATGACAAGAATTGGGCAAAAAGGTGAATTTTTTGCAATTTTAGCCAAATGAAGTCGAAAAACCTACAACAAGTGTCCCAATAGTCTTCTTTAGTGAGTATAAGACAACGATTAAAATATGAGCACCCATACCCCTTGGGAACCCTAAAAGCTGAGACGGCGGGTTTATTAACGACCGGTGAAAATGTGGTTCGGGAAAAATATGGCGAAATTACCCTAAACCCGCCACTTTATCCCGGTCATAATAATCCAGAGTAAGGTATTCAAAAACTTGACTTACTATTTATCACAGTCTTAGTTGAAAATTTACACGCGATCCTTCCAAGTGGGCATCGAGTAAAAATACTTTACTATTGTCTCACTTTACTTGATTTTAATTAAACTATAGATTCCTCTATGTTTACCATTGTCTCCCTTTACTTGATTTGAATTATACTAAAGGTTCCTCTATGTTTAATTGTAGTAATATCCGAGTAATAGGATCTATTGACACACGCTCTTCACTCTTTAGTTCTTCAATACGTAACACTCTGCGAATTATAACTTGTTAAATCATCTATTAACAACCTTTTTGAATCTGTTAGATTTCAGTATCAAGAGTGGGGGTTCCAAGTTCCACTTTTAGATTTTTATTTTGGAGATGAATAAAGATGAGGCTGGAACCCCGAACCCCGCCATAATTATAAAAACCTGAGTGCTGCTTCAGAAATAGGTAAGTTGGAATGTTGATATCAGTCTTACCTATCTTCGTGGAACTTCTTTCTTTGTCTGCTGATCGTCGTCTACCAAGAGTCGCTGTCTCCATTCTCAGGAAGAGCCATATTCTGATTGTCCAGATCCTCATAATAGTGGTCATCTTCTGGAACAACCGTGTTGTCTATGTAAAATCCGTCCGGGGCCTTTGATGCCACTTGTGCCTTTGAAGCCAGGTTGCCCTCTAAGTCCTGTTGAAATTGAGACTTCCGGGGGGATTTTCTTTTACGAGTTTTCGCTGTCTTTTCTTCGTTACTTCCCTGGGAGGTCTTTCTTTTCTTGGTGGTAAAGGTGGTGCTCTCTTCTCACAGGCGGTTCCCTTAAAGTAGTATTCCTGATTACCGTCTTCATATGCCAGACTGTCGGAGATGCAATTCTTTTCTACCTTTCTTGTCTTCATGTCTACCATCTCTTGGTTATTCGTTGTAGCACAGTCCGTTTCAGCATTTGTAACTTCAGGACAAGGCTCCTGAGTCTTCTTTACGTCATCTTCTTTGTCACCTTCTTCTGCACCAGGTCCCTTCTTTTACTCATCCTTCTTTTGTATACTTGTTTCAGTCTTGGGAGGAGTAGGATAAGGCCTGCTGTGAATAACGCAGCTGCTATGCTTGCCCCAACTACTAATGGAACGTTACTCGTGCTGCTAATTTTAAGACATTCCTGTATCTTTACAGATCCAGTCGGACTGGATTCGCCGTTAGGACAGGATACGCAGTCTCCTCCAATCCCGTAGAATCCCTCCTGACAGTCACTCTCTGCAGCGAAGCAATCCGGTGTTCCTTCAAGACTTGTTTCCCCGATCGAACAGACTTCACAATCTTTGCCCACGCCCCTTTCCCCAACTACACAGCCATATCCCACCCTGGTGATGCTCGTAGTGCCCAGAACTTTAGTCCCATCTTTCACGGTGCAGGACACTTGGTCTTCATTTTGAAGAGTCAACTTTAGGTTGACAGACGGAGGGTTGGTAGCTCGGTGTCCATTTGCATCTATTATGATTTGTGTGTCGTTAACATCATCGCACTGTAGGGTTACTTGATCAAGAGGCCATCCTGTGACTATCCACTCAAATGTTGTGCCTTCTTTTACCTTTCGAATGTAAAAGTTTTCCGAAGGAGATTCTTCAAGTTTTACCTCCCACGAATATCTGAGTTCGTGGGTCTTTTTCACTGAGCCTCCGAAATTCTTATTGTAGATAGAACATGTCCACTCACCAATATCATCTACTGTGAAACTCCTGATATCTATATCTGAGGTGATCTTATGATCCCGCTCATCAGATACATAGGAGTGTGAGCTAGGTTTTATCTCTCCGTCTTTTATCCAGCTGGCAGCAAGGAATGGAGCTCCAGTAGCTGAGCAAGTGAGAGTGTAGGGTTCACCTAACTTAGCTTCTTTTACTGTAGAGAGTTCGTCTTCGCACAGTCTAGGGGTGTCATCTGGGCAGATAGAGATGTACTTGTAGACCGCAGCATTTTTAGAACTGCGTAACGTTATCGACGTGACATCACGAACTCGCGCATTATTGCTTTGAAATGTTTTCCAAGTGTCCTCAGAACCGTAATTGTAGTCGAATGAATTCTTCGATCTAGAATCACCTACTATAATCACGTAATTGTTTGGGTTTTGATCTGTTATTTGGAAATAGTCACTTGTTTCGGAGATCTCAAGATCTTTGCGTCCGTAATAAATCCCTGAGTAACGTCCCCGCACTTCCATGTCTGAATCACTGAAGGCAAGCCTAAGTGGATAATCCTTACCAGTACTAAAGTCTAAGACATAGTCCATGCGATCACCCTGTCTAACAAATTCAGCAGTCACAATGCCAGGGCCTAATGTTCCAGACTCCACGTCAGCTCTGAAGTGCAGATCATTATAATCCGCCCAGTGCGAATTGTTGTACACGAATGTGCAGATGTTAGGGCAAGTCTCCTTTGAGAGCCCCGAGGTAACTAGTACGAGGAGCAACACGAGAAACATCGGCAGTCAGAAAGTGCTTGCTCTGTGCGAGTAGCTGCTCCTTTATCACACAGCTACAAATGTGCACGATATGTGGTCCTTGCCATGAAACTCAGAACCTGGATACTCCACATTCGTTCATTCTGATCATGTGATATGGAGGGTGGATTTCTACTTTAGCTTTGTATTGCATTTCGCATTCCACCGCCTTCTGTCCTTTATTGTAGCTACTTAAGGTTAACATTAACCTAGTTTATCTATTACTCTCATTATTGTAAATGCAGTAACCTCTCCGAAATTCAAAACCCAGAATATCGATGATCATGATATTGAGCATACTCGATTCATTCTAATATAGCCAATTATTGCACAGGAATTAGGAAACAGTCACGACTAGCACTGGCAGGCCGGAAGCCAAATTGCTAACTCAAAAACAACGTTCAGCCTTCAAATAAATAAATGATAGAGCAAATAAATTGCGCGCCTCGCACAAATTAAAAGCCTTATAAAGGCTATATTCCATACTAACTAATCAGAAACTTATTAACATCTCAAAATGCTGTTTTGCAAGTTCTCAAATAGTCTCCACTAACCCATCTCCCACTCAGGTCACTACATGTACATAGAGTCGTCAGCCCCCCGGTCCCAGGGCGAGATAGCAATCCTGCAAACCAGCTGGATGGTGCTGAACGAGGACAAGTGTAACATCAGCTTCTGGTACCACATGGTCGGGGACCACGTGGGCAATCTCGAGGTACGATCTGTTCGTTTAACACTACTCCCCCTCCTTTCTGTCCGTCCTCCCTCCCCCGCCTCCTAGCCCCTCCTCCTCCAGTACTCCTCCTTACATCTCCCTCTCCCCCGCCTCCTAGCCCCTCCTCCCCCTCCTCCCCTTATACATATCCTCCCCTTATATCACCTCCCTTTACAATTTACATCTCCTCCTCCCTCCTTCAAGCATGAAGAAACATATCTTAATTTATATATAAGAATGTAATTGAATGGTGAGTAGGGGTTCCACCATCTAACGGGTTACCTTTATGTTTAAGTACAGTATTATTTTACAGCTGACCAAGCGAACGTACGTGTACGACAACATAAGAAAAGAATCGCTATGGAAACTGTCAGGTAGTCAGGGTGATGTGTGGATCCAGGCGAATAAACACGTGGGAGCCTCTCCCATAGTGCAGTTCCAGTTTATTGGAGAAATTGGCCAGGGCTATCAAGGAGACATTGCTATCGACGATATGGTGTTCCTCAACTGTCAAGGTATCGATATTGCAGATTACAATCTTGGTTACGATTTATGTACAACCTATAAATGTTTAGGGAATAGTCTATCAATATTCAATAAATATATAATAATCTGGTTTTCGTACAGGTTTTTTCACAATAAATCCTCCCCCTCATAAATGTTTTCTCTATTCAGCGGAAAAGTTGTGTCGCACGGACCAGTTCTCATGTGCAGTGCCCCAGTGCACCTACTACACCCACGTGTGCGACTTTAGGGACGACTGTATGGACGGCAGTGACGAGCATATCTGTGGCGAGTGTGACTTTGAGGTGAGTTTGATAGGATAAGTGTTTTAAACAGATTTCTTTAGAGGATGATAATGGCTAAACAGACTGGCTAGGAACTACATTCTGAGTCCAAAGTAGAACAGTTTTGGTTTGATCGCAACTAAAAATTCCTAAATCCCAACAGGATTCAATCTGTGGTTGGGTACAGGATAAGAAGGATAACTTTGAGTGGACGAGGTGGCGAGGAATTACACCCAGTATGTTCACTGGTCCTGATCACGATCATACAACGGGAGACTCTACTGGTAAAACACGACAGCTTATCAGTTTCACTTGTCTTCTTAGGCAGTAACATCGGATAGGCACAATTTAAATATGCAAATATTAAGATTTGGAATACAGTTTAGACACTGTTTCTTGCGGACTTAACCTCAAACCACCCACAGGACACTACTTCTACATAGAATCATCTGATCCAAGAGTAGAAGGTGACGTGGCTAACATCTACTCCAACACTTACCGTCACTCTTCGCACACCTGCAAACTACAGCTCTGGTATAGCATGAACGGCGCTAACATGGGCAGCCTCGATGTTTACCTCGTCACTGATGCTTCTGATGATACAAAGAGAGTGGAAAACTTGAAGTGGCACAAAAATGGAGATGCTGTAAGTAGCAGAAGTTTAAAAATTCCTTTCTCTGTGATAAGGATCTTCTGATTGTCATTATTATTATCAAAATCCGCGCTAAGAAACGTTCATCACTAATCATGCGAACAATTATTTGTATCATCTCCTTACAGCTTTAAATATTAAAGCTGGCCAATATTTGTGTTTTTATTACTATGAATCCAGGGAACTGACTGGCAACAAGCCACTGTGGATATCGGAGAGCACAAAGACTTCCAGATCAAAATCAGCGCTACTGTTGGAAAAGATCACCAGTCGGATATTGCTATTGATGACATCCACTTTGCTAACTGCACTGTTGGTAGGTCCCTTTCACGCACATCTACTCATTAAACAAAACGGTTGATTTATTAAACTCGTTCGTCCCCCGTACTTAAAGTACTACTTTTAACCCCTTCAAAACGTTCTCTACTCACAGTTTACAACTACACGAACCCTGGAGAATGCTCATTCGAAGACGGACTGTGTGGGTACCACAACAGTCCTGAGGACGACCACTTTGAGTGGGACCGACAGAACGGTACAACTGCCAGCATATCTACCGGCCCAGCTAACGACCACACTCTTAACAACAACTTAGGATATTACATGTTCATCGAGGCTTCCATTCCAAGAGTCCAAGGTAAAATTCTATTTTATATTTACTCTAATAGAAAAAGCCTGCGGGAATACCTGATCGTTTCTTAGACTGTTAACCTCCGCCCATTAGAAAGCTCGACAGTAACTAATGTTCCACAATGTAAATAACTGAAATATCTGTGTCAGGTGACACGGCGATATTCTCATCTCCATGGCTGATAACAAAAGACTGGTACGACTACAACTGTAACCTGACCTTCTGGTACCACATGAAGGGGGCCCACATAGGACAGCTGGATGTAAAGGAGACCAGTACTGGGTACTGGAACCAGGGTGACCGGGTCATCTGGACTCGCAACAGCAGCGTGGTGAGTGTCCTCCGAGTCTGGGTTTTAGCAATGGTGTTATTACTGCCTCTTTAACTTGATTCCGCACAACAATATCCGAAACACTTTCTCTGACCCCTTCATCTTAGGATAACACGTGGTCGTTTGCTACAGCCACCATCTGGGACATCTACACTCCTGGTAAATTCCACTTTGTGGGTGTCCGCGGTGACAATTACCAGGGAGACATTGCTATTGACGACATTGCTTTTAACGAGTGTCCTAGTGTGGAGGCCCTGTGTACGGAGGAGGAGTTTGGGTGTGACAAGACACCTCAGTGTGTCCACTCTGAACAGGTCAGTACTGAATCTGGCTTATACAAAAAGAAAATGAATCCTTCGCATGCTTTGATAACCCTTTTCCCTTTCACAAATTTTGGCACCTCATAGAAGAATCAGAGAATGATAACAATAAAAACGTTACCCTCTCTTCAGAAATGTGATTTCATGGTGGACTGTTCTGACTCCTCTGATGAGAGCTACTGTGGTAGTTGCACGTTTGAGGGTAGTCTCTGTGGACTCTGGAACTCTCCTGATGATCATTTCGATTGGACCAGATACAGAGGCCAGACACCGTCTGTTAACACTGGACCCGGCACTGACCACACTTACGGAAACTCTACTGGTCAGTTTTATTGGGTGTTATTATCTAGTTGGGATCTTTGTTGTCTAATCGAGTCTAAATTTGTTTCTGATCATTAAGTTGTGCTTTTTGTTAGTTTCCTTTTTGTTAGTTAATGAATGTAAAACGGAAGCGTGTTTGCAACTAAATATTCCCCTAACTAAATATTCCCCTCAGGACACTACATGTATATCGAGGTGACAGGACAAGCTCTGGGTGACATGGCTGTCCTCAACACCCCTGTCTTCAGGAAATCATCACGTGATTGCTCCTTCGAGTTCTGGTACCACATGAGAGGTAAGGTGTTGATGGAAGGCTGTTTTCAACTTTCGACTTTTCCTTGCACTCGATATTTGTTGCGTAAAAAGTGACATCCAAGGATTTACGAATCTAAATTATATTTATTTTACTATCACAGATTTAGCCGGCCAACTTGTACAGAAACCACTAATCACAATCTCTATCACTTAACTGAAGATTTTCTGCTAAATTATGTTTCTTTCAGGGACCGCTATCGGCCAGTTGGAACTAAACATGACCTCTACATTCAATGGCACGAACACAACGCAACTCCTCATGCTCGACAAAGCAACTCCTGATACTTGGCAAAAAGCATCTGTGAGTTTCAATTCCTGTTTTAACTTGCTAATGTTCGGGCTTTAAGTTAATAATAAACATCCGAATCAGTACTTTCTTTTTTAACAACAATAAACTGAATATTGACGTTGATTAACCTCAGGTGAAAGTTGGCTACCAAGAGCAGTTCTGGCTCAGTTTTGTTGGAATTGTTGGAAACAACTTCCAGGGAGATATCGCTTTAGATGATCTCAAGTTCCTTAACTGCAGAGTCGGTAAGTACTTAATCTCAAGCTATTTTAATTGTTTAGGTAAGTTCTATTGGGAATTAGAAAAAAATGAAAGTAGCTAATTTTCACTTAATAACTAAGTTTAAGAGCGAAGTAATGAACCTAATCCGTCCAGATATTGGCGACGATCCAGCCTCCTGTGACTTTGAGACAAGCAAGTGCGGCTATGTGGACTCTACTGACAACACCAGTTTCACCTGGACTCGGCACCAAGGACCAACTTACTCCTTCAACACTGGACCAAGTGTGGACCACACCACTGGAACTGACAAGGGTTCGTCACCTCCCCATCCTCTACTTTTTACCATGATATATTTAACAGGATCGCTAGAGAGGAATCTCCTTAATTCTGTTTGAAACTAAGAGCTGTGCCTACATAAATCCCGCAAGAGCAGTTAAGAGCCACGGGTCAACTTAACATCCCTCCCTGCAGGGTACTACATGTACATAGAGACCTCTGACCCCCGAGTGGAGGGCGACAAAGCAGAGCTGATGAGCACGTGGTTTAACGTGACGGGAGCGGATTGTACTGTGAGGTTCTATACTCACATGACCGGGCAGGGAATTGGGGAACTGAATGTCTACACTACAACTGAGGACGGAACTAAGACTAAACAACTCGGTCTTACTGACCGTGAGTTTATACTGGATTGAAACTAGTTGTTATTTTAGAGCAACATGTTATTTTTGGTAAATGAGTGTGGATCAGAAAAAGCTTGGTAGCAACTATTTACTATTATGTGACATTTATTTAATTAAAATCTATTGAATCACAAATCTTACTGAGTTGTTCCTCAGCCACAAGCACGGACACATGGAAAGCCCAGACAGTGAAACTAGGCGCTATATCCGGCAAGTTCAGACTTTCCTTCGAGGGAGTCAGGGGAGCAAGTTACGACGGAGATGTGGCTATAGATGATATACACTTTGAGAAGTGTGGGTCTGTCACTCCGTACTGCTCCTCCGATCAGTTCACCTGCAACACACCTGAGTGTATCCCTCTTAAATACCAGTGTAACTTCTACGACGATTGCAAAGATAAATCTGATGAGGTATAGTGAAGAAATTATTAATCACAAAACAAAAACCAAGATTTATAGCAATTCGAGCGCAGATTATTTATCGAATCCTCTTACTTATCTCTTAATTAATAAAACTACATTTAACCTCCCCTCGCCCAGTTAACGAACTCTTATCCGTCAGTTACTGTGTGGAACGTGTGACTTTGAGTCAGGTATCTGTGGCTGGAGAGAGGACGAGGCTGCTCACTTCGAGTGGGTCCGACACCAGGGCTCTACTCTTTCTTGGGAAACTGGACCCATCTCCGATCATACCACCGGCAACGCTGGCGGTTAGGAAACAGTTTCTTCTTTAACATTTTGTTATGTTCTAAACGAATTAAATAGGCTCCTAGAAATCTGAATTTCCTAATTGTTTGCAAATAAACTTACCGTCACAATTTGCAGGACACTACATCTACGTAGAAGCGTCAACACAAGGAAAAGGAGACCACGCTCGACTCATGTCCCCAGAGTTCCCCAGTTCAGGACCCCAGTGCCAGATGCAGTTCTGGTATCACATGTACGGTGCAGATGTTGGAACTTTCAGGGTCCTCCTCAACAACAAGACTCTGGTGAGCTCATTTATCTGTCGATTCTGACAGTATGAACTTTCTCATGTACCATGGTGTTAATCATAGCCATTTTTCTATTCACTGTTACTAACACGCAATCATTCCAGCTGTGGAACCTTACTGGCGATCAAGGAAACCAGTGGACACTAGGAAAAGTAGATGTTGGTCTTCAAGGAGACTTCTTCCTCGTTATGGAAGCGGAAATGAAGGAAGGATTCCAGGGTGACATTGCTATAGATGATATCTCTTTCGTGAACTGTGACATCGGTAAGAAAACGATCATTTGAATTGACATACTCACTTTAATGCTGTAAAGTAAAACTAAAGGGCGGTTCTTCTCCCCGTGAAATCTTTCAAATAAATTATAAACCAATCTCAGGGGCGGACGGAGAATACAACGGACCGTCTGACATAACATTCGAGGACATGTACAGAGTGTTCTCACATCTGTCCCAGTACGAGCACCAAGATGACACCTACTGGGTGATAGGACAAGGGAAGTGGGACTGGTACAGCAACAAACCTCAAGCTGATCACACTTACAAGAACACATCAGGTAAGCTGATCACACTTGTGGAAACATGTTAGGTCGGGACCGGTTAAGTAGGTTTTGAAATAAGGGAATTTTAAGGGATCGTGAGAACTGTCAGCCGATGTAGTTAGAGCGTCTCACTGACTGTTGACTATTTGAAAATATTTTGATCGGTTTAATTCTTGAAGTCTAACACAAAACTCCTTACAGGACACTTCTACGAAGTTCTGCACACACCACTACCTAACGATTACTACCACGAACCTGAACCAAGTACTCTATACCTACCCTGGATGAAGACACTCAGCAGACACTGCTCCATGAGATTCTACTACTTCTTAAACGGCTGGAACTCTGGCGACCTCGAGTAAGTAGCCCTTGGCAGCCCTCCCTTGTTTCAGTTAGATATTTTTGTAATTGTCCTTGATTCTGGTTTAACAGCATGTATATTGTATAATGTATATGAAAATATCGTAAACTACACCAATCACCCTCGCAGGATCGGTACCCTAGACAGTCTAAGCGCGGATGCTGTGTACACGATGAAGATCAGTGGAGCACAGGGCAGTTCGTGGCAAGAAGGCGAGATCCACATCGGGGAACGAGGACTGTTCAGACCAGTTTTCATGGCGACCACTGGTACCGGATCCTCTGCTTACAGCAGTATTGCTGTCGATGATATCTCCTTCCTAACCTGTCCGGGTATGTAGTCAGTGAACACTGCTATCTTTTTATCTGTAAGGTTAGGTGGTGTATTGGGATACCAAACTACTGTTTTTGAGATATGTGTCCACAACCATACCTCCTCCTGATATCTCCACTATATTTCTTTTCTCTGAGACTTGTATCCTGACCACCCTCCCTCAGTTGAGCTGCTGTGCAGTGAGCGAGAGGCAGACTGGAACTGTGGGGTCCCCCAGTGTATCAACAGGAAGCGAGTCTGTGACTTCAGACAGGATTGTACTGATCAGTCTGACGAGGCTAACTGTGGAGACTGTGACTTCCAGCATGGCATATGCGGGTAAGTGTTCACTTGAATATTGCCTTCAATCTGCATCTGTGGTAGGGCCATAAACTTCTTGCGGATAAGCAAAAGGGACCTTTGCTTTTTACTCTTGCTCTCTTATGAACAGCTTGACTGTTTTTCAGGTGGTCGAATGAGCCAGATTCTGACAAGGATGATTTTGATTGGACACGACATGCTGGATCAACATACTCAACCGGAACTGGACCTTCTGCTGATCATACTTACGGCAATAGCTCAGGTAAATATTCTGAACCTACATTTGCGAAATTTCAACTATCTAATTACTCCAGTAGCAGGCAGGGGTTGAGTGTGCACTTCGCTGCATAGAGTTTTTTGCTACTGAATCGGGTTAAATAGGTCATTGGTAACTCAAATCACCGAGGGGCAAATTTTGTATCGCTAGTCCCAGTCCTACAGGGCGAAATTTCTAAATTGCCCTCAGTCGCAAATTTGGGATTTTTGTATCTCGGCTTCTAAAAGACTTAGAGACTTGAATATTGGCTTAAAATAACCGCAATAGCCTTATTTATATACAAGTTATGAAGCAATATAAGGTCTCAAGTGCATGGTTTTAAAGATATTCACGAAAAACTGTTTTTTGGCTCATCGCAGCCTGAATTACCGGATTATTTTTGTATCTCGAACTATAAATGTCGTAGAAACTTCTGTGATACTGCAAAATATTCGCAATGAGCACATTTATATAAGACTTATGAATCATTATATGCTCTAAAATGCTTATTTGTAGAGATATTAGCAAAAATCGGTAATTTTTGCTACACCAATACAAATTTGGTAATTCGTTTTGTCTTTTTGTTGCAAATTTTCACGTTGCAATTTTCAAGATGCGGTTTGTGGCTATCGATAGGGCTTTATATGCTATTGTATGGTTTTGATACAATCCTTCAGCACCTGACATAGGCAATAGGGGTCACAAACCCTGAAATGTCAGGAACTGGGTGCAGTGGCCGAGATAAATATTTGATAATTACTTGAACTCTTGACTCACATACATCTTTTGAACGTTGAGTAAAACTTCCGATCCATTTGAAGCTCAGGTGATGTGCCCCAGAACCTCACGCCTGAGTGACAGTGGGCCTTATCGATCATGAGCCGCAAATCACAATGACTTTGGGCCTCAGATACAAGGGCATTCGTACTCTTGGGTTAAATTGGCTCTTCGTTAGTATCATCAATCAGGTTTATAACTTCTATAGAAGTTAGATATAGATATATCTATTTCATACCAGATGATATAGATATTATCTGCCTGTTCAGTGTCCACCTGTCTCTTTGAGATTCATTATTACTTCAAGTTCAGTCATTTCGCTTCTGTTCAACTGTAGGTGTAATGAGGGACTTCAGTCCAGCAATATCTCTAGATTTAGCAATATCTGGTTTCGCTACTTTTAAGGTAAAGGTGTTCAGCAAGCAAGTTTGTAAGTTTTCAGTCCTACTGCCCCAAAATATTGGCCCCCAGAGCACTGGTTATGCTGGAGTACAGAACTGGTAATGCACATGGTAATGCTGATTTTTTGCTTAACATAGCTCTTTTTTAAGTTCCTTTTTCAGCAGTCTTCCCTATCATACTGGCCTTGATCTCTAAATTTAATCTTGAACCTGGGCTCTACAGGTTATCGAATGTCCATCTCAGCATTTACAACTAACATTGAGTCATAAATTAGAATTATGTGGGGCACAGAGTCACTGAGGCCGAGGGACAGGTATCGTTGGGCCCGAAGTTCTGGGACCCAAAGTTGCAGGTGCCAGAGGTCCTGGGGCTGACATGGACAATAATTGGGGCACGAGGTTGGTGGACATTCGATAACATGTAGAGCCCAGGTTCAAGATTATATTGGTGAATCTGTTTTTATGCCAGTATGATAGGGAAGACTGCTGAAAAAGGAACTTTAAAAAGAGCTATGTTAAGCAAAAAATCAGCATTACCATGTGCAATGTGCATTACCAGTACTCCAGCATTACCAGTGATCTGGGGGCCAATATTTTGGGGCAGTAGGACTGAAAACTTACAAACTTGCTTGCTGAACACAATTAGTAGCGAAACCAGATATTGCTAAATCTAGAGATATTGCTGGAGATATATCTATATCTAACTTCTATAGAAGTTATTAACCTGATTGATGATACTAACGAAGAGCCAATTTAACCCAAGAGTACGAATGCCCTTGTCTCTGAGGCCCAAAGTCATTGTGATTTGCGGCTCATGATCGATAAGGCCCACTGTCACTCAGGCGTGAGGTTCTGGGGCACATCACCTGAGCTTCAAATGGATCGGAAGTTTTACTCAACGTTCAATACTGGTTAAAGATGTCCAACTAACCGTTGAAAAGATGTATGTGAGTCAAGAGTTCAAGTAATTATCAAATATTTATCTCGGCCACTGCACCCAGTTCCTGACATTTCAGGGTTTGTGACCCCTATTGCCTATGTCAGGTGCTGAAGGATTGTATCAAAACCATACAATAGCATATAAAGCCCTATCGATAGCCACAAACCGCATCTTGAAAATTGCAACGTGAAAATTTGCAACAAAAAGACAAAACGAATTACCAAATTTGTATTGGTGTAGCAAAAATTACCGATTTTTGCTAATATCTCTACAAATAAGCATTTTAGAGCATATAATGATTCATAAGTCTTATATAAGTATATATGCAGTATCACAGAAGTTTCTACGACATTTATAGTTCGAGATACAAAAATAATCCGGTAATTCAGGCTGCGATGAGCCAAAAAACAGTTTTTCGTGAATATCTTTAAAACCATGCACTTGAGACCTTATATTGCTTCATAACTTGTATATAAATAAGGCTATTGCGGTTATTTTAAGCCAATATTCAAGTCTCTAAGTCTTTTAGAAGCCGAGATACAAAAATCCCAAATTTGCGACTGAGGGCAATTTAGAAATTTCGCCCTGTAGGACTGGGACTAGCGATACAAAATTTGCCCCTCGGTGATTTGAGTTACCAATGACCTATTTAACCCGATTCAGTAGCAAAAAACTCTATGCAGCGAAGTGCACACTCAACCCCTGCCTGCTACTGGAGTAAATCATTTTGTAATGTATATTGGTGATTTATTCAATTTTGGTCTGATTTAGCTTAACAATAACTCTCCCAGGTGGATATCTATACATGGAAGCCTCCAACCCCCAGCCAGGATCAAAGACCGTCCTGAACAGTCCCTACTTCCACAGCTCTGGTCCCGAATGTACCTTCAGATTCTGGTATCACATGTACGGAGCCAATGTTGACAAGATCGAGCTGGCCATCACTCATGACACTGAGAGAGTCTGGAGAAGTCCTTATGATACTCTCTGGAGTATGCAAGGTATGTTCACATTAACCTGGTTTTGTGTTTTCACAAATTCCGTGGTTACTGGTTAACATCTACGGGTTTCCTAGTTTGTCCTTGATCTACAATCTTCTTGTCAAACAGCTATCCTAGTAGCTGGCAAAATTCTTTGTAATAATTTTTTTAAATGTATCAGGAGATCATAATGACACGTGGATGATGGGAGAAGTCAAGATAGGAGCCAGAAAAGAGTTCCGACTCCACTTCATCGGCTACGTAGGAGTAAGCTATGACGGGGATATCGCTATTGATGACCTTGAGTTCCTGAACTGTGCTGGTTCTGGTCTGATCGGCGATCTGGACTGTGACTTTGAGTTCGGTAACTGCGGATACGCTCAGCCGTTCTACACAGAGAAGCTGGATTGGATGTGGATGCAGGGGGCTAACAGTGGGTACACTGCTCCGGATACTGACCATAGCACTGAGTCAACACTGGGTTAGTGTCTTCACACCACCTTTAAACCTTTAGTTAGCCAGCAGTAACGCCCTCAAAACTTCTGAAATTCACCCTTCTTAACTGAAAACCATCTACAATAACATTTAAAATAAAATCACGTGACACTCCCCAATACACACAGGACACTACATGTACCTGGAGTCTGGTAACAACAGTGCTGCTACCACTGCTCTCCTAGAGGGACCCTGGATCACTACTCAAGCTCCTGACTGTACTCTTATCTTCTACTATCACATGAACGGTAAGGTTTAATATTGGATACTATCGGAGAGGGTCTAATCGAATTGTGATCCTGCTAGAATAGAGATTTGGAGAAAATTTAAGTTGCCAATTCGTATCATTATGGGCATTCGGCAAGCACAAAAACGTTTGATTTTCCAGGCCAGAATATCGGAGGCCTGAACGTGAAAGTTCGTGAGATTGGAACAAACACCACAAAGACATTATGGACGGTGAATGGTAGTGCTAACGCTACTGCTAGCAGCTGGGCTAAAGCTCTTGTTAATGTCGGAGAACGCAGTCTCTTTAGAGTGAGTACATTTTCTATTTCAATTGCTTTGGTGTGTAACTTTGGAGATCGAAATTAAAGTGGTACTTCATGCGGTACACTTATACATTTCCCAGTTTTGATGTCAAGTATTTTAATTTGTATTCAATACAGGTTGAGATCGAAGGAGTAGCAAATGCTGGTTACTTAGGTGATGTTGCTATTGACGACATCGAATGGAATCCGCGTTGCCAAGCAAAGAAACTCTGTGATGACGATCAGTACAGCTGCAGAGATCCCAAGTGTATACCTTCTTTCTTGGAATGTAACTTCTACGATGACTGTGCCTCGGGTTCAGACGAACATCACTGTGGTAAGTTTCTCAATAAATCAAAATAGCTGATTATCGTACTTAAAACCATTGTGTATTCTGTGTAAAATTATCTTTATCCCGGTTACTGCGACAAGTAAAAATGCTCTTATTAGGGAAAGGAGTTTACTCGACGTTTCAATGTAATTACATCGTATTCATGATCTCAAATTATTTATTATATAGTAGTGTTGAAAGTATTAAAACCATTGTGATCGACCAGATTAAGTGCATTTCTTTGTTTTTCAGTTCACTGATCTTGCCCACCCTCAGGTCATTGTGACTTTGGTAACACTGGTTTCGGTATGTGTGGCTGGGTTAATGTACCCCAGGAGCACATGAAGTGGTACTTAGAGGACGAATACTACATGCAGGTACTTCTAGCTGGAAAATAAGGAGTATGCTGGCAATATTGAGTCTTCGTGTTTAATATGTATTTCTCTTGTGTGCCCCTGTAGCTGTTCTCAATGTTTTGTTAGAAAATACTCGCCTGACTTGTATCTGAATGTTCCACCTCTTTAACTGTTCCACCTCAGGTTACAACTATAAACTGGTACTATGGAACTGGGGACGCTATTTTGGAGTCTCCTCTGCTTCACTACTCTAACTCAACCTGTCAGATGAAGTTCAAGTACCAAGTCTATCAGGGCACCATCACCGTACGTCATTTAATGCTTCTTTTCTGATGTTCATTTTTATTAACTCATAAGGCTACACAGTTCCTAGAAATCATTTTCGTCCCTGTAATATATTATATCTTAAATTATTATTTTTCCTTCTATTCGGATAATCTAACCACCCTTTCTATCAGGCCAACATGCTACTAGAAAACGGTACAACAGTTCTTCTTTCCAAAGTATACTCTACCTACGATCTAGACTGGCACATGGTCACTGTAGATATCGGAGCTCATGATGCTTTCAAGATACAATTCATCGGAACTCCTACCTATCTTTACTGGGGAATGACTGCTATTGATGATATAGCCTTCATGAACTGTGATATAGGCAAGTCTATTTTTAGTATCAGTTTTTAATTTCTAATACAAACTAGGGTTTGAATACTATTTTTATCGGAGATTAGTAACAGCAGAACAGTTTCCATTTTACATTGTTTTAAAGAATGCAACGTCCCTTCTAACACCCTCGCCATCATCTACAGGACCAGAGGCACCAGTGAAGATCACCACCTACCCTACGGATGCTAACGTGCCACCCTATGTTGATGTTATGTTCAACTGCACCGCTACCGGCAATCCACCTCCTAAAATTACCTGGACACAAAACGGACGTAGTCTACCTGATGATCCGAGGTTAGGGTTCAGTCACCATCTTCAGTTCGGCGGACAGCCTTATTTTAATGTTATTTAGTTAACTGTATAAACTGAACAGTTTGAACTAAGTTTTTTTGAATCTTGCATTTGTCTTGTCCTCATTTGATATGCTACTCGGATAATAAAGTTACATTACTGATGGCGTTGTTGTTCCAGGTTCAAGGTATCAGACCAAGGATTGTTGATACAGAATGCTGATGTAACTGACAATGCTGTGTACAAGTGCGAGGCTAGCAGTCAAGTCAGTCACGAGTCTGCCAGCGCTACTCTATACGTAGATGGTGAGGAGACATTATTGCTTAGATAATTAGTGTTTGGAGCTTTTGTAACATCTGTAGTGAAGTGTGGTTGTTCTTTTTTCTGCTTCGATAAATTTGTATCCTAAACTTTATGGTATTCTCAATACTTGAGAGGCTAACCTTACAATTTCTATCAGCAAGCAGCTGTGACTTTGAAGCTGGAACCTGCAACTGGTTGGACTGGGTCGGTAACGACGATTTCAACTGGACTATTGGCGCTGGGCCAACTGCTTCGGGCAGCACAGGACCTCCTAACGATCATACCTACGGAACAGGTACACATTTGAATGTTTAACCATCCGATGCCTCACTATTATAGTGCAATCTATGATGAGATGTTTTTCAAAGATATGTCGATGCCATTATTTTAACAGATTACCTTCCTCTCAGGAGCTGGTCACTACATCTACACTGAAACCAGCCCGCCGGTAGTTAAGGGTCACCAGGCCATCATTGAGAGTATGTGGTACAATCCTATTGGCAGAATGATGTATACCAAGTTTACTTTCTGGTATCACATGTACGGTGCTACCACCGGTTCTCTCGAGGTAAACCTGGTTATAATCTTTAGATATTTGGGTTTTTCCTTTCTTACTTTCTTAGATTGTCTAATTCTGTCATGGGTATTTTTGCATGTTTTTAATCTCTGATGTTTTCAGTTGGTGATGGTAGATCAGAATACCAAGACAACAAGTCTGTGGAAAGTTAACGGTAACCAAGGTGACCAATGGCAGCAAGGTTCAGTCGACGTCATGGCGTCTGCTTTCAAGCTGCAGTTTATAAGTGTTGCTGGCAACGGTCGTCTAGGTGATATGGCTCTGGACGACTTCCAGTTCTTACCAAAAGTTATGCCATCCTGCCGACACAGCGAGTTTACCTGTGAAAACAACGGAAACTGCATAAAACCCACCAAAGTGTGCGATTTCCACAGTGACTGTCCTCTCAAATCTGACGAAGTCAGATGCGGTCAGTACAATTTAACTCTTAACTTATAAGATTTGAATTTTATCAACTCTCAGAATTGAATAGAAATTCGGGAATGTTTATAGTTAATAATAATGTTTTTCTGTTACAGGAACATGTGACTTTGAGCGATGGGTGACCTGTGGTTGGAACCAGGTGGAAGGTGATGACTTTGACTGGATCAGACAGAGAGGAAACACCGCCTCTTATGGAACTGGACCCGGTGTTGATGCTACCTCCGGAAGTGACCTAGGTACTTAGCGTCCCTCGTTTATTATTATCACAAAGCTATAACACACTCATTTACCTCTATTCGTGGATATTTTCTAAATATGTACCGGTGTTCACAAAGATATTAACCTGTCTTGTACCTCAGGTCACTACATGTATGTGGAAGCATCGTACCCGCGAGTGAAGGGAGATGTTACCAAGCTGAGAAGTCCTACTTTCCCAATGTCTGGATACAACTGTCAGATGCAGATAGCTTATCATATGAGAGGGTATCACATTGGTACTCTGGCTGTCGAGGTTCTAGCTGACGGTGGCAGAGAGGTTAGTTTGTATGGTGGAATGTTTTCTATGCGGGATAAGTTTACTCGTTGGCGAAAATAACCATCTTTCAACTTACAACCTTGATCTATAGCTTAGTAATAGCTTGCCCCTGACCTCTTGTCATGTTTGCAGGTAATGTTCCAGAGAGTGGGAGAGCAGCCTGACGGTTGGCAGCGAGCCAACATTACCATCGGAGGTCTTACAAACTTCAACATCACAATCTGGGGAATAGTGGGTGATGGATACGCTGGCGATATTGCTATTGACGATCTAGCTCTGATGAACTGTGAACCTCCTTACTGGGAATATGTACAGATCACTCAACCACCGGTCAGTAAACCCACACATTTTAATTTTCTTGACAAGGTCAAACCTGTTTCAATGGTATAGCTTTTACTGTTTTTGCGGAAAGTCGTGTTAAAGTTGATGACGTAAAATGGCAGAAGATAATACCGTTATATAGTATATAAACATGATATATATCTTCTTGCTTTACATATTATAGTAAGATTCACCAGGATTTCGTGCAAAGTGTATTCGTCATAGTAATGAAATATATTGAAAATAATATTCAGCCATAAGATTAAAAATAAATCGGGAAAAAAGGAACCGGCTCCAAAGGGGTCGATTAAATATTCTTCAATGTGTGTGATCATACGTACTGTTGTCTATGTTGTTGTTGTTTGTATTCGCATTTATCGTTGTATGTCGCCAATATAATATGATCTTTAGGACTTATAGTAAGCTTGAGTAAACAAAATTGACGTATCATGAAAAATGTAGATTTGTTTGACGCTAATGACTTCTAATTGACACGCTGTTTATATTAACCCTTCCCTTATATTAATATCAATTCTAATTAAGTCGCATGATGAATGCTATATATCCACCAGCGGGCTATATTTGCGCCAGCAGGCCCGCGTAGCCCGCTAGTTAGAAGACCTGTTATATCCCGGCCCGCTGTCACAGCCCGCTGATATAGCGGGCTGCCCGCTATACCAGCGAGCGATATAGCGATATAGCCCGGAGATATATTTTATTTTTGTGTTCTATTGTGTTCCCGATAGAAATTGTGTCCTGTTTTTTGTTTTGAAACTACGTAAGCAAGTACTTCGTGATCTCGAGCTCTCTAATTGGTAACTGATGGTATTACAGTCAGTTTATAGTTATTAGGTAGGTTATGGAACTGCTGGAGCAACGAGTGCCGAAGGCACGAGTTCCGACAGCTGTTCCATAACTTACTTATGGTACAGCACATCAAGATAGATAAGGCTACAATTTGCGACCAAAAAAACCAAATTTGGACTTAATTAACAATTTAAAAAACACGTTTTTATATTTTCTTCCGTAACGCTGACCAATCAGAGACGATCCACGTGGCCTATAGCATGATCACTCTTGCATGTCACGTGAAATATTTCCTCTATTTCATTGGATGCTTACTTGTGGGCACGTGTAAAACCGGTTTTTAGTTACTCAATAAGTTGTTTGTATACTCCAAACAACTTATTGAGTAATGCATTTTTTGGCAGATCTTTTAATTGAGTTTTGAGGTGAGATTGAGAGGATTAGCGTACAAGGACCCGGTCCTATTTGATCTTTTTGTGCCAGGAATCTTCATTTATTTTGATTTCTCATCACTTATGTCTCGTGACTACGATCCTGTGTCTGGTCCTCTTAATTATGTCAGTTTCCGTTACACCTGCATCAAACAGTGTGTTGATGGTGAATTGTTCTTAAGGAATGATTAGTCGCCTTAATTATTAGGAGTGAAAAAAGCGCTTTATTTAAATCCGCTTTACCAGGTAGTTTTGATAAATAAAACTTGAATATATTTTCAAATTATTGTTGGTGATAATTTCCTGTTCAAATTTATTATATGAAAGTAGTTCCTTTCCGATCTACTCTAATTAAAAACGTTTAAAATGATACTTATAGTTAAGTGTCATCAAACAAATGATACGACGTATTCCAGGGTGATCTGCTGAAGACTCAACTAGTTTCGGCCTTTGAGGGCCATCCACAGGAGTGTCACCAAGCAGGAGTCAAAAATTTAATAAACTGATATCAGAAGAATATGTCATATTAATAAACATACGGTTAATTAATCTGAAAATCCATAGTAAAGTTACAAACTCATGGGGCAGAAAAAAAACAAAGTGTAATCTCGGTGTAACTTTACTATGGATTTTCAGATTATATTAATTAACCGTATGTATATTAATTAACCGTATGTTTACTAATATGACATATTCTTCTGATATCAGTTTATTAAATTTTTGACTTCTGCTAGGTGACACTCCTGTGGATGGCCCTCAAAGGCCGAAACTAGTTGAGTCTTCAGCAGATCACCCTGGAATACGTCGTATCATTTGTTTGATGACACTTAACTATCTTGTGATCCTTTACTGCTATATTCCGGGGCGATTGTGGCTAAAAAACTCGATATTGGCTTGTTTTCCCACCTCAACGTCAGCGAAAGCTCTAATAAAATGATACTTCATACTTGACCCGTGCTGTTCTCTAGAACTATAAGGATGTGAATCTAATCTCACATAAATATTCAGAAAAACCGGTTTTACTCTGAGACGCTTGTGAATGGCCATTGCAGCCAAGTGCTGTGTCACGGGGGCATGTCTCGTGACTACGTCGCTCGACAGTCGACTACCACGTGCTTGTGCCGTACCATAATACAGTATATAAAGTCAGTTGATAGAGTCATAGCGAGCACCCAATCGTTTGATCGGCCCTACACACGGTGCACTAATTAAGTTTAACTCTCATTGTACATCTGACGTGTTGTCATGGTAACAGGAATTATTTGTTACTCGTAGCATGGATTGATGGAGAATGGAGATACACAGTTTTTAATCTATGTTAATGATTAAGTGATAAACATCCCGTTGACTGTTCATCGAATCGTTGATGTGTAAATTGTAATACCATTATAGTACGTCTTCTCCTTTTGATGGTGTAAGCTGTGTAGTAAGCTGAATTTTGTTTTTTTATATTCAGGCCGGATTTGTACTTGTAAATATATTGTGTACCGAATAGAAACTTGCCCTGTTTTGACACCGCCAGTTAAATGTTGTTTTTGCGAATTTGACGTTCAGCTCTCACGTTTTCTCCGTCTCCAACTCTCCTGGTAACTATAGTCATAGATGCTTACAGTTAACGAACTCACACTCATCATGGCGATGGCCTGCATTATGATCGTTTACAATTACATGAAGCAATAAGCTGACAATTTTTTTGATAACGGCCGTTTTTTTTTCGGTTCTCTATTCTTCTATTGTGTTCTATAATCAGTAATTTTGCCCTGTTCTGCATCTTAAACCAAAGGCAAAAGCATGATTTTCTCGTAAATTTGCAACTTGAGTTCGAAATATTTTACTTCTATTTGCTATGATTGTTGTACTATTTGTTGGAAACTGTAAAGCGCCCGCTGGTGGATATATATATTATATACTTCCAACGACGATCAATTAATAGCTTGCTATTAATTTCCAGTTTTATTCACAGTGTAGATCATGTCGTCACTTCATAGAGACTACTTCTATTCCTCGATAGTTTATCATAATGCAAATTTGAAAATTAAGATTGCTCCAAGAGTCCCGTTATCAGTTGTTTGATCACGGGCAGTAAATGGTTTTACACAATTTAATACGCTGCTTTCGTTTTATTCAATTACATTAAATTGATATTCCTCAATTGTTTAGGCACATTTTAGGACTAGGATGGCTCCAAGCATTCCTGTTGTAGTTCACTTCGCTGTTGCAGCATTCTTCGGGAATGTTGCCTTCTGCGCCATGGGCTTCGGGATGGGAATTTGCTTCCTCTTTCTCTATCAGATAGGTGCTATTGCAGGACTAATGGAATGCTGTGGACTACCTGGTTTAAAGAATGCTGTTTTTCTTCAAACTATAGCGTTGGCAGTGATTCAACCCATCATGCTCTGGAATGTGGGACTCAGGAACAACATCAGGTGGGAGATAATGCTACTGATGATACCCTCACAGCTGGTGGCAGCTCCTTTGGGGCAGTATCTTCAGGACTACACTCCAGCTCCCGTTCTTAAAACCATTGTTGGTGTACTGACCATCGGAGTTGCAGGCTGGCAAATCTTCAATATCTATTGCTCGACTAGAAGCAGAGGTCCAGCGATTCCTGTGGATTTAAATGAGGAAATAAAGAAGGAACCAGTATATTTTATGATTGGGAGTCAGAGATCAGGCAGCAACTGGCTTCAACTTTTGATCAATAAAAGGCATCCCAGTATCGCAGCCCCTCATCCTCCACACATCTTCAAGAATTTCTTTCCCATCCTTTCAAACTTTGGGAATTTATCCTCTGACACCAACTTTGACGGACTGGTAAATGCGGTATGCGATTTTGTAGAAGCAAACCCAGTGCCATGGCTGAACAAATCTCAGTCAGCGATTAAACTAAACCGATTGATGATCAAACAACAGTGTGAAGGTAAAAGAAGTCTGATAATGTTATTTGAGGTGATAATGGATATCTTTGCAAAAGCAAACGATTGTCAAACATGGATTTGTAAATCGATGACGGTAGGATTATACCAGGACGAGCTTTACAGACATTTTGGAGGCAGGTTAAGATACATCTACATCTACAGAGATCCGAGGGATGTTTGTCTGTCTTTCAAAGAGGCTCCCGTAGGGCCCGCTCACTACTTCATCATATCTACAACTTGGGCAATCCAGCAGAGGATTGCTCTTGATCTTCTGAAATCGTTCCCGTCAGTCCATGCCGTTAGTTACGAATCCCTCCTTCAAGGCAAAGAAATTCAGCTGAAATTACTGGACTATTTCCTGTCTAAAGGTGGAAAAAATAGCCATTCTGACGTCACACCAAAGACAAATGGGGAGCTTGTTGAAGCTGAGAATAGGGCGGAAAAGTCAGTTCTGTGGAGAAATCTCAGACGGGGATCTAGTTTTACAGTTGTTCAGTTAAATAAATGGGAAAAGTCGTTACAAAAAGACGGAATAGAGTTGGAGATGGTTGAATCAGGTAGTTGGGATGTTATGAAGGAATTAGGATATGATCACGTGACAGAGAGTAAGAAGGAATACACTGAGGATGAGGTGAAGTGTTTTAAAGAACAAGATGAAGTAGGAAGGAATGCAAAGAACGTAAAGTTAAAGGAAGTAGATTTCTTGGATTGGGAAAGAAGAGAGAAGCAAAAGGCGATATTATTAAGAAAGCACCATGGTACGCCACTAAAGGAAAACAGCGCATTGGCAATCGTGAATCCGTCCACGACTAAGGATGCTGCTTTGTCATCTCCGACAAAATATAGCAACAATAACGCAGACGAAATCACTGAAGTGGCGCCAAAAAGGAAACCAATTGATGATTGTAGCACGGAGTTGAGAGAAATAGGTCGGGAGCTGAAGAAAGAGCTGTGGCCACCACGAATAATCACAATGTGGATGTTTGTTTCAGGGTTTGTGAGCGGTTTTCTCGGAGGTCTGATCAGCGTAAGAGGACCCCCTTTAATTGTATTCTTCTTCTTCTACGATTATCCGAAAGTTCAAGTCAAAGCCAACGGAACGGTTATAGCTGCAGTCAACACGCTGGTCCGGATTATTACTTACATCGTAAAGCCAACTCCGCCAGAGTATGGGCACGATACTTGGTTTGTTGGAGAGGATGTTTGGCTCTATGTGGTGGTGGCAGTGGTCGGGGTACTCGCTTCTCCAATTGGAATTTACCTGTCCAGATATTTGAACAAGTGGACCTACAAAGCTGGACTTGCCGTTCTGTTGATCATCAACGGGATCACCATGATTGCTACATCGATAGTAAAGTTGTCCGAATAGAGATTCAATGAAGTTTCAGAAGAATACGGTAACAGAGCTCCCCCCCCCCCCCCCCCCCCCCCCTAACAGAGGTCCTTCTACGCTAATCAGGCGAAAGATTAAGACAAAGTGACTTATTCAGTGGCGTAACGTTTCAGCGGGGCCCTTCGTCACGCCATTAAGTTTAAATCCGTTTTATCTGCATGTATTTTCGAAGCTACAATAAGGAATACTACACTGGACTTTTATTTCGATAAACTAACCTCATTTTAACCGTGAAATCTGTTTTTTTAAAGTCTCGTTTTATAGCAAGACCAAGTTGTGAACTGTGCATCATGAATTAGAATACAATATACAAAGTAAAAAGTTGCTTCTTTTATTTGTCAAAGACTATTAAGAAATGAAAATTTTTGACGCTGGCGAAAAAAATCGACAAACATTTTTTTCGAAGATTGAACTAAACTTTTGGTGTAGCCTAACAATAACCCTCTTCCAGGCCGACACCTCACTAGAAGAAGGAGAGAGACTGGTCCTACCCTGTAGCTTCAGAGGAATACCCCCTCCTACAGTCACCTGGACTAAAGATGGTGGTGCTGTACCAGACAACGCTCAGGTAACCATATTCTTGAATTATTATTTATTGGGTCTAGCAGAATCTTATTACTTTGATTTATGAATAATATCCCTCCACCACTTTAGTGTACGTCGTGCGAGTGCTATCGTGCTTCAAACGTTAAAAGGGGCTGTCTCTCTACCGACTTACACGAGGCCTTTCAAAAGCGAAACATGTATCATGAATACTTATAGACTTGACCATAAAGTGCTGTTTAAATATTCAGGAGAATGTCTTGCTCCTTATCTAATTCAATACTATTACCAGGTGAAACTGAATGGTACCCTTATTATCGAGGACGCCAGCACGTATGACTCCGGTCTTTATGAGTGTACCCTACATAACACCTACTACACACAAGCAGCCTCAGCCACTGTCTCTGTCAAGGGTTCCGTGGGTAATTGCAACTTTGAGGATGGTCTGTGTAACTTTAGGGATGGTATGGACGAGGTTGACTTCTTCTGGTCACGAAACACAGGGTCTACAGGCTCTTGGGGAACTGGACCTGTCACAGATCACACCATCGGAACTGACCAAGGTATTTGTTCTTGCAAATTTTATTGAGGTTATAACGTAAACTGTCCACCTATCATGAAGAAAGTTTTTTTTCGAATGGTTCCTAAATGAATACACCCCTGATGACAAGACTTCCATTCAGGTTACTACATGTTCATTGAGACCTCCTCTCCACGAACAACTGGAGACGTTGCGATCTTGGAGAGCACCTGGTTGAACAACGTGGCCGAGTCTTGCACCCTCAGGTATTACCTTACTTGCCCTAGTCTGAGTTACAGTCTTCTTTCCTTGAACCCAGCGCATTATGTTTGAAAATATACGGATTATGGAAGCGTTTTCGAAACTCCTCTCATCGGACTATAGTGACTCCTTGTGTGATCCGCTAATTCAACTGTTAAACCCATGCTCCTCAGGTTCTGGTACCATATGTACGGTCAACACATTGACACTCTACAAGTGTACTCTTTAGATCAACTTGGAATCAAAAGAGACCTCGCTTCTCTGAAAGGAGAACAGGTGAATTTACTGAAAACTTAATTACTGTTTTCTCTATTTCCTTTGCCGCTTACTCTGTTCCTAGGTATTTTAGATTTCTGAGATGAAATTATGATCTTATAAAACACTATATTCACAGGGCAACGAGTGGAAGATGGAAGAGGTGAAAGTCTACGGCAGAGGATACCGACGTTTCTACTTCAAGGGCGTAGCTGGTGAAAGTTATGCCGGCGACATCGCTATCGACGACATCAGTTTCAGACGCTGTGAGCTGGAGAAACTGTGCTCAGACGACGACTTTACGTGCGACCTACCACAGTGTATCGAGATGGACAAAGTGTGTGACTTCCAGGACACGTGTATTGACGGGGCAGATGAGAAAGTGTGTGGAACATGTGACTTTGAGAGAGGGGGATGTGGATGGGTTAATGATGAGAGTGCTGACTTCTTCTGGACGTACGCTCAAGGTAGCACCTGGTACTGGGAGAACAAGCCCTCTACTGATCACACCTTCAGCAACAGCTCAGGTACTGCAACTTCTTAACAGTTACTGCAGTCTTTATCAATTACTTAATTCCAATGTTAACTTAGAGCTAGAATTTTGTTTACGTTTTAAAATATTTAAACGATCTCTTCAGGCCACTTCCTGTACATCGAGAGAGCGTACCCCCAAAGACAAGGACAGAAAGCTCGAGTAATGACCCAGTTCAAGGCATCCGGCTACAGCTGTGCTATGAGCTTCTGGTATATTACCGAAGGAGTTGGCACTGGAAACCTGACTGTTTGGATCAACTCTACCACTTACAACATGAGGTATACATATCAGATTAATAGAGGAAACTTGCTAAATAAGACTGTTTAGATTCCTTAGTTGTGTATGAGATCATTGTTCAAATTGCAATCCTTGACTGCCTCGACAACTATGATAGTCTTTATACGGCAAGTTCTGAACATAGTGTGAATCACAGGAAGGTTTACGAGAACACAACGCCAAGCAAGGACAACACGTGGCAGAAACAAGCTATCCCTATTGGAGCTCAAGACGAAGTGACAGTTTTAATCGAAGTAAGCCTGTCGGGACTTTTTACTGAAATAATGGTGATAATGTACACGATCTCTCTATTGTGAGAAGAGGGTATTTTCACGATACTTGGGTCGTTATTCTCACCCCGCCATCGCGCGTCGCGATCAATAGCATGTGTAATATGTGACTCAGGAAAAAGCAAATATTTTCCTACCCACAGTTTTAAAAAGAGAACCTTGCAGGTAACGGTTGGTTCAGGATACGGCGGTCACGTGGCTGTGGACGACATTGTGTTCCATAACTGCGCGGAAGTGGAGAGAATCCCGGGCACGTGCACATTCGAGCACGGTTCATGTGGCTACAAGGAGTACATATTCAATGATGAATACAACTGGATACTAAACCAGGGACCTACCCCATCATATTATACTGGACCTGCTGCTGATCACACTTACGGTGAGTTTTATCTACCGTTAAAAACTATAATTTTGTGATCAGAAAATTATTGACTCTAAATTTGCGCCGTTTGTTCATATCTGAGGTAAGGACATTATTTGCGATACATAGGTATCTGTAATCTAGATTTGGCACTAGCCGCAACTCGATGGTCTTTCCGATGAGCCTCTTCGCGCGATAAAAATAGGGCGCCTGGCCTCAGTGACTTACTTCCAACGATTTTGTATTTAACTCTCATGGAGTTCCAAGGTTCTCCAAACTCCACGACCACTGTAGTTCTGATGTAATTCACGTCACTCTCTAGAACCAAGTCTTGCCACCCCTGCAACGTCATCCCTCCGTCACATTCACTGAAGTTGGCGGCTGTGTTAGAGCTGTTCACCTCAGCATATGGAGGTCGAGCGAACTGCCAACTGACAATGTTTTTGGCGCCTTTTTTCAGGGTCTCAGAGTCTTTGCACTTGCCAGTTTTATTGCCGAGTTCCATGGTGTTTTCTGCGAGTAATCCGGATGATACCCGGAAGAATATCTTTGTGTATCCAATATATGTCCCGTTGGTGTAGAGGCCCACGAAAACATTGAAAGCTAAATCTTGTGTGAAGTTTTCCGCTTGGAAGATTCTTGTTTTTAACTTCTGGAATTCCGGATTAAACTCCACAAGATCTTCAGTCGTGGACAAATTTAACGCAGAGTGGTTGAAGTGTGTTTCTTCCGTGGGATTCTGCATTGTGGAACCTGAATATTTTCATCTTGAGCAACTTGTTTAATTCACCCCTTCTCTTAGGAGGACTGTCTCGACATAATTATAAATAACTCTCTGGATACCGAACCCGGCCCAACAAGTTCGAAATTTTCAATATCACAATGAAAACTAACAAAATGGATCGACAGCTGCCTCCAATTCGTCTATTTTGATGGTGGTGACTGGAGAGTGACATCATGCCAACACCCAAACAAACAAAAGATATACGAAAGGGGACATCAAATACATAATGATAGAAAAACATGTTAATTGTTAAATCCAGATCTGCTTACTTGATTGAGAGAATGCACCTTGCATCTGGAAGAAAGCTACGACTAAGACAGTTGTCCAAGTTGCCATCCCTCCAGCATTGGTCATCATCATCTTCAATGTCGGCTACAAATAACTAAATAATGTAAGATAGTTTTGTTTTTATGGGAACCAAGAAACGGTGTTGCATAAACTAACAGTGTCACAAAGCTAATGGTGTCACAGAAACAAACAATGTTACAAAAGCTAAAGGTGTAACATATGCCAAGTGAACAAAGAAAACAAGGATTTGTCCACGTCCAAAGTAGGTTTGACAAAATTGGCGTCTGCGCTAAGTTGCTTTTAGAGGGAGAGCTCACTTAGCGATTGTCTTCACATCCCTAAAACCAGAGCAAGCTCTCACATCATTAAAACAGCCCTCACAGCGTCCGCATTAACTTCATTCAATGACATTAACACAAGCTCACAAGACACATTATGATTTCATATAGTTTCATTACCTTCGGTGTAAAAGGTTACAGAGTGTTGCCTCAGTAACATATTAGTTATACGACAATATGTAAATCATGCACGTTAACAATATTAATAATCCTGAGTTTGAATTATTATGAACGTGCATGATTTATGCAATGTGCATACACTAGCAGGTCCTTTACTACTCATACTCAGAGACACTTCTTTCACAAATACACTAGTTTCATATTTGGTTGAAGAGCGTATAACCAGCAAAGAGGGTCGTGACTCGTGGTATGGTGATTATGTAAATATACCGATTAAGATACAATAGACAAACCAAATGAGTCTCTCAGTTTGACTGCTGGACAGTGCCTGTCACCAAGTTTTCCTGCGAGCTACTTTATAGCAGCGTACTGTTCAATATTTCATGGAGCAAACATATACATCTTATCAGGAGATAAGGTATAAATTAATATTTAGAAACGAATATTTGTGATAATTTAAGATAAATGAGCATAGAATATTGTAATAAGTTTAGTGTAATAAGCGCCGTGAGTGAGAGTTGGTACAGAATATTTCGTCCCCTATTTTTGTAAATTTGGTCCCAAAAATAATACTAATTCACCGGGAAGCAAGATTAGGTGAGCAGTCTGATATTTTTTACATTTACGAAATAACCGAACCAAAACAGGAAGGCAAGTAGAAAGTATATAAGTATACTACAAGGGCAGCAATAGTTAACGATTAAGGATACCCTATGACAAATTCACCTTTAAATATTGGCTATATTGTTTGCTACTCATGGGTCAACAAAAAGAAAGCAACTCACAATCATGCCAAAATTTCACAATGTTAGAGAAATTTGGAACGAAACTAGGGCGCCGATAGAGAATGATAAAGTTCCATGTGATACATAGAAATTTTGGTGGCTTTCGCTATTATCAGTCTAACTCAGCTTCAGGTACTTCCAAACAATTGTTTTTACACTCTGTGTTAATTAAGACATCACTCCATGATGCGTTCGTTCACACGGATGAAACATTAAGTTGGCTCATTTGAATATAATACAGTTACCCTGCAAGTAGATGGATGGTTCGGCAACTTCAGGAAACCACTTTTAGAAAATTCCCCCCGGAACTGGAGAAAAATAATTCAGTTACAATAAGTCCATCAAAAGCTGAAGTTACAAGGTATTACTGAATTGTTGGTAAAACGCAGTTGTTAAAATCACGGTTGCGCCCAGGTAACTAATCCCTGTTTAAACAGCTCTAGAGCAAGGGATCACAAGAGCATAAAGCAATATACGAGCATAAGTCTGGAAAATTGTACTGATCTTTCGTATAAACGTTTACTGATCTTAGGATTTTGGTTTCTGGCGAAGGATTGTTATAAAGTTATAATAACATAAACCCGCCACGCAAAGGGTTTATATAACAGATCATCCCGCGCTAGCGGGATGATCTGATAAACATATACGAGTGCGCGCAGCGCACGAGTTTTGTGTTAATATGTAATCCCGAAGCGCCAGCTGAGGGATTACATTTATTTAGCCCTGAGCGTGAAGTGTTTATGGATTATAATCATCTCCGGCGATTTCGACAAGGGATTTATACTTTAGATTGGAAAGCAGTTCATCAATCTGAATGTCAAACCGATCTGTCATAGTGGAGCAATAGCTTGAACGTTAGCAGGAACAAGAGCTGGAAGGAGAGCAAGCAAAACAATACTATTTTTAGGGCACGGACAAGGGTAGCTGGCTAGTCGCCAATGCAACTTCTCACGCCACGCGTTGGAGAAATTCCAAGAATTAGCTGCTTTGGCAACGTTCCCAGGAATTTGCGTGTAAAAGAAGTGGACGGTTACGATGTTTCATATCACGTGGTGCGCTTTCGTGTCACGTGGTATAGACTCGGCGTATGCTATTGGTGGCACGTGGTACGCACGTGACGCGCCCACGTGATCGCGCGTCTAACTGTTCTACTATTATCGAGTTCTAATCAGCAGTATCATTGATTATTGTAAGTCGGAGAATTGAATGATAAACATCAGTTACGACTAAAAAGCGGGCCGGGTTTATACAAATTTCCGGGGCGGGATGATATCACCTTGAGATGTTTATCTAACAGCGGGCCGGGCTGAGTGATAATATGATCCGATCCCGCGTCGAAATCCCGGAGATATTTATATTATGTTAATGATGGGAATAAGAAGAGCCGTCAATTCATTTTCCTATTGCATGTGGCTATAACCTCACTGGTGTCATCTCACACTGATCCTTTAGACAGGATATATCAGCACCACCTTCCTATCCTGTTTAGGGGAGATCTCATAAAATATAAGCAAAAAGATAAAGATTAACACCTCTCACATACTTATTGTTAACAAAGGTTTCCCAACCAGGTAACGCAACAGGACACTACTACTACGCTGAAGCGTCCGCCCCTCGCAAGATGGGTGATCAAGCCACACTGAACAGCCCCTGGTTCCAGACCCAGGAAAGTCAGTGTATCTTCACCTTCTTCTACCACATGCAGAAAACAGACACTGATGTGGCCACTAAACTGGTTATTAAACAGCAGTATGACAGTATGGAGATCAAGACTGTGGCTACCATAGACGCGTCAACCACTGAGGAGTGGGAACACGGATCTGCTACGGTGAGTAGAACTAGAATATTCTAGAATTTGTTTTTAATTTAATAACTTTTGTAATTCATATCCTTTTGTATTCATATCCTTTCTTTTATTACTTACCATATATTAATTCTTTTATTATTTATGACATTACTTTTTCAGTTTACAAATGGAATATTCAAAGTTCTGTTCGAGGCCAACAGAGGTGTATCCTACTTTGGCGACATCTCTATTGACGATATCAGCTTCGCATGTGATGTGACTCCTTTGTGTACCGATCAACAGTACGCTTGTAATATCGCTCAGTGCATCCCCAAATACAGGTAACTTTTCTCTTATTTTATCCGACGTTTTTTAATTTCCAGAGTAATATCTCAAAAGTTGAATGTGGAGTATTTGCTTCCATGGGTTATAGTCACCCTATCAATAATTTGTGTGACACATCATTCAGCCTCATCTCCCCTTAGTTACAACTTAACCATACAGCTCTGGCGTTCCAGCCTATAAATAACACCCACCCCTCCCCAGACAGTGTGATTTCTACCCGGATTGTGGAGATGCCTCAGACGAGTGGATGTGTGGAGCATGTGACTTTGAGTCGTACCACGTGTGTGGTTGGGAACAGGATAGGACTGACGACTTCGACTGGACCAGGCACCAGGGCCCCATTACTGCTGGCTACGTTGGTGAGCGCGCCATTACTGAAAACTGTTTGCCATTTGTTTGCATAAAATTGGCAAAGTATTAGATGGCCAGTTGGTAGATCACCGACCGGCTATAAGCCGGCTACTAACCGGCTATAAGCCGGCTTATAGCCGGCTACAATTTTTATAGCCGGCTATAAGCCGGCTTATAGCCGGTTAGTAGCCGCTTACATTTCTGGTTGAGCGACGGCTATTAGCCGGTTATAAGCCTGCTATTAGCCGTTTTGGTATTAAAAGTGGTTATAAGCCGGTTATAAGATATTAACTCAACTACATCGTACTGAACGATAGTCAGGAGCCGGCTATAAGAAATTCAGTGAAAACGGCTATTAGCCGGTTATAAGCCGGCTATTAGCCGTTTAGGTATCGAAAGTGGTTATAAGCCGGCTATAAGCCGGTTATAAGATATTAACTCAGTTCAGTACGATGAAGTTAAGTTAATATCTTATAGCCGGCTTATAGCCGGCTTATAACCACTTTCGATACCTAAACGGCTAATAGCCGGCTTATAACCGGCTAATAGCCGTTTTCGTTGAATTTCTTATAGCCGGCTCCTGACTATCGTTCAGTACGATGAAGTTGAGTTAATATCTTATAACCGGCTTATAGCCGGCTTATAGCCGGCTTATAACCACTTTCGATACCTAAACGGCTAATAGCCGGCTTATAACCGGCTAATAGCCGTTTTCACTGAATTTCTTATAGCCGATACCTAAACGGCTAATAGCCGGCTTATAACCGGCTAATAGCCGTCGCTCAACAACAAATGTAAGCGGCTACTAACCGGCTATAAGCCGGCTTATAGCCGGCTATAAAAATTGTAGTCGGCTATAAGCCGGTTTATAGCCGGCTTATAACCGGCTTATAGCCGGTCGGTGATCTACCAATTTCCCTATTAGATTACTAAATTTTGACAGATCAACGCAACGTTTTAGTCTATTTCGACCCAATGAGGTGAAAGTTTTTAACGATTTTTCGGCCTCAGGTCCAACTGCTGACCACACATTTGGAAACAGTTCTGGTCACTATTTCTACACGGAAGTAAGTGGCATTGCAAGTGGATCTAAAGCAAGGATCATGAGTCCCACCTACGCTCAGACAAGTCGGGTCTGTAAACTACAGTTCTACTACTGGATGGAGGGAAGCGGTATCGGTGAGTGTTTAGTCAATATAAAGAAAAAATAGATTAAAATAAAGTCTTCAAATTTCTTGTAAACATACTAACATATAATATGCCAATTCATTGGAAATACCTTTAGTTTGATATTGGTTCCACTCCCAGGTGACCTGAATGCGTACACGATGGTTGGAGGACAGCAGAATCCAATCTTCAAGGAATCAGGAGACCATGGGTCAGGATGGCAGTTTGCCAACCTTACTCTCGGTTCACTCAAAGACTTTAGCATCACTATCGAGGTAGTCCACACAACTGGCAGCTTCTTAGGAGACATAGCTATAGACGATATCCAGTTCGTGGATTGTACCCCGGGAGCGGAGAACAGTCCTGCCTCCTGTGATTTTGAGGGTGGAATATGTTCTCTTCAACACGTGACTGCTAATGTAGACTTTAATTGGGAGAGAAACAAGGGAGGAACTGGTTCCTGGAACACTGGACCTAAATTGGATCATACTACTAACTCGGCTGATGGTTATTACATCTACACTGAGGCTTCTTATCCTAGACGAGAGGTACTTACTACTTATTATACATCTAGCTGAAAATTTAGATTATGACATTATTAGGTTCGCTTACTTATATTCTAAAATGATATGTTATTATAGTTGTCCCGATCTCCTAACCCTACGTATCATTAACAGGGTGATGTAGCTGCAATCCAGACAACTTGGCTCAACTCTCCAGGACCTTGTACTCTGAACTTCTGGTACCATATGGAGGGGGAGGACATCGGCTCTCTGGATGTCGATGTTATCGACACTGCGGGAAAAGCAGACTCGGTAAACCTTGTTGAAAAGTTATAAATCGGAGATATTTCTAGAAATATCATTTTAGATCAAGGAAATACCTCTGATTGTCCAGAAGTAAATCTTATTAGGTTGCATGTTCTTGAAGTGACACTAAATTTCTACAGCTGTTCTCACAAAGTACGGCTAAAGGAACAGACGAATGGCATCTGGCCAGCCATTTCATTGGTAAGCTAGAGAACCAGAGGATTAAGTATACTGGAACTAGAGGAAAGAACTATGAGGGTGATATCGCTTTGGACGACATCAACATCGTTGGATGTGATGTGAGTATTGATTAAAACTCTAGATTGACAGGGAAGGTTTTACAAGATGACTCGATGGAAAGATATGCAATAGTTTGAGAAGTTTGTCCAGTGGAAGTATTTAAATTCTGTTTTCTGATCACAATACTCTCCAGGTAAACGCTCTCTGTAGTGGAAAAGAGTTCTCTTGTGGAGTACCGGAGTGTGTCGATGCTAACCAAGAGTGCAACTTCAGAACGGAGTGCTCTGATGGCTATGACGAGAAATTCTGTGGTAAGCTCGGCAGTTTGCGTTTAAATTGGGTTCGCATAAAAATAATCGTGGAACAAGTGTTTGATAGCACGAGGATGACCAATATTTATCACTTTTAAAACTTTGAAAACTTACTATATTTCCCACTAGGAACGTGCAACTTTGAGGACAATATATGTGGCTGGATCCCAGACGATTCGTTCGGCCTCACCTGGAACAGACAAGCGGGCACCAACTACACCTACGGTTTCGGACCTGACCACACCTATGGTAAAACTAAGCCTGGCTATTTCATGGCCATGGAAATGTGGAAGGGAGATGATCTGGAAGCTAGAATGGTTACCAAAAAGTTCCTGAAGTCTGGAGTTAGCTGCACACTTGATTTCTATTGGTGGATGGCGTTTAGTAGTGGAGGACGTCTCGCTGTGGAGGTTGAAGAGGACGGAAAACCACCTGTGGTACGTTACTTTTTTTAAAAGATGGACTTTTTGGAATTTTTGTTATTTTGATTTACTGTGATCTATTTTTGCATTCATATGTGTTTATGGTTTAACATTTGTTATGCTCTTCAGGAACTATGGAGCGTTGACGGAGACCACGGTACCGTATGGAATCACGGAGTAGTAAAAATCGGAGCTCTGACTAACTTCAAAGTAGCGTTCAAGGGAGTGAAGAACTACCAGTGGAATTGGAAATACACCGGACTGGATGACATCAGCTTTATCAACTGTCAGGCCCCTCAAGATCTGGGACCAGGAGAGTGTCACTTTGAGTCCGGAATGTGCGGTTACAAGGACGAACAAGTCTTTGATGACTTTGATTGGGTCCGACACAAAGGTTAGACTTAATAATTAGTCTCGAAGAAAATGTTTTATTTTCATACACATTACACATACTTTTAAAATTTGGTTAAAAGTTCTTCAGATTTCCTTCGCCCCTTATCTATTTGTAATTAAATATATCTCAGGTTCGACCTGGTCATGGGGAACTGGACCCAGCATGGACCACACAATCGGCACAACTGACGGTTACTTTATCTACTTGGAGTCATCCTACCCCAGGATCGAGGGAGACATCGCCAGGATACACTCTCCTTGGCTGGTTACCTCTGGAAGTGACTGTAGTCTCAAGTTCTGGTTCCACATGTATGGTGTACATATCGGCAATCTAAATGTGAGTTTAGATAATTACAACTCGGGAATGACTGCAACAAATTATTTTCTAGGACAGTACATGAACAAATGAAAGGAACTTGCTAATATGTATTGCCTCACCTTTAACTCTCAGGTGTTCATTGAGGACTCAGCTCACCAACGAGAACTAATTTACACGACCAACACAAACGTGACCGCTGACTGGCAGTCAACAGTTATCAGGATAGGATCCAGACCCATCATGAGGGTCACCTTCGAGGGAGTCAGAGGCAAGGACTACCAAGGTGACATCGCTCTCGATGATATCAGCTTTGAGACCTGCCAAGGTGAGTTATTTATACTAAGACCGGTAATAAATAAAAATCTTTTTACCTGGACACGGTTAATATTTCCGAATTTGTTTCACCTTGTTCAGTATCTTATATTATCAGTTGTTCTCGTTAGTCTTACAAATTACCGTCTCCACAGTACAAGCTCTCTGTAAGGCGGATCAGTTCTCGTGTGAGTCTGCTCAGTGTATCGATGCCAGCAAGCAGTGCGACTTTGTCAGTGACTGTGTTGACGGATCGGACGAGACGAACTGTGCTGAGTGCGACTTTGACAATGTTAGTTTTCACGCACGTTATTTTATTTCATGCGGAAAAGCGCACATATAATCATTTTTGACATCGAAGACGTTTTTAAGTTATATAAAATCTGGTTTTGTATTTTTTGAAACCATCACAGCGAACCTCCTCAGGGTCAGTGCGGATGGACAAACGTTAAGACAGACGACTACGACTGGGACAGAGTTGAAGGATCTGCAGGTTCTGCGGGAACCGGACCTAACTTCGATCATACCTCTGGAAAGGGTTAGTATTTAAAGTTTATACTTCTGTGTAATTGTATGCCGTTATATTGTTTACCTTTAACAATTAGGCTCAACAATTATAGCTATAAATGACAGGTGTCAATTGTGCTCGGGCAGTTAGTGTAATTTAAGTAACTTAAATTATTGCATTAATAATTATTATATTCTTCGTTGAGTATGATAAACTATCTGTAGACTTTCCAGAAATATTAATTTATTCGTCGAGACTCAAGATTAACCTTAATTAGACCTTAGCCCTTCATTAAATGGACCCTTTGTTCAATTACAGGGGCAGATGTTAATTTAGTTTATCAAATTAAACTGTATATAGCGACAATGATTCCTCAATAATGTATGAAGCTCTTTTATATAACATTGTAACTTAACAAGCGGTCAGTATATTAATGAACTCTAGAACCCTGATATCACCCCACCACCCCCAGGGCTCTACATGCTGCTGGAGACATCAGGACGATATGTTCACGACCGAGCAGCTCTGGTGTCCAACATCTACCAGGCATCCTCGGATCAGTGTACTCTGACCTTCTGGTACCACATGAGGGGCATCTCACTGGGAAGTCTTGATGTGGTCATCAACGATACGTGAGTTGGAAATGTAGCTGTTAAAATAATCATAAGAAATCATGAGTCTAGAGTCTAGACTTGCAATGCTTACATACGTAATTGTGCGATTGCAGCTAGATGAACAATTTTAGCTTATGATTTTTACATGCAAGTTTACCCCTTGCCTTTTCTAGGGTATCCATATCCTCTGTTTGGTACAAGGAAGGACCTAGAAGCTATGAAAATGCTTGGCAGTTTGCCAGTGTTAAGATTGGGGCCAGAACTAAGTTCCAGATTCAGTTCATCGGTGAAAGAGGCAGGAGTTTCCAGGGTGACATTGGCATTGACGATGTGAAACTTGTCGGCTGCCAAATAAGTAAGTAACCCTTGCGGCACTGAGAAGCGATGATTTCAAGAATAGTAGTGTTTGCGAGTGATATTTTTTTCTCTACTAAAACGCTGTTTCATTTGAATATTTAAATACTCATAAAATGAGGGTGGTACCCGACTAGCGGTTTAAAACCCTTGTTTCAGGCAAAGGAGGCGAATGCGACTTTGAGAGCGGATTCTGCATGTACCAGGACTCCGGAGACGAACAGTCACCTTGGGTCATATACGATGGGCATAACAACTATCCTGGGGTTATCCAGAAAGATCATACTTTTGGTTAGTTTTATTACTGGGATCACTTTCTTTAAATATGATATCCAACTATTTCCACTCCCAAGAATTACAAATAATACAAAGTTACAAACCAAATGTTTTAAAATACAACGGTGATAGCGTAAATAAAAATAAAATTTAAATAGCAATTATTTGCATGAAATATCTAAAGATCTTCGATAGGCGTCATAAGCAACATAAATTCTATAAAATATCTTCCAGCATTTGCTAAAGTTTCAGATTTCATACACTGTCCCCTTTTCATCATATTCTATCCATTGAATCATACAATGAATCATACAATGCTCCACACTGATAACAAACTCTTAACTCCCTGACCACTTCAGGAACTGCTGACGGTCACTTCTTATTCCACGAGAACTGGGGACCCTCTCAAGCTAACGAGACCTCTGTCATCCTGGGACCCTGGATGAAGTCGGACACCACAAATTGTGTGTTGCAGTTCTGGTACTATCTCAAAGACGCTGATATCATGTGAGTAACTGGTGTTAAGATAGCTTATTTAATTATTGAGACTTGTTTATGTTAAAACTCTTAAGTATCTAAAAACCTGAAGAAAAAACTACATTGGTATTTTGATATCTGAGGTAAGTTGAAGTTTATTAGAAGTTCATTCCCGCACCAATTTTTCCGCGCCCACAGCGTTCATGCTTATCTTTACATGGTTATTGGTTTAAGTCCGGCCATGCACTCGATTGTCAATGAATTGGGGTAGAATGATAGAAAATGATAAGTGGGGTTTGTTAGAAAAGTATTAATGCTCTTACCAGCACCACCGAACACAGATAGCTCCACAATGTTGAAGAATCTCGTTGTTGCACCTAGATATTTTCTGCGTATCTCAACCACTTTTGCGTAAAACTTTTCCTTGCAGTAAACAGTGTAAGTTTGATCTTCAACCGTGTTTCCAGTAAGGTCGACATAGATTGTGCCACATTGATAACTTTTGCTTGGGTCTAAAAAAGTATATTTGTTTTTTTTGTTTTTTTAGTAAAGTTTAAAAAAACGGAGACTTCCGATTTTGATTATCTCAAACAACTAAATTTTCTTACTATCTGCTTTTAACCGTCTTAAACTCACCTTCCCATTCATCGTATAAATAAACTTCTGTCCCATTTAAAGACAACCTACAGTCGATTGCTGACTGTTTTTGGCAATAGCTTGTAATTGTCTTATATTTGTTCACAACTTGTACAGCATGTACGACTGCAGGTTCAAAGGAAGCCTTCAAGTAAGGTACTGCGTCTTCTGCTCCCTCCAGAGATTTAAAAACCGTCTTCAAATCTGAGTCAAAAGCTAACTTCGCCTCATTACCTTTAGATTCAGATGATGCTTCAAAATCTGTTATTTCCAACTGTCGTGGCAAGCCTGAAATTAAACAACCGGTGATTGATTTTGCTACTTAAAGTTAAGATTGATTGGAAAAGATAATAAACTACTAGAAGTCTTCTTGACAAAATTTCTTAGGTTTGCAAATAAGGATATTTGAGGGACCACATGCAAAACTGGTATATCTGAACATATACCAATTTTGCACAGGTAGCACATAGTCTTCAGGGTGAAAAGGTGCATCTTTGGAACTTTTTTTGAACAATTTTGAAGAAATTTTTGAAAAAAAGTGAAATTTTATTTTTCCAAAACTGGTATAACTTACAATATACCATTTTAGCTTTTAACAATCATGAAAAAAATGGTATATCTGCAGATATACCACCTTCAAGAAACTTATCTTCTATAAAACCGGTATATCTATACACATTTTATAGACTTTAGCCAACCCAAATGGTATATCTTCAGATATACCATTCTCAGTTAAATTATTTTATTGTAAATAGTATAGAAAAAATGGTATATCGTGAGATATACCAGTTTGGAACAATTCTAGTTTTAAAAATGGTATATAGACAGATATACCAGAATCTTTTAAATCAGTAAAATGCATTTATCTCAAAACTATCAAAAACAGATATACCAGTTTTGCATGTGGTCCCTCATTTGTTGGTAAAATTGCGACTTAATATTTATTGGATGAATCATGCCTTTAAGTCATATTATCTGAATTCATCAAATTCGAGTTATTACCTGCATTGGTATTGACCATAAGTAGAAATATCACTCGTTCAATAAAATAGCTCGCCATGTTTAACTGTGGTAGAGCCAGAAATATATTATATTAGTGAAGCAACTGAAGCAGGCAGGCATAGAAACAAGTGAAAATGAAAACTGGCAGTCAAGGGTAGTAATTATGTTCGACACTTTTGTGCTTTAGTTAACAAAACAATTGAACTTCCTGGCGAGATCCTAATATATGTTAACAGTTAACGTCTAGTCACTGCAAACAAGAACACAAACTCCTCCCTTAAGTTCACAGTTCACCTGGAATATTATTAATATTTATGAGCAGCTGTAAACTCCTCTCCAGACTTAATTTATAGGCATATAATTGAGGTCATCAGTTATTAGTACAGGTAAGTGCAAAATATCACAGCTGTTAGTTAAGAAACTGAGGATAACATTAGCTATATTACAAGCTCATAGGCGAACTCAGTGAGTTCACACATTAATAAACACGGAAATTAAATGTTAATCATACGTGGTGATAGCGTGATTATTGTATCTTTATGTGCCCTATATTTGAGACCCCTTGTTATTTATAAGTCAGAATAGAGAGCCCTGCCGGAATTAGTAAAATTAAAAACACGTGGCCAAACTGAACAACAACAAGTCGTAGACTTATACGTGATTAAAACTTAACTCGAGTAGAAGGTTATAAAGAGGAATAGGACTTCAGAGTTTAGATATTATGCATCAAACAGTGGACATAATGTTACCTTTGTTAGCTGAACAATTTAGTGGCTGAATGAAAGGAGCTGACGTTTGCGTTAACAAAAGCTCTAAAACCTAAACAGGTTACTGGTCAATGGAACACGTAAGTATTAGATAAAGTAATAATTTCCATTGTATGGTTAATAGCGGCCTTAATATTGGTCCTTGTAGCTGAAAACCTGACACTCTTACGACAGGCCAGGTTGTCGTAATTTGTTGACGTTATACTTATATAAGGTATGGGATTGGATATTGGTAAAATGTGCAATCATATTCATTGTAAATTGTGGGAGTTCAAAAGTGTACAACTACAATAGACACGAAGTGTATAAGGATTAAGGGATTGAAACTAAAATAATCCCTTATTTTAGTTTCAATAAGGGATTATTTAGGAGTTAAGTTAAGTTATAAGCAAAGGTTGTCACTTTTCAGGAAGGTATCAACATTGAAGCTATATGCAGCTGCACTTGATAAGAAAATAACACCAGCCTCAGAAACCTTATGATTGGATTTTTGGAACATTTTATAATTATATACCTACAGGCTAATATACCACCTGTGTTATAGATCCCTCAGCTTATTATACCATGTACTTAGTCATAGCATAATTGCATACTGAATAAGTCAAGATTGGAAACGGTTTACGAATGACTTGTTGATGAAATCCATGTGACGTGGCGCTGTCCATATGCTAAAGTTATATCTCCAGTCTCGCGAGTCTGATTTACTGAGAAGCCTTTGGGGCACCAGCCACAAGGTACTTCAACAATTAGAAGGGTTAGGATCCGCTGAGAATCAGCTTATCATTTAAAACTCTTGGATTTTCTTTAGTCCACCAATAGAATGAGACGAAGCGTAATAGAAAAATAGTATGTGATGGCATATGGTCAGTGGTCATTGGTCAGAGATCACATACTTTTCAATAAGCGCATAAATGTACGCCCTTTCTTTTCCCATAGTTTAGACGTTTACCAACGTAGCTTGAAGTCCTCAGGAGGACTACCGAGTACACAGAAAGGAAACGCACTTTAATAATAATAAACTTTAACAAAAAATAGGAAACTTCTTTACTTTAAAATCATATTAGTACAACTGAACTATTTGAAATAGCATCAATTACTGACCAGTTGTCAGTACATCATACTTCCTGATGTGGTCAATGACCACGTCAAGGAAATGTTTTTGTGGACCTTAAAACCGTGTAACCAATTGGTAGAATCAGTAGTGACAGTTAATATAATCATCTAGTACTTTATTATTAAATCAAAGTTCTAAACAAGGGATAGTTAAAAAACAACGCCCGAGTCTAATCTTTCCCTAAAACAAAAACTAAAAATTAAAAACTTCATTGCAATTTCCGCCAATATCTCTTGTCATAACTCAAATTACGGAGATAATGCAGGTCAAAGATATTATTCAAATAAAGATTTCTTTTACATAAATCATGCACAATCAGCGAGAAAAGATTGCTTTGGGGTCTTCCTCTTCTCCCTGGTAAGTCCAGTGTATTGATGGCAAAAATGAGGGAAGAAAACGCTGGTCCGTCAATAGGACCCCGCAAAACATGTCCTAACATTCTCCACCGACTACGGGCCACTTTTTCTGACAATGGTTCAGCATTGCAGCGTTTATACAAGTTTTTGTTGGAGATGACTCCTGGGTACTTTATATTCAAAATAGTGCGAAGATGTCTGCGGTGAACAACATCTAGTTTTTCTAGGAATATTTTGGGGACGGCCCAACAGGATGAGTTGTACATAAGAACCGATACGACTAAAGCATTATACAGTATTAGACGTTTGTTTAGGGGCAGTTTATCACTCCAGGCCTTCTTGTAATTGTTAAAGGCAGCATATCCCAGGTTTATGCGACGCTGAATATCAGCTTTGCTACACAAGACGGACCCTAGAGTGAAACTTTTCCTCCATGCTTCATTCCCCGACACTAATTTTCCATCACTGTCGACTTCACTCGTACTAGCTAAATAAACATGAGTGAAGTCCGTTTTGTCTTCATTGACAAAGAGGTTCCATTTCTCGAGTATAGCTGTTGCCTGGGGCAAAATAGCTCTCAAGTTGTCTTCCTCTTCATCATTGAAGTCAACATCATCATCATCATTCAGTGTCAAGTGGAAGGCCAGCAATAGTAATCGGGGGGATCGGCCTATCTAAACTGATTGTTATAGTCCATCTAAGTTCATTCAAAGCACCAGCCAAGACAAGGGTGAACAGACAGCCGGATAGACAGTCACCTTGGAAAGCTCCAAGGAGACTTAAAAACTCAGCTGAAAGAACTCCATTTACCTTCACCCGTAGCTTTGTGTTGGACAACAACAACCGGACAATCCTCAGCTCATCCTCAGTACAGCCACACAGTTTCAGGAGTTCAAGAATCGTAGTGCGTTTGATCGTGTCAAACGCACTAGACATATCAATGCCCATGCGATGATACTCCCATTTCTTCCTTTGGACAACTGACAGTAGAACTCGCTGACACCAAACAATATCAGCACAAGAACGAGCGCGTTTATATGCACACTGCCATGGACCAGTGAAGGCGTTCACTTTTTTTCTTCTAGTACAGTACATGAATATTAAACTTATAGTTATACAGTATACAACTATCTACTGAATTGCAGTGAAATGTTGGCCGCGCTACATAATGTATTACAAATAGTTCATCAGACGTACCCCTGAACCAGACACACACTAACAGTGTGCTATTTCTGACCACCCCACCCAGTTCTAACCACCCTCATCTCCCAGGGTCTACTACCACGACTCAGATGCTACTGAAGTACAATTGATGACAAGTGGAGCTAACACCACCGACTGGACCAAACAGTCCCTCCCCCTCAAGAACCACAACATCTGGAGAACTAAGATAGTGGGGAAACTGTCTGACGAGTGGTTCGGTGGTATAGGGGTGGATGATATTGATGTCACTGGATGCTCTGGTTAGTTTATACTCTGCTTTGTTATACATCCAGTTTACAATGATCACAGAACTCGAGCTCCTCTGTCTCAAAAAGTAAAACAATGATTGAGATCAGATCCAATTTTATCAATTTAGTCATTGAATCTCTCTATTTGTTTGCTAACAGCTAACAATACCCATCTTCAGCTGAGCCGCTCTGCTCCCCGGATGAGTTCGAGTGTGGAGTCCCTCAATGTATTCCTAAAGGAGAGGTCTGCAACATGAGAAAGGATTGTGCTGATGGCTCCGATGAGGCAATGTGCGTGTCATGTGACTTTGAGAATAACGAGTGTGGATGGAGGATAATACCTGGGGACTATGACTGGGTCAGAGTCCACCCTGGAGACTACTCCTGGAACCAACCTCCTAACGATACCACCTTCAAGAACAGCTCCGGTTAGAATACTTTCATGTAGATAGATTTCATCACATAAACAAAGTTTTTATTTTGTTTCAGTATTTGGTCAGTTGTTTCTTATTATGTTAATAATGTCAACAATATACCACTCCAGGTCACTACCTAATAGTTACTGGCAACTGGGGAGGAGAGAACAAGGCTTCAGAAATAGTCTCACCTCACATGCCAGCTGTTAACTCTGGATGTAAGGTCAAGTTCAACTACCAGATGACTGGATATGATACTGGGTCTCTCTACGTCTACCTTTCTACACATGGTATTAAGGGCAGATATTTCTCAATCAGCGGTGATCAGGTACGATAGATTTTCACTTCCCCCTAAGAACTGAATACTATGAAATTTGTGAACTAACCACAACATACCTCTCTGATGTTGTAATTTACTAAATAACAACACTTCAAAACCCCGTCTAACTACCACACCAACCCCCCAGAACGCAACATGGCACGCAGCAGAAGTGAACATCCCAGAGGGCTACTCCTGGATCATGAGCATAGTGACCACCTTCAGCACCTCCTACTCCGGCTACGTGGCAGTGGATGATATCGTGATGGAGGGTTGCACCAGCAAACCCACCACACCCCCTAACGTGTTGTCCCCACCCCCACCTATAGTTGGTAACTACAGAGATAACGCGTATACTTACTGCTTCGTGGTTGGCAACCCTCAACCTAAGATCACCTGGCTACAGAAGAACATGCTCATTCACAAGGATAGCACTAGGTTAGCGTTACCGTCTAGTTATAGGGTCTAACTGACCTACAAACTAGTTATAGGGTCTAACTGACCTACAAACTAGCTATAGGGTCTAACTGACCTACAAACTAGCTATAGGGTCTAACTGACCTACAAACTAGCTATAGGGTCTAACTGACCTACAAACTAGCTATAGGGTCTAACTGACCTACAAACTAGCTATAGGGTCTAACTGACTTACAAACTTTGTGACTTTATGAAATGTTAGGATTGTAGCCTGGCTGGCCAGTGGCCATGATATCATCTTGATATTGTTGGTACGACAGTGTGCCTCGTGTCAGATAATCAAATGTTGAATATTTAAGGTTTGATATCATCTATTTTTTGTGGTATCTTAAAAACCTTGCCGTCTGGTACAACATTGACCCAGCAGGATGACAGACGTTTGTCTGAAGATGTCTAACAAGGAAGACGACACTATTTTAGCCTGTGATTTATACCCAAAGTGTTAGTATAACATACGATGACACGTGATCTTACTTCCATGTCACGTGACATCCAACTCTCATGACACTTGACATCTCACTTTCTCAGGCACTACAACTTCACTTTCACCGACGCTCTGAGTTACCTGATGATAAACGACCTTCAGCCCCACGACGAGGGACAGTACTCCTGCTTTGCTAGCAATGGCATTGAGGCGGTCACTGCTGACACTTCAGTAACTGTTAATGTCGGAGGATGTGACTTTGAGAGTGATACTCTATGTGGCTGGATACAGGTACAGTTATAAGATCACTAAATAGATCCAGCAATTTCACGGAGTGATAGACTATTACCAAATCTTAGATCACCGCTAGCACACATTCTGGAAGATATTAGCGGTTCAACTTTGAGTTATATCTAACCCTTAAACTTACAGTCAACAGAACACGACACCTTCAACTGGACCCGAGTGAAAGGAGGCACCCCCTCCTGGAACACGGGACCTATAGGGGACCACACTACAGGCAGTGGTTACTACGTCTACATAGAGAGCTCCTATCCCAGGATACCTGGAGACACGGCAGTTCTGGAGAGTCCCTGGATGAAGGTCACCAATAATGTGGTAAGTGTGGAGAGTGGGAGGAGCAGTTACTTTATCACTCAGCGCCATTATTCTACGTACGCTACTTTACCACTCAGCACAGTTATTGTCGGGCAGAAATCTGTCACGGGGTACTATTATTTAAAACCTAATATAGCCGTACACATATTATATGCTCTAATATAGCCGGGTTTTTGTGAAGTGTCCTCTCAGTGAATCCTTATCAATTTTATATAAGTATTAAGTAGTAAGTATGGCTACACGTGCCTGGCGGGAATCCTTACAGTCAAAGACTTTCCGCTTTCCTTATCCTAAACGTTAGAGAGATATCATTGATTATCTTTTTATAGGACATCGTACATTTAACTGCTTCAAAAACCCCTTATTTCAGTTTCTAAACCCCATTATTTCAGGATTGTCACGTGAAGTTCTGGTATCACATGTTCGGAGTGCACACCGGAACACTAAGACTATGGTATCAGATAGGGTATCAGGACTGGAAACAAGCGTGGAACCTCACTGGCGAACAGGACACGAGTTGGAACAGCACAGTCGTTATGATTCCTTACTCCTACATGCTATCTTACTACGGTTTCAGGTACCACAGCAAAATCAATTTTTTGGGATTTCTTGCACTTGCAGGTCCTCGCAGTTTGGGGAACTTGTGTATTTTAAGAACTCTTGGCGAGTGACGAAAAGCGGAGTAAATATATTTTTTTGGATGAGATAAAAATCAAATAGAACAACAATTGAAAATAACACAAGTCATACAAAAAGCATGCTATAACTAAATCTACTATTCTAAATTATAAAACACAAAAAACAAAGGTTCGCTAGTACAGAGATCTAAAACTGAAGTAAAATGACTCCACAGAGGAAGGATAACACAATTATGCTGCTCTGTGTAAAGTTTTTTGATTGTCCGCTTCCCATCACAGCTTGGTCATTACCTTCAAGTTCAACCTCTGTCTCGTTGATATCAACAATTTCAACCATAGTGTCCACTTCAACCTCATTAACTGCATATTCCTCCTCGTTATTTTGTGGCTCGTAAGTAGTGCTAATGCCAGGCTTGGTGACGGTGTTCCAGCTCTCAGGCATAACAACTGGAACCAGTCTGTTGCACTCATCTGCCTCGCACTTGGTGCCGATGTGACACTGGAACCCGTTCATCACCCCGTAGTCCACTGTCTCCCTCATCTCCCCTTCTATCTGGTCACAGCTCACTTCTCTGTTCCCACAGTATTTGATCCCAAAGTCTATAGTAGAGGTTGCTCCGTCAGCTATCAGCTGGAACGTGACTCCCGCACTGATACACCTGTCCTCTCCAGGGGAACACTCTATTGGGTCCGGGTCCAAACAGTCCCGGGGTTCTTCATCATAGTACTCTCCATTGACAGTGATCTCCTGACACTGACTGCACATCAGGGACCTGATAGGAGAGGGCAGCAGGAGGAGGAGGAGGATGGGGAGGTATGACATGTAGTGTGTAGAAGACATTTGTTCTTAGCTGAGAGGAAAGGATTGGGTTAATTATCATTAGAATTATCACGAATAGCTAATCAGTTTTGCTGAAGCACCCAATCAAAAGATGAAATTGTAAACAAATAAACTCGTCAATAATATTACAATATAAATTAAAATAAGAGAAAGTGGTATATTGTAAATAATGTTGACAGTCAACATTGACAGTCAATATGAGTGTGTGCAGACTCGATGCTGCATCAAAAGGATCGGTGTTAGCTGCAATAATGGCACCTTCCGGCACGTGCCAGGACTTTTATATCAACTCCGCAAACTATTTGAACTACTGATCACATAATGGTGATCCAATAAAAAGATCGCTGATACAGGCACAACGGCGGGTGATATTTGCCAATTGTGTATCTTTTTCCTAGATAGATATCTTGCCAAATATTTGTCACATGACGGTGGATAATGCACAGGTCAAAATAGTAATATCTGTAAGAGATAACGAGCCCTATATGACAATGACAGGAATGTGCCTGTGCATTACAGTGCAGAACATCATGCCTCACCACATTCCTGCTACAATAGCACAGACTAGAAGTTTAGTCGGGCTATAGTAGATCGTCTGATTGGGTAGTTTTAACAAGGAAATTTGGAGTGTAAATACTGTCGTGCTTCCTTGATGACGTGATCAAAGCTAAACTATGAACAAAGCTTCCAGTCTGATTAGTTCAAATTAACAGTACCACACAGTTAAATCCCTGCTGGAAGCACTGCACTAATTCTCTTAAAACAAATGGGAGGATGACCGAATCATTCAAGACGAGACAAATGTAATTGTACGGAGGGTAGGTAATAGCAAGGGCCGGGGGGCGGTAACCGACTAACCGACTAACAGATAGAGGTCAACAAATGAGGGAAGTATGGCTTCTGACAGAGATATTACACCAACAACCCCTGCAATTACTTCATGGCTATTCCTATCTCCCGCCATCACTACTTATAGCCCTTCCCAGCAGCTGTGTACTTGTCTGCAGTTGCCCGGAGAATTTACAGACTGCTGCTCAAATCTACAAAAATGCTGGAAAAATCTACAAAATGCTGGATTTCTATAAATGTAACGCACAACTCAACACAATGAATATAGAATATCGCAAACTTTGAATAAGAATAGCTCCATGTTACAAGTAAGTAGGTATCCACACGGAAAACATATCTACTCAGCAGCCAGTTTGCAGGTAACCGAAAACCTTCCCAAATTGGACACAATGAAACACAACACAATATCAAAAGCTGAGAAATGACCTAGTTAAGCAATCAAGGTCGTTTAAAAACTATCTGGTCTAGCGAGAGGGTGTTAGTTGTCACTACACAATTACCGAATACGTAACTTGATAACGTATTGCCGAGCAAGGATGTACGGCAAGTAGTCGGAAGGAAACCCTTTGTCAGGAACCATGCGCTCACCCTCCTATAGAAGCCTTGCGTGTGCTCCTTAGACTAAAAGGAAAAAGTTAAGTAACTGGAAACTATGTCAAATAAGTCAAATACGTCAAAAACTTTTCAGGAAACTCTCTTGAGACACGAAGTAATTAGCACAAGAATTTTACTAAAATAGTGACGAAGAGTTTAAGATACCTTTGAAAAGTGTTGATAGCTTTTAATTATGGTTAGTCTCGAGTACCGGAAGGGTACCAGTTTCCACGTTAATTAACAACATTTTTCAGGTTGAGACTTGAAGGAGAGCGCGGAACTGAGTACATGGGTGATATTGCTCTCGATGATATCTCCATTGAAGGATGTAAAACGACAACATTCTGCCATACCGGTGAGATGATGTAGGATTTATCGACCAGCCAATTAGTACAAGACAATGTCAACTGTAAAATAGAAAAGGCAGGACCTGCCAAGCTGAAGGGATTGTCTGCTCCCAACGTAACTCAAGCATAATTCCCACCAAAACATACGAAAATCATGCACATGCATTTATAAAATATGCGAGTCACATGAATGCGCACGTATACTAGAATGCCTCGTCGAATGGCTTTATTCATAAGATGGCTTTATTCACAATCTAAAATCTAAAGTTGTGCGGCACTTTTCAAGACGACTTCAAGTCACCACATGATTAGTGTCTTTAACTAAGTGAATTTATCTCGAGCATGTGAGATAGCCAATATCAAGTGGAGATATTGTCATCATGCAGTTAAACAATACTGTTAGTCTATACAAGTGTGCGAAAATAAGAAACGACAACTAATTTCTGCTGAGAAGATTTGGACATTTCACGGACTTCCCTGATAAGGATTTCGATTCCGACATGTGCAGAACTTATTCCTGGCAAGTTTCCAACTAAAACCCCTTTTCCCACAGAGGACTATGCCTGTCCGTCAGCCAACAGACCGTACTGTGTTACAACGGACTGGGTGTGTGACTTTATAACCGACTGTCCAGATCGAGCTGACGAGAATAGATGTGGTGAGTTTCACTGATCAATATTCTACACCGAGTGGTAACTGATATGAGGTTAAAGTTCAGAACTAAAGGCGTTAGGAGGGGAAATGAGTTAGTGCCAGGGTTGACGATTGCTAATTTTCCTTTGAACTACTCTCCTGGGTGGCAAGTAAAAGCCTCTGAGATACGAATGAACAGGATACAGTCTGAACTAATTGGGGTCTACGATAACTCAACAGTTTTAGTGGATTATTTAATGTGTCCACAAATACCTGTCATCAATAATTATTATTCTTGGACCTGAGAAACCCCCAGTATACTAAGAGAATCAGCAAGTACCTTTTATTACGTCCAAAGGCAAAATAAACAATTATTGTCCGGAAATTTGGCCAGACTGAACAAATCTGGCACTGCTTCAGGATCCTGTGACTTTGAGACTCAGCAAATGTGTGGCTGGTTGCAAGATTCAAATGACGATGGAGATTGGATTAGGAATAACTTGGGGACAGCTTCTTTTAACACAGGACCTAAATCAGATCACACAACTCATGCGGACGATCTTAGTAAGTAGCTAATGTTGAAGGGTTCAAATTTGTTTCCATATATCGATAACGATCATAAAATCAAAATACTGATGAACTGTTGGAAGTCTAATATGGTTACTGTAAAAGTTAAAACTAAGGAACGGCAGCAAACTATTAACTAGCTATCATGATTTGAGAGAGAGTTGTTAAAATTGTGACAGAACCACTGACCTATCGCCACCTCTTATCTAATCAAGATTTGATGAAGCGGTAAAATGAATCATTACTAACCTCACCCCGACCTCAGATATCAACTGTATAGACGGCAAAGGGTTCAACTACAACGGAACACTAGCCAAGACAACAGCCGGAACTGGCTGTTTGAAATGGGACAGTTACCCTTGGTGGGGAGTCACAGGACACAACTACTGCAGGTAAAGAAGAAGCCTGGATTTATGTTGTGAAGAGTGTAACATATTCATTTTAAATTTCAACTCAACAACTTCATGATTTGTAGTATACGACAAAGCACGGACAGAATTCATAAGAACTCGCAAACAAGAGGTTAAGTTTCCGTAACTCTAGCTTGAAATATTGAAACGTTATCAACTAATTCAATTCACGAGTTTACCTATTTTCTCAGGGAAGAGAGCAAAAATTTAAATATAGATGCATTATTGAGCCGATAAGAACCATGAGATCACCGCCGAGTCAAAATAAATATAGTCTTTTTGAATTCAGACAGGAATCCTGGCGGCTTTGTACCTTATCGTTTTAAAAAAGGGTCGAGCAGTCCCTGGGGGCATGAGATGAAACAAAGCATCAAAGTTAGTCCAACTCAATGTCGCAACAGCAGACCTTCCAAACCTGAGCACTTCGCGTGAATGAACTAATTGATATCGATCACGGATATCAAAGACCAGGCATTGGCACAATCATAGGATCTCCGGATCTAAAATAATCGTTTAGTACATTATCTGTCTGTTTTCGTGAAATCTTTACCGGTTTCATGTTCAAGATTTATATGAATCAGACTGCTACTCCACTTCCAGAGTAATTTTAAGATTACTGATGATACGTTTTCCTTGATTTAATAAGAATTAGAAAGCCTTAGAGTTAGTCAGCTCTGAAATGATCGGTGAAATAATGACACGGTAATAACACTCTATTCATATTAATTATCCCAGGAACCCTGATAACGACACGATGCCATGGTGTTTCACCCAGAACGGCTGGGGATTCTGCGACGTACCGTCCTGCGGTAAGCTTCCCATCAGTTCCCCAGTGATCAATAATCGCACGGAATTCTCAGGGATAAGACCCATACCTGTTAATGAGTTGGATTTGGTCATCGTCGGATTGGTTTTATCGATGTATTTAAGGCTCCAATTTTACCCCTAAACCAGTGAAATTCTGCGACATTTGAAGATTAACGACTTGTATTTGACAGATGAACAGTGTATGAAGGGTGATGGTTCGTCCTACATGGGAACCGTGGCTAAAACTGCCTCTGGTAAAGATTGTATGGCTTGGAACGAACAATCTTACAACTATGCTGATAAACGTAAGTTAACTGGATACGATCTGTTTTAGATTCGTTATCATTTTCAAAATCATTCAAAGAATTCAATAGTGGGCGACTAATTAAGCTACTTGATAAGCCCCACAACAGTGAGGAATATGTTACATTATCTGACCCCATATCCCTCAGGAGTTGGGACCCACAATTACTGCAGGAACCCGTACGGTAACAAGAAACAAGATGGTCCGTGGTGCTATGTGGCTGACTCCACTATCAAGTGGGAGTACTGCTCTATTCCTGAGTGCGGTGAGTTAAGACACTGCTCACACGTCAGAAGAGTAACTTCCAGAAAACCTTTAAAACCTTTAAAAACTTTAAAACGCAACACACGCAATTGTTACGATAGTTACAATACAAGCTATGGATTTGTTAAGCTGTTATTTGTTATTGCATTAAGTTATAACATTGTTTACACAAAATGCATATTGCATAATATAACGATGAAAAATCGTTGTTTTATTAATTTATATGAACTTCAAGCAGTCAAAATATCAAAGCGGAACTGGGAAGTATGACCTGGGCTTGGCTAGATTATATTTTATAAGCTTGCTCCTTAATCCAATTTTTTTTTGTTTAATTAAATATAAGACCATATTTTTTGAGCTACTTGAATTCGCACTGCCTTATTCCGACAAGGAAAGCATCCATATTAACAACAACAAAAGATGGTTAGATGGGGTAAATAATACACAACTCTTATCATCAGGACATTACGTATATCTGGAATCTAGCTGGCTGAGACCTGGCGATCGAATATTGATGAAAACGCCCGAGCTTCTGACTTCTGGTCCAGACTGTAAATTCGAGTTCTGGTATCACATGAACGGAGACAGCATTGGTACGCTTAATGAGAATTTCTACTTTACTGAGATAATTTGTTTACTCCCTCGAGTACTTTCTAGTGGCCTTCTAAATTTAAAGCATCGTTTCTAATTTCCTCAGAGTTTAACGTTAGCTAAAAGTTACGTTAACTTTACAAACCCTTCAGGTCAATTATTCGTGACAGTAAACTCGACCCGAGGAAACTGGGAACAAGAGATCGTGAACCCGTATATTTCCGACTGGCACAAGATGAGTATCCCTCTAGGTGCCCAAGCAGACTTCACTGTGGGTCTGGTGGGTGTCCGAGGTGCTAGTTACACGGGAGATATAGCTATTGATGACACCAAGTTCGTGGACTGTGCCCCATCCGGGTATCCCACTCCTCCGAAAATACTGACCGCGTCTGGTGACTTGGTGCTGACTGGGGATGATCATGAGTTTATGCTGGATTGTCTGATGAGCGGTAACCTTGCTCCAACTATCACCTGGTTCCACAAAGGTTTGTGTTTTTTCTCAACTTTCTTTTTGCAGAGTTACATTTTCTAAATATGAGATGTGATTTATAAAAGATTTGCAGAATGTAATAACCTGGTGAAATAAACTTTTTCCTTCCCAGGAGAGCCGATAGCGTTCGATAGCCGAAGGATGATGCTTCTGAACGGTTCACTGTGGATTAACCACATTGGTTCTTACGACAGTGGAACTTACATGTGTCACGGTATCAACCAAGTCTCTTCTGTCAATGCCTCCATGACTGTAAGTTTAGCTTCTAACTAGTAATTAACTGTACTTTTTTCGTCTTGGGGCAATTCAGTTCCGTTTATATTTCACGAAGGAGCTCCAAACCAGCAAGCAGTCATATCACAAGCATACTCTAACTTAACTTAACCCTCATCCCATCAGGTGACAGTTCCAGCCTCTCAAGATTCCTGTGACTTTGAAACAGACGCGTGCATCTGGCGAGACAGCGTGAAGGACACGGACTTCTTCTGGGTGTGGCAACAAGGCTGTACTCCCAGTTATTCTACAGGGCCGTGTGAAGACCATACTACCGGCACTGAGGAGGGTCACTTCATGTATGTGGAAGCTAGCTGGCCTCGAACTGAGGGAGATGTAGCGGAACTGCAGAGCGAGTGGCTATCTACTACCAATGTGAGTAAAATTTCCAGGAATAAGTAGCATGGTTAAGATAAAATTATAGTGGGTTCAAGGGACCGTCTTAAAAAATAGCCACCAAAGTGTTAGAACACGTGATGTTTGAAACCACAATCACTTAACCCCCTCCTCCTGCAGCCGAAGTGCGAGGTTTCCTTCTTCTACCACTCCTTTGGAGACAACGTTGGAAAGCTAGAATTCCAGATCATGGGACAGCAGTTCAACAGATTTGCCGATAAGATCCTAGACGGACACAGTAACGACGCCTGGATAGTTGGATCTGTAGATGTTGGTGTGGTCAATACTGCGAGAGTGGTTTTCAGAGGAACCATAGGCTCAGCTTACGACGGTGATATTGCCATAGACGATGTAGCTTTCCACAACTGCGGACGTAAGTAACAAGACTACTACAAAAGTGACAAAGTGCCAATTACAATATTCAAAGGAAGTAAAAAACATTATGCTTGCAAACATGCGATTATCCTAACTGTGTAAAATTCTAAAGATCTGAGCAAATCTAAACCCCACTCTTTCTATCCAGTGAAATACCTGTGTAACACAACAACTGAGACATCTTGTGAAACAGAGCCAAAATGTATCAACAAGACCAACATTTGCGATTTCCAACCTCAATGTAAAGACGGCACTGACGAAGTAAACTGCGGTAAGTTGAAATAAGTAAGTGATAGTGAGAGAGACGGTAAAGACTACAGTAAAATCCTATTTACAGTTCAAATTATGTGGCTAGAATTAGTAAACACTGACGTAGTGCACAGCATTTATGTTACAAAGGTTACAAAGCACAAAGGTTATATTGCGGTCGGAATACTGTGCTTTAACATTTAGTTATAAAAGTTATTATTAACGTTAAAAGTAGTTCGGCGTGTGCTTGGCGGTTTGCTTGATGTCTACTGCACAATAATTATGTCTGCTAGTGAAGATTTTACGACTCTAAGACTACATATTTCCTCAGGAACATGCGATTTCGAGGGACCCAGCACCTGTGGCTGGAGCACCAACCACGCAGGAGTCTGGAAGAAGATGGCAGGTGCTCAGGACTACTACGGTCCTGGTTACGACCACTCTCTTGGCACTGGAGAGGGTTCGTCCTATATCTTTATCTCTACTTCACCTGTACTTTCAGCGCTAACTTTAATCTTATCACGTATCAAAACAAGAGAGTTTAACTTGGCTTGGCTCCAAGTATGAGTTGATGACGTCACCCGCCCTCAGGCCACTACATGATAGCAGAGTCGAACTGGTGGCACTACGGAGAAGACCACGAGGTAGAAGAGATAAGCACCCCCGTGTTCGCTACTACCGGCAAGAGATGCCGACTCAGGATGTACTACGCTGCTGACCTGGGGGTTAACGGAACCATGACAGTCACTGTCAAGAACGATGCTGGCTCCTTTGTTAGTACAGTTAAAACCTTTGTAGTTGTGCCTTGTTGAGGCGGACCTTCTTGTTGACTGGTACAATTAATCACTTTGTGCGAGGACACATGTGTCTCAATTCAATCATCCTTCAACAGGAACGTAACTAAGTAACATTTCTGTGAATTGGTGAAATAACACGTTTCTCCTCGTCAGACTGCCTTGTCTAAGACAGGTAACGCTACCGGAAACTGGACCTTTGTCACAGCTCGACTGCTGGAGGGAACCAACGTCCAAGTAACTATCGGTCTGTCCATCGCTGCAGCCAATACCTTTGAGCAATATTGGCTGGCAGTAGACGATGTCAGGTTTACTGACTGTGATCCGGGACATCTGAACGGGCCGGGAGAGTGTGACTTTGAGCTGGATACTTGTGATTACAGCAACCTGGAGGCTAGAGACGACTTTGATTGGACTAGACACCAGGGACCAACACCAAGTTACAACACTGGTCCTAAAACTGACCATACTACACTCACTGACAAGGGTTTGTTATTCAAATATTCCTACTTATGATTATTCCCACCTCCGTGCTATTCATTGGATAATGATATGTATAATGAGCACAGATTGAGGGATGATGTAATATTTTAGATCTATAGACGTCTAATATTATATATGTCTTCATTTCAGGATGGTACTACTATATAGAGAGTTCCTACCCAAGACAGCCAGGAGACACAGCTGTAGCTCAGAGCAGGTGGATGACATACGGCAACACTCAGTCTGATTCCAGTCAGTGTACTCTTGAGTTCTGGTACCATATGATGGGCGACCATGTTGGCAGTCTCAACGTAAGTCGGAAAAAAGTTTTTTATCAATAATGAATTTCTATCGAAATTTTAGCATAGCTAGTGATCTCAAGGTTGACGAATACAATTTAGACTAGGCTAATCACGAACTCTTGCCCGTTACCGGTGGTTCTGGACAAGAGAAACATTATATTTGTGAAATTTAAAATATCGCATGGTAAAATTAGCAGGGGTTCGTACAGTAGTTGTTATTTAAAAACAAATACTGCTGTAATTGGGTTAATGGGAATCGCCACCGGTTCTGGTTTTCCTGCAATCTCTCTAAACTTCCTCTCTCCGCCAGGTTTTCAAATACACATCGAAAGGCTACACTCTGCTGAGGAACCTTACTCAGGCCCAGGCAGATGATTGGGTCGAGGGCAGGATACCTCTCTCCAACGATGGGGCCTTTAAACTTGAGTTTGAGGGAATCCGTGGATCAGAGTACGAGGGCGACATCGCACTTGACGACATCGAGGTCAGTCAACGAACCGCTTCGATCACTTTGTTCTTATAAAAAAAATTGATAATTATTACAGCTTAAACAAAATGCATTTTTGTCCATGTTCCATGATAACAAATCCCATCTCAGCTGGACGACTGCGCAGTAACTAACCTGTGTGCTAAAGAAGACCACGACTGTACCGGACCTACTTGTGTCCCTGAAGACAGGGTGTGTGACCTATATGATGACTGTGGAGACAACTGGTGGTGGCTGGACACTGACGAGAGACGCTGTGCTACCTGCAACTTCGAGGAGGGCCAGTGTGGCTGGAAGAACCAGAAGGTTAAGGACGATTTCGATTGGGTTAGGTATTCTGGTGGCACTATGTCGTGGGGAACTGGACCCAAAGAAGACCATACCTTCGCTGGAAGCAAGGGCTGCGGCAAGATCCTTCACTTCGGTGGGAAATGTATTCACCCTCTGTGGGGTAACCCTAACTCTAAGGAGGGGACACCTATTGTCACTTACAAGGGCTGCACTGAGGACAGATTACAGTTCTGTTGGACTAACGAGGGTGATCTGAAACATCTCACCTCCGGTCTCTGTATCCAGGTAGATTACATTCTATAGATCAGTAGCCTCATAAATGAAAATATCTAATCTCGTATGCTTACTCGGTGCAATATTATATTACAATTTGCAACATCAGGATAGTCTTAACGATCTGTATTTCAGCCCCGATCAGCCAACCCAGACGATCCCGCTTCTAACACAATCCTAGAACTGAATAGCAACTGCGGTTCTTCCTTCACAAAGTGGAGCTTCACAGCTGGCGGCAGTATCAAGCAAGTTAGCAGTGGGCTCTGCTGGCATCCTCTCAACGGAAGTCCCGATCCAAGGAACAATAACATGGTCGTGGTGTACCAAGGCTGTGATCAGGATAGACTCCAGTTCACTTGGGCCGGCAAACCTGGTACGTCAACATCTAAATGCACTTTGTATTGACATTGTAAAATTGAGGAGTTGAGCTGAAAATCGGAAATCAATCTGATTATTTTGAAATTTCGTTCCACATAACTCTTCCAACCCAGGCAACTACTACTACATCGAAGCATCCTCACCTCGGAAACCCGGAGACAAAGCCACGATCACATCACCGATTATACCACAATCGGGAAGCAGATGTGAGCTGGAGTTCTGGTACCACATGGGCGGAGCTGGTATTGGCATGTTGCTGGTGAACTTAGACTACTCTTACTACACGGAGAACCTGTTGAGTCTTACTGGGGACCAGGGTGATGTGTAAGTTTAATTGTTTATATTAGTTTTGCTGACTTCACCATTGTTGAATAGTTATTGTACGTATTACGTAAGGAAGTTTATCAACAGATGCAGCACTCAAGACCCCACCTTTTCAGATGGAAGAAAGCAACGATCCCTCTCGGATACAAGGAGAACTTCCACTTTAGCATCATCGGAACGATTGGAAGCTCGTACGAGGGTGACATTGCAATTGATGACATTAAAATGGTCAACTGTAAACCATGTAAGTGAAATTTACATGGCATTCCTTCTTTCGAAAGCCATTGTAGTAATTTTCGTGTAATTTTAGGCAAACATTGTTCGAATTATAGCAACACGTTATTCTGACTTACAACTGTTCCGCAGCGGAGAGTGCCAACCCTGGAGAATGCACGTTCGACGACGGAATGTGTGGTTTCCAGGACGACAGGAACTTTGATGACTTTGACTGGATCAGAAAGAACAAAGGAACTCCAAGCGTCTATACTGGACCTAAACAAGATCACACCCGGGGCAATTGGACCGGTTAGTTGTTGTGTTTTCGATCTTAACTTGGATAAACTTATCTGGAAATTTAATAGCTACATTGCTTTCACCTGTGTATGTCAGTGAACCTTTTTAATAACCGTGTATATTGTAAAACTTTCAAAAAAACAATCATCATGTTCCTGTCCAGGATACTACATCTATCTCGAGACCTCTTGGCCCCAAGTTGAGGGAGACCGAGCAGTGATCCGAGGACCCTGGATGAAGCATGAAGGCTGGTTCTACTGTACTCTCAACTTCTACTATCACATGATGGGAGCTACTGTTGGTACTCTGAATGTCTACGTTGAGACCCCTGATGACAACGATCTCGGAGTGAGTTTATATTTCATTGTTGCGAGGTTCAGCTGTAGGTTTATAGTTTGATACGATTTAATGTTTTATAGGATTGACGGGTGTCCGTAAGACAAAAAGCAATAATTTGTAATAACATTATTTTTTCCCCAGCAAATGGTGTGGCACAGAAACACATCTGAAACTCTAGAATGGGACAAGGCCACAGTGTGGCTAGGAGGAGGTATAAACTGGGGAGATAGCTACTGGAGACTTGTTCTAGAAGGAATCCGAGGTGCAGGCTTCACCGGAGACACCGCTGTTGATGATATCTTCTACACTGGATGTTATCGTAAGTTATTCTGCTAATACCCTTAACGAGCCCTCTGCTCTTCTCGTATACCTCTATTTTTGTGGCCCTTAATCTAAAAAGTTACATGGATCAACATTCAACACGACCCCTCTCCTCTTGCAGCACAGACAGTTTGTAACACGACCCTGGGAGAGAAACAGTGCGGAGGACCCGAGTGTTATGCTGTTGAGAATGAGTGTGACTTTAACCCGGACTGTAGTGATGGGCTTGATGAGACCCACTGTGGCGCGTGCGACTTTGAGGATCACAAACTGTGCGGCTACATTCACGACCTTACATCCCCGGTACATTCAGACTTATTTTTTGTGATTATTCTGGAAGGTTGGTCGATAATTACCTGAAATGGCTCAAGGCAAGACAGTTGTAGCCTGTGATAATTGGTACTAATTTGTAACTCTTATCAGATGACGTGGCTACGAGGAGCCGGCAGAACAGCTTCAGTAAACACTGGGCCAGCAAATGATCACACGTTTGGTAATATAAAGGGTCACTACATGTACATTGAGACTAGCTGGCAAAAGGAGAATGACACTGCCAGGTAAGAACATTCTAGAAGTCTCAATCCTAGTCTTATCTGATGATTTTGAGTTATCAGTGAGTTATCAAGTTATCATGCTGATATCAGTACTCAGTAGTCAATGACTAGACTTATTGTAATATATTTCACTAAAGTGAGATTTAAATAACGTTATCTTCAGAATGCTGAGTAACGAGTACCGTCTGTCTGATAACGCGTGTAAGATGAACTTCTACTACCACATGAGGGGAGACCACATTGGAACACTCAATGTAAGTCAGAGTCAGAGACCTTGCCACATGTGACCATAGATGAAAGGGAACTGTTACTTCTTTTAAAAGAAAATTATTTACAACCATGATGATTGAAAGTTGAAACCTATCTCAGCTCAAGGTGATAATTTAAGTTAACGTCAAACCGCCTCACTCTCAGATTTACATCAACTCTGACGCCCTACCCATGCACCTGGTGTGGAACAAGACCGGCGAACAGAGCAACAAATGGAATAAGGGCACAGTCGACATCGGAGGTCATGCCAACTTCAGGATCGTTATTGAGGGAGTAAGGGGTAATGGTTTCCAGGGTGACATCGCTATCGACGATATCAGTTTCGAGGATTGCCATCCAGGTAAGTTTTGGTTTTGAAATATTTTAACTAAATGGTACTTACTTTTACTTTTCGTTTCTTTAGTCTGTCCGAATATGCCCTCCAATTAGGTGGTAATTAAGATGAGAACAAGACCTTAGACGCCTTAAACTTAAGTTTAATATAAGTTAAAAATTAACTTCTACAGACATTAAATAGGGTTGATAAGGCATTAAACAGAGTTCTAACCCCTGCCTCTCACAGGAACCACATTGAACCCGGCAGCATGTGACTTTGAGAAGGATTACTGTGCTTACGAGGATATGACAGGTTACGATGAGTTTGACTGGACGAGATGGCAGGGAGAAACACCGTCCTGGAACACCGGACCTAGTGTGGATCACACAACCGGAACAGCTGCAGGTAGGAATAGTAACACAGGGTCAACTTGGAGATGTGAAGTGTCAATTGGTCATTATGCTCACTTGCTTTTAATATATATTTACACTTAATCCACCCCGAATCTTTAGAGAATAAACAAATTGTGATAACTTTTTCAAACAAAATATATGAATATTTAAAGAATTGTTCTCAATCATCTAACAGAATTTCATATAATTAATTTCTTTTAAAAACAAAATTAGAAAATAGCAAGGATTATCAATTACGAGGTATCAGATTGCTATCGGAGCAAATAAGATAAATTTAAAACTTTCTGACGGTTCAAAATTTCAGTCTCTTTATTTTAAAGCACATAGTTACAAATACAGAAATTGAATTAACCAGGGTAACTACAAGACACACTCCTGTTTATAGGACTGTTTACTTGACTGTTTACTTGGAGGCTATCCTCTGGCTCGGGAGCCACACTTGCTGAACTGCCACTTCTTATCAGAGCACTAAAGTTCTGGATCACAAACAAACTGTTCCGTCCTGACCTCCGCTCAGGAGGGGCACTCGCGCTCCTCAGATATTGCCTGTTAATAATGCGAGGCACCGTACTGGAGAGTCTACCATTACCTGTAGTATCACCCTGGTTACCAGTTCCGGCTCCAGCTGTCGAGGGCCGCTGTTGTCCCAGCAACATGGCCTTGACACCTGAACTTCTGAAAGTCACCACTAGAGGGTTGATTGCTGAGAGGAATATGGGGATGAAACCAAACAGATTGAAAACCGTGATATCGTAAAGTTTGTTCCGAGGACATGAGTTCTGATCGAAGTTTCCCGCCTTGATAACAATGTAAATTATCCCAAATAGCACGAGCAACATATTTCCAGCACTCATCAGTAGGACGGTAAACCCACTTCTCTTCTGGGTGGCTACTCTCCTCTTCATCTTCTCAGTTTTAGTTTTGCTTCTCACCTGCTTTATAGAACGGTCCCTCGCCCTCACTCCTTTCCTGAGCTCGTGTACTGTTGCTATTGAAGTGAAGGTAGCCAGTAGAGATTGTACTCCGAATAGAGCAATCAAGAGTATCGACCAGGTATCAAGATCATACCAGACCATCTGTATCCTTTCATCAAAGTATTGAGTAGTAGAACTGATGAGCAGGGTAATGATTGCTCCATCAAACAAGATAAAGTTGCAGAACGCAAAGATGATGACAGCTTTTCGGTTCACCTTGAAGAAAGTGTACTTTATCTTGATGTATCGAGTGATTGAAAGTAAATTGGTCAACATCCCAGAACCGAAGATGACCGCAGCTATGACGACGGTTGATGCGATACGCAGGTTATTGGGTTCCCTTGACATGGAGCCGGCTTTAGAGCTCAACAGAGCGCTCGAGAGGACGAGGGGTTGGTAGAGACAGGTCATGAAGTCTGATACTGCAAGCAGTTGGAACAATAAGCTGCCGACTGATGGTCGCTGTTTGTAGTTGTAAATGAATATGATAGGGTTCAGGAATAAGGAGACGAGAAAGAGCAGAGGTAAGATTGAACCATATCCTATGTTGAAAGCTGCGTCCAGTGTTGAAACTGTTCCATTGCAATGAAAAATAGCCATGTTGCAACCTGAAAATATGAGGCCGATTCTAGACTGATAACAATATCCGTTAATAAAGCACAGTATCCGAAACAATACCGGTACGAAAGTAAAACCAGATAGACGGATCAATTTGTGGCAGGTTAGAGTAAACTATTAGCGGTCGGAGACAGGTGCTCGAGGTCTCTCTCCTCCTCACCTGGCCTATTAGCTTCTATAATAAGTTACTGAGCGTGCTTACTCAACAACTGCTCGCTGCGCGGAGGGTCTAGAGTCTCAAAACAACTTCAAAGGGCGACCTGTCAATTAAACAATCCTAAACGTGATTTAAAGGGCGGTCCATGTGGTCTAATCGATGTTCTTTGTTTTGTTGAATACAGCTGTCGAGACAATGCTTTGTGGAGCGAGGGGTCGGGTCTGGCACAAGCTCAGCAGAGAAGTGATCAATACTTTTAAAGTTCTACAGTATATATGTATGCATTAAGATTTAGTAAGATGATGACACTACTTTGTCAAATTTGAAGTTATTAGGCTATTTTAACACCACCAGCTGTGCGCCCCGAGACGGAGCAGCAACTTTAACCGGCTCTACCTGGCAGTCTGATTTTATCTACGCAGCAACCACGTCACAGATTGTGTGCGGTCGAATATCAGACAGCTTCAGGGAAGGTACCAATAATCAGATAATTGTTCGGGGACATTCGTAATTCGGGGGTATAAATCATTTAGATACGCTCGAGTGAACTTGATAACAACTTGGTTCAGCCTCAGTGGTTTATTACTTTGAAAGTCATTAGTCAGTCATTAAAAAAGTATTTTGGTATCAGCTTCAGCTAAATATTGAATATCAGCATAAAATGATGAAAACATTTTGTTCTAATATACGAAAGAAAAACGGTGGACGACATTAGTAATCAATGACATAAATTTGAACATTTGATCTTTTGAAAGCGTTTGACACCTACTGAAATTTCTCAAAGTCTGACTCATTCTTTCAATCTATTCGGACATTACCATGTCGAAAGACTGATGCAAGCTTTATTTTATCAGAAGTTTTATCTCGTCCCTTGCAATCAATATTCTGTTGCACAATATGTCCAGCAACCACGTGCGATTCAGGGAACGCGCTATCTGACAATTGCCACGTGTTCTTGAAACCTGTGCTTCTTGTCACTATGATCAGGGGATTCAGGGCCGACAGACTGAGTGGCAGAAAACACCAAGTAAGGAATTTGATAAAATTAAAATAGAAAGAGTTGTTCATCCTGACTTTCATGAAAAGATACACAATATTGCAACCGAACATGACAAAGTTCCCAATATTCATAAGCAGCACTGTCATACAGCCCCGCTTCTCCGCTGCCATCTTCTCTCCATATCACCATTACGAATAGCCCCACACTTACTGTCCCCTCCCCACAGTTTCTTAACAGTCAGTATAGAAGTGACAGCAGCCAGCAGCACGTGTGTAGTGTAAGGGAACGTCATTCCCAGGGCCCACCAGTCCTGACCTTCTACCACGCGCCACGTGTACTGGATGTAAGGGTCAAGTATCACACGGGAAGAAAACAGGACGATATAGATGTAGGAAAAGAGAAGGAAGCTGCTGTAGAGGACGAAGTAGATGATAAGTAGCTTCTTCTTGATACGGTAGAAGGGAGATCTGATCTGAATATACCGTGTTATTGACATGAGAGTTGTTATCATTCCGGCTGTCTGCATCAAAGGAACCATGAATATAGTGGAGACCTTCTCCAGATTTGAAGGTGGTTGAGGGTGGTCCTGACAACAGTTGCTGTTCAACAAGCGAATAGTAACCATTATCGGCTGGTAAGATGTCGTCAGAAAGTCTACCACTGCTAGCATCATGAACAGGGTGGTTGCTATGGAGGGTTTCCTGCGGTAGTTGTAGAGGAATATCATAGGGTTAAGGATGAGGGAGGTTAGGAAGATTACAGGGAGAAGAGATCCGAACACGTAGTTGAGTCCAGTGCTGACTGAGGGATGCAGGTCCTCGTCACAGAATATTGCCATTTTACTCTAAGAGGGGTAAGTTTGAGATAAAGAACACTCGAAAATGTTGCCACATAATTGCAAAATGCACTTAGAATAGGTTAATAAGAATAGCCAACTAAAACTACAATTACTCAATAAAGTTATAAATATACGGTCGTGACATCACTCAGCGGTGTCATGAAGATTTCTTGAAGGTATAACTATCCACAGCAATCTGAACCACATATGAGATGACATTTTGTAGTGGGCTGTCATTATATGATGACTCAATTACGAGCAGCAACCAGAGGTCTGTACACCTGGTGGATACCTGATTCTTACCAATCATTTGGGGAGAACAGCAATCAGCGTTACCGTAGCCTATTTCTGTTTCAATTATCAATTGAGAAATCGAAACTATGAAATTGTCACGGTGGTTGTTTTAGCGACAGAATGATATGTAATTCCCAGGCTCATAGCCTCCCGTTGACTTTAGAGATAGGAAATGGTAGTTGCAGTTTTATATTGCAAATTAATTACATTTGAATTGAACTGAAACAAAGGCATTCACACTAAAAATAGGATCACCACATCCGTGGATGTAAGTCTGTGATTTAAGTTTAACTAATAACTACGCAGTTAATAAAAGCGGCACATCTAAAGTATCGTAGGTCTAAATCTATGTGACGCCGAGGTATCTTTACTGTATGTGACAGGCTCTGTTGTATAGTACAAACTAAATATCCTTTGTTTTGTGCCGAGTAGCTGAGTTATGACAGGATATCGCTGAAGTGTGATGAAATAATAAAAGGAACAGGCTGGGCAACATGATTTAACTAAAAGTAACAGCCATCTGGCTCCCTCTCATGATAGCTCTCGACTATAATACTGTTAATCTTGATCGAAGTTTTCTCGCGTAATTCTGGGCTAAATATCGAGAAGCGTATACCGTGGGTCCTAATTTTGAGCGATTATCGGTCTTTCCAGATCATTACACAATCTAGGTCCTCCCTTACCACAAAAATATCCTACAGAACATATTGTTAGAGCTAACATATTACTGAGATATAAGCCCGCCAAATACTTACCTATTTAAATCTTTGACAATGGCGACAATTGATATCTAGACATGACATTCAGACAAATTTGAAAAAGCCTAAATAGATCTCACCGACCTTCAAAAACTGAGTTATGACTTTTAAGGTTGGGGCGTATGGGAGCCCGAATAAAAATTGCTCTAGAGAGTTTTCCCATCAGTTTCAGTCTGACAAATTTTTGATCCCATAAATTGCAATTCTTGCCCTAACTAATAGTAATAACAAACATCTACCAATATACGCATAAGTACGCGTTTTTAAACATTTGTGTTAGAGCCTTAAACTCCCACTCCGACTAACCACCCTCCACCCCAGGTTACTACGCGTACGTAGAAGGGTCCTACCCTAGACTACCAAACCACACAGCAGTGCTCCAGAGTCCCTGGGTCAAGACGGAGGGTGTCACGTGTCAGTACAACATGTGGTACTTCATGCACGGTATGGATGTTGGAAGTCTGGACATATCGGTCGAGGTTAGTTTTACATAATCATTATCATATTAATAACATTTCTGTCGATCTTCATTATACCTTCCGACTAATATAAACTTTTTATCGCCATGAAGCATCCCCACAATTCAAATGACACGTTCTCAGTACGGTAACGGAACAATCTCCTCCCTCTCCAAACTGGACGGAGAACAAGGCCAGGCATGGATGTTATCCTCCTCTTCCTTCCCCTCCTCCACTGATGGTGTCAGGTTCAGGGTTACCGGCCAGAGAGGTATTAGCTTCACAAGTGATATTGCTATTGATGATCTGAGTGTCGCTAACTGCGCTGGTGAGTGATTGTTCATCCTGATTTCTATCAAGAATCAATTCCGAAGTCTTTTCTCTTTAAGGTCCGACGAAACACATTTTCACGAGAAACCATACAAAAACCTAACTGAAATGATCCACTAACCCCTCCTCCTCCACCTCAGTACAAAAGTATTGCCCGGCTGAGAAGTTCTCCTGTCTGGACAAGCCCCACTGTGTCTCCAACGACATGCTCTGTGATCTCAACTCAGACTGTCCGGACAACTCGGACGAGAACAGACATTGTGGAGCTTGTGATTTCGAGCACAGTAGGTGTGGATTCGTGGGTAGTTTTGGTTTGACCTCCTGGAAGAGAACTAGTGGGTCTACCTGGGCTGCTGGAACTGGACCTAGCTCTGATCACACCAAGGGAACTCCTAATGGTAAAGCTTTGATCAATTCATTTGATGATTTAGTATCAGCTAGGTGTTGGCGAATGAACAGCTCTGTGTAACTTTAACCCTCTCCGTGCCTGTCCTCCCCTCTAAAGTACTCCAGTTCTAACCCCATCAAAACCCCCAGGTTACTACATGCTATTCTCTGCTTCATACCTGAACCCTGGAACCAGTGCCTTCCTGATGAGCACCCAATACCCGCTAACTGCTACAGAGTGTAAACTTGTATTCTACTACCACATGGCTGGTATTGACATGGGCCGGCTTTATGTTGAGGTCAGGTCTAAGCAGAGTAAGGATATGTTCGAGGAGGTATGGTCTATGGAGGGTCATCAGAGCAGCAAGTGGCAACGTGGAGAGGTGAGGAACTAAACAATTTCTTCTATTCGGTCGAAGCATTTCAGTTGTTTTGTATGAACTAACCATTGATATTCTGAGTTGTCGTATGAAACTTTATTCTATATTGTCGTAACTTCTTTTCTCCCAGATCGCACTAGCATCCCTTGTTGACGTACAAGCTCGATGGGTCGGAGTTCGAGGACCGGGAGTCAAGGGAGACATTGCTATAGATGATGTGAGCTACGAGAATTGTGGAGTTAAAACTTGTGATGTTCCTCCCGCAGTACAACCATCTTGTGGTACCCCCGGTATTGGACAGATGGCATGCGAGAAACTAGGCTGCTGTTACAGAGACAAGACCTGCTATCAGAAACTAGGAGTAACAGACCCAACAATAGTGGTATCACCCACCCCTTACGTAGGAGATGAGAGTGATATTGTTACCCTGATGTGTAAAGCCACAAGTAACCCCAACCCCCGGTACTCCTGGTCCCGGGCCTCTGGGGACCCTCTACACCCTGGCAGGGCTACTGTTATGGCTGATGGAACTCTTGTTATCATCGACTCTTCCTTCTACGACTCAGGTAAAGACCTAAACAATGACAGTTTTATGAAATACTGGTTTTCAATTTTAGTTAAGGTCATCGTATTAACTAAAACTGGACTCGTAACGAACGACCAAACCAATATCTCTGAACGTATTCCAATTCCTCAGACACCTACACCTGCTCTGTAACGAACGGTTTGACGACAGTGAACGCTAGTGCTAAGATAGAAATCCACGCTGGTGGAGCCAACTTCGATCTGAACATGTGCAAATGGCACAATGTCCACAAGGGAGACAAATGGGACTGGGCTCGTAACCATGGATACGTGAGTCATATCTGCAGGTGTTCGTTAGACCTAAATTGTACATGTGGGTTAGAAACCTCCAATAGTCCCGAGTTAGGATGACTCATTATGAGTGAGCTGCTGTTTTACACCACTCCTTTGATATGATGAGGCAGTGTAATCACGTACTAAGAAAACTTCAAACAAAGGAACAATATTAACCTGGTTCCACCCCAGGCACCTAATTACTGGCAAGGTACAGGACCAGACAAGGACCACACCTCCGGTTTCGGTTCCTACCTGCTCTTCAACACCCACGCTACCCCCATCAAACAAGGAGACACTGCTAAAATCCACTCAACTTGGCTGACTAAGGGAGCAACTATAAGGGCAGCTGCTGGAAGTAAGTTACAAACAGACCAGGAGCGCGTGCTATTCCGTTTTCTTATTATGATGAGCGCTGTTGAATATGATTTCATAGAATCAAATATCCACCAGCACAAGACGCAGGTGAATTATCAAGCCGAGTTATAAAACATAAAGCGTCTCTTAGTAACCAGCTGATAGGTTGCTCCCCCGCAGGTTGTACACTGAGTTTCTGGCACTACATGAAGGGAACTACAGTAGGCTCTCTGACCACCAGTATTATCGGAACGGACGGCACAGCTCAGGAGCTGAACAAGCTTTCAGGACAACAAGGTAACTTGTGACCATGATGATCTGAGCAACTAATAGATTCACAGGGGTGTTACTTTGCCATAACAGACGTATTGATGTTTCACGGTCTCGTAATCTAAAAAGTCTATTATTATATTTGAACTAAGAGTTACAGTGGTTTCACTTAACGAATGTACTCAGCTGAAGACCCCCCAAAAATAACAATAGTTTTCTCAGCACCTGGATGGACGTTCCAGAGTGTCCCAATACCCAGCAACATGAACAGCTTCAAGATAGAACTAACAGCAACTGCTGGTGGAAACGTGGGAGACATCGCCATTGATGATCTCAAGTTCAGTGGTAAGTTTAGGTCATCTATTTCTTGTAATCAGAATATTAAATCACCTTCATTCAGTACATGAACCTTCTTGTGATGCTAAAGTCAACTGAATCGTACTTTATTTATAAACTAATGTGTTTTTTTTTTCAGGATGTGATCTTTCATACTCATGTCATACTACTGACCACTTCGCTTGTGAGACAGCTGAAAGCAGCAAGCCCAAGTGTATTGACATCGGACAGGTAAGCAGAAACAAAGATTGTACTCAAAGTTTATACTAATACTTCACTTTCTTGTAATCACCCCCTGTACACGCCAGGCATACATCCCACTACCAGTACAGCATAATATAATATATAATATAATTTATTGTAAATATAATATATGTTTCAGAATTATGTAATGTAACGTGATGGAAATATTATAAGCGGGCATATCCTGTCCAAACCCAGGATGCACTACAAGAAGAATTTGTTTTAACTTTTATGAATAAAAAGCATTAATAATATACAGCATAATATAATGCTAATAACGGAATACAACCAGATAAAGTAAAATTTCCCACTTTAATATAATAGTATACTTACTGATTACACCTATTCAGTGCACATCTTGAGCATCTTTTCAATGTTTGTAGTGTATCTGGTCGTTATCCTCTCTCCTCTTCAGAAATGTGACTTCACCTCGGACTGTGCTGATGGTTCAGACGAGGAAGACTGTGCTGACTGTGACTTTGAACAGAGCGAGTGTGGCTACGTTCACGTTCCCAACGTCTGGTTCAACTGGACACGTAACGCAGGGCCCACCTCCAGTATTGGCACCGGGCCAGTGAGGGATCACACTCTGAACACTACAGAAGGTCACTACATGTTCACCGAGGCTAGTTACCCTCAGTGGCAAGGAGATCAGGCTATCTTCTCCTCGCCCCTGTTCCCACTCACTGGAAGTATCTGTAACCTGGAGTTCTGGTATCACATGGAGGGACCTCATGTTGGACAGCTATCAGTCTACGTGAACCACAGCTACGGAGACGAGCAAGTCTTCAAGATGCAGGGTCCTCAGAGTAACATCTGGAACCAAGCCAGCATCCCTATTGGATCTCACAGAAACGTTAACATCTCCTTTATCGGAACCATCGGTGTATCATTCCAAGGTGACATGGCTATTGACGACGTGAAACTGACGAACTGCAAACCAACTGGAACCTGTACTGACGAGGAGTTTATCTGCTCCTCTGGAAACACCTCCTGTACTGACGCCAGGAAAGTGTGTGACTTTGTAAGTGATTGTGCTGATAACAGCGACGAAGCCAACTGTAAGGGTCTCTGTACCTTTGAGGTGGACTACTGTGGTTGGCAGAATGGCACGAATAAGCTTCAATTGGCACGAATCCAGAGTTCAAGATACGGGCATCCTAACTACGATCACACTACCAAGATGAGTGGAGGATGGTTTATAGCCCTGGACGCTGCTACAAGTACTGGTGCTGCTGGAGACAAAGCTACTTTACTATACCCTAAGATCGGTCAAGCCACCAAAGGAAAATGCTACTTCTCTCTATGGTATCACATTGAAGGAGCAGACGTTGGCACCATTAATCTATATGCTAACGACGGATCCGCAGATAAGAAGGTCTGGACAATGAGTGCTGACTCCGGGGCTGGCTGGTATGAAGGTGGTTTCTTCATCGGCAAAGTCAGTTCCATAGCTGTAACCATAGAGGTTGTCAAGGGTAAGGGTAACGCAGGCGACATTGCTATTGATGATGTAGGTTTCCACCGCTGTTTCGACGGAGCTGAAGAATGTATGGCGGATGAGTTCCAATGTGCATCAGGCCAGTGTATCCCAATAGACAAGGTATGTGACTTAGTACAGGACTGTTTCGATAACTCAGATGAGAGCTCCTGTACTGGAAACTGCAACTTTGAGAAGGATACGTGCGGTTGGGAACTTGACGCTGCATACGATGACTTCAACTGGGAGATCGCTCAAGGAGGAACTGGTTCCTACGGTACCGGCCCTGACAACGATCACACACTAGGAACTCCAGCTGGACACTACGTGTTTGTGGAGGGATCCTACCCGCGAGTACAAGGAGACGCTGCCTGGATGAGAAGTCCTTGGTTTATCAATCCTACCAACAACTGTCAGTTCAGCTTCTGGGTCCACATGATGGGCGCTAATATCGGAGAGTTGAACATCTACGTCATCACTACATCCTCTAAAGACCTAGTCTGGACCCTAGCTAAAGAACAAGACGTGGTGTGGGTGCAGCAAACTGTAAAACTACCCCGACTTGACGCTTTCAGGCTCCTCATGGAGGGAGTCATCGGAAACGGCTACGAATCTGACATCTCAATAGATGACATATCCTTCAGAGAATGTGGAATCAGACCACTGTGTAACAGTGATCAGTTTGCTTGTGCTAACGGTTTACAGTGTATTGATAAGGGTCTGGTATGTGACTTTGGATTCGACTGCGAGGACCGATCTGATGAAGCAAAGTGTGGTAACTGTAACTTTGAAGACGGCATGTGTGGTTACAAGAACATCAACGGAGATATCCAGTGGTACAGAGAGAAGAACGGACTACACAGTGACAGTATTGACTGTCAGGTAGATGACGGGAGATACTACAGAGGCACTGAAAACAAGACAGCTAGTGGTAAGACATGTCAGAAGTGGACTAGTCAGTATCCTCACCGTCATGACAGGACTCCTGAAAACTACCCCTACTCTGGTGGGTGCCTTTCTTCTTTTCCGTAATTGGTCGTTTTCAAAGTGAACCGCTTTCAACACTATAACGAAATTACATTTTTGAGGCAACCATACTAATTTTCTCCAGAATTCTAATATTTTATATTAAGCTATAACTCTAACTCCCTCTCTCTCTCTCTCCCAGGACTCGGAGATCACAACTACTGCAGGAACCCTGATGGCGAACCCGGAGTCTGGTGTTACACCACAGATCCTCAGAAGAGATGGGAGCTGTGCGATGTGAAGCAATGTGATTACTATCTCACTACTGAGTGGCACGAGAACAAAGGAGACCAGGCTATAGTTGTGTCTCCTAAACTGGGCACCTCTGGAAAGAACTGTTACCTGACTTACGATATTCAGCTGGATGGTCCCAATATGACTGTGGAACTCTTTGTTAACAGCTCCGGAACTGCTAAATCTATTTCAAGAATAGGTAAGCAGTACGCGGTGAACTCGGATAATGTTTATTTTAACATTACATTTATTGTTTGAACATTTCCAACGAATCTTGGATTATCAGTAAGTAACAACTTTATATCCGCAGGTTCTGGAGACAACACCGGTTCGTTCTGGAACTCAAGTAGTGCAGTAGTTGGAGCAGCTCAAGACTTCCAAGTAACCTTCGTTGCAACCATGAACCTGGACAGATGGGCTCACTATCACCTGGCTATAGATAACATCCAATTCGCACCTGATTGTGCTGCAGTGGCCTCTATCACCAAGTCACCTGTAGACATGGCAACTCCTGCTGGAGCTAAGGCTGTGTTCATGTGCGGAACTAAGGGAGACCCCATGCCAACCGTCACCTGGCATCACCTTGGTGACGCGCTGGGTACGGGTAACTTCACTGGTGACGGTGGTAGGATATGGGTTGATAAGGATAACAGTCTGACCTTCAACTCGACTGTTGTTGCTGATGCTGGAAAATACACGTGTAATGCTACCAATACTCTCGGATCTAAGACCGCATCTGCTCAGCTCGTCGTATTAACGGTAAATATCGTACTTTTCAGACTTTATGAAATTTCGTAGTGCTTTCACATTATTCTTGGGATTTTATTTTTTAAATATATTTTGCTGATCAACTCAACTCTCAGAAATGTGACTTTGAGAGAGACCAGTGTGGCTGGACCAACGTTGCTAACACGGCTGATGACTTCGACTGGGAGAGAGCTCAAGCTGAGACCTTGTCTTACGGAACAGGACCTATTGTGGATCATACCTTAGGATCATCTGACGGTCAGTTCGCGATTATTTTGAATGTTTTTATTATCAAATTTTACTAATAATTAGCATCAACCAGTGTCTGCAGTGTCTGCCGTAATAAGAGAAGCTAATTAAAACTTAATCAATAAAATTATCAAAGTCTGACTCCTCACTTAACCCCAGGCTGGTACATGTTTATCGAAGCGTCCTACCCTCGACTACCAAACGACAAGGCTATCCTCACCCTGCCCCATATCTACAAGACAGGACCGAGATGTGAGCTGAGATTCTGGTATCACATGATGGGATCAGGTATCGGAACCCTCAAAGCAACAGCTAAAGACCACAGCGGAACAGTGATTGCCTCGTGGAGGAAGGATGGTGAGCAGAGTGCTCAGTGGTTACAGGGAGGTCTCTACATGCCACATGCTGATGATGTCACTATCACGTTTGAAGCTGTGAGAGGAATGAACTATGAAGGAGATATTGCCCTGGATGATCTGGAGTTTGTTAACTGTGATATGGATTGTAAGTAATTCTAATGATATCATCAAATTTCAACTCTTGTAGTTGTACGAACAGAATTTCCAGCGTTCCCAAAAATGATTTCAATTATTCGACAGATTTTTTCAATATCTTGACATTGATCAATTTCAGTGAGTCCTGTTTGCGGAGGAACAGAGTTTATCTGTGAATCAGGACAGTGTATCCCACTGAAGGCAGCTTGTGACTCAACGCCTGACTGTTTCGACCACAGTGACGAGGACCCAGCTAACTGCCCTGGTAACTGTGACTTTGAGAGGAGCAACTGTAACTGGAGGGACCAACTCCAGAACACTCAGATGAACTGGACCAGACATCAGGGATACTCTCCTAGTTGGTTCACTGGACCTGATGCTGATCACACAACTGGTTAGTGGCGGATATTATCCGACTTTCTTTAAATCCTGATACTGTCTGTTGAGATTAAGATAGCTCATGATGTCGATATCTTCACCATTACAGCTCATTATTTCTTAAACCGTATCTTCGTTCAGGAACACAAACTGGAACCTACATCTACATCGAAACATCAGACCCCCAACAGCCGGGAGACAAGGCAGCTATCCTCTCACCCAGGATTCAGAAGACCTCTAGTAGATGTTTCATGTCCTTCTGGTACCACATGACTGGATCTCACATCGGCTCTCTAGAGGTAAGAAGACAACATATCTGGCGCGAAAGTAGTGGATTACTTGATTATCTTATTACAGAAATTTTAATATGCATTTTACCCAAATGTAAACCAGTTTTACGGTGTAAATTTAAGATGAGCTAAGACACCCACTTCTCAGTTGTACCAAGTGAACAGATACGGTATCAGAGAGAAGGTTTGGGAGAAAGGAGGTAGAGATATGGGACCAGACTGGCTCCAAGATGGAGTCTATGTTGGTATGAACCAGTTTGTGAGGTACGAGTTTATTGGAACTAAGGGAGATGGTTTCCAGGGTGACATTGCTATTGACGATCTCAACTTCGGCCAGTGTAGTCCATGTAAGTACTGTCCACTTATCAGTATTCAATTTTGTTTCAACTTTTTAGGCTATGTAGCGAAGGTTTTGGTCCTGGTTCTTTCAAATACTTCACTTGACGCTCAATCCTCCCTGAAACTAATCTAAACTTCAGATCTGGATGACTGTGATCCAGTGAACGAGTTCAAATGTTACAACGGACAATGTATCTCCGGAGACAAACTATGTGATCTCAAGAGCGACTGTTTCGACGGATCTGACGAGCGATTCTGTGGTATGTTACATATTCTTAATTCCTGCACCAAATCAAATCAAACCTTTTTGTTACTCGATGACATGACAATTCTTACAACTCAACATTCAACACCTACTCAAATCAACACTTACTATTCAATATTAAGCTGATCTATTTACATAACTATTACCTAGACGCGAACTGTAACTTCGAAGAAGGAATGTGCGGATGGCACAACCTGATCTCGGACATGTTCGACTGGACCAGGTTCAAAGGAGAAACAGCAAGTTACGGCACCGGACCCAGAGTAGATCACACTACCCTTACTGAGGAGGGGTACTACATGTATATTGAGACAAGTCTACCTAGGAAACACGGCGACTCTGCTATTATTCAGTCTCACTGGCTTAGTCTTACTGGAACCAACTGTGTTCTCTCTATCTTCTATCATATGGAGGTAAGAAAATTCAGTAACCACTAACAACCAAGACCCAATGCATTAACAGACCTTACTTTTGAAGCAGTTATCCTTGAAACAAATGCTTAATATTTTCAACTCTTAATGTCTCCTCATCCAGGGTCTGAATCTTGGGGCACTGGCATTAGAAGTTGAGGACAGCTCCACAGGAAAGGCTACCCTCGGTAACCTGACAGCTCAAGCTGATGGCTGGCAACACGGCAGATGGCCTCTCAAGCAGAGCAAGGAGTTCAGGATCAGTATTACTGGTTATGCTGGAGCTAGTTACGATGGAGATATTGCTATTGATGATGTGTCTATTGTCGGATGCAAAGGTTAGCTAATCTTTGTGAGAAGTAGAGTCTCTTTTGTATTTCTGTTCAAGAAGTAAACCTAAAGAGAGCTAGCATCATAGATCTGAGATAAACATTTTGTATTTATTTTATAAATATCTTCCTCTGCAATCAAATAACAAATAAACCCTCCCCAGTGATGAGTTCTTGCGGACAGAGTCAGTTCACCTGTAATAACAAACAGTGTGTATCAATGGCTAGCGAGTGTAACTTCAAGAAGGACTGTTCGGACGGCTCAGACGAGGATAGTTGTCGTAAGTAGTTTACTTCTGAGCAAGAAATTTGAAACTGTAGTAATAGTATACTGAACTGAAACTGGCTGTGGAAATAACAAGAGATAGAGGTCAGGAGGGCTATTAGGAATTACCACAGGACAACCAGACTTTAAACTGCTACTCTAATGGCTACAAAATAGATATTATTGTTGAAGTTGAGGTAGTACCCAGTGCAAATATCTAACAGCTATGAAATTGACTTCGAATTTATCTTCGCTTTGAATAAGCGCCGAGAACGTTTCTGTTGAAATACTCAAAGAAATAGAAAATAAAGCAATGCTGCTGTAAGCTTTGGTGCCACTAGGCGTATAAAATCAAACGATTTAAATGTAGCTGTGATTAAAATAGCTATCAAATTAACTAAATGCTTTTTAATAAACACATTTTTGTAACCCTGACAGATGACGAGCGAGAATTTAAATTAATAACTGCTATGAAATCTCTAAATACATGACTATAATTTTGGGGGAAGAAGAGCCTGGTATATCGAGGTACCCGGTATAGAGAGGCAGGGTATATAGAGGTTCCACTGTAATAGAATGAATATTTAAATTTAAAATCGAACAACAAACAATTGCAATAATTGCCTAATAATGAGTCGGGCTTACTCTAACCTATGGAGACTGCAATTCTGCTGACAGTTCTCTGACTACAGCTTAATAACAAATAATACATCATATTATCGACAGACGACAACTAACAAATACCCCCTCAGCTCTAACATGTGACTTTGAGAAGAACAACACGTGCGGCTGGATAAACGACCCTCAGGCTGACTGGACCTGGGATCTTCACCAGGGTCCTACCTCCTCCCTCCACACCGGTCCTGACACTGATAACACTAAGAAAACAGCACAGGGTAGGTGTAGGGCGGAGGAAACTGAGAATAACTACTTGTTTCGGAAACAAAATATTATATTATTTAATATAATAGTAAATGATAGGGGCATGCAAATTTAGTCGAACCACTGCTAAATACTATGTGCAATATAGTCGAACTAAAAAGTGGTGTTTTGTTGGAGCCGGCTGAAACATTATATCAATGCAAATTTAAGGACAATAATTAGATGTAATATTCTTCATTCAACTTGGTAAAACGTATCGACTAGAAATATGTCATGCATGTTTTATAGAGCTAATTATTGTTTTAATCGATTGTTTATAAAGTTAATCTTCAATTGTAAGGAACTAATTAATGGTTTGAACAAAACCCCTCGGCCCCTCCAGTCCTCTAACAATTCCCCTCCCCTTCAGGAGTTTACCTGTATGTGGAAGCTTCCTTCGCTTACAAGGGACAAGAAGCTCGGCTAGTCAGTGCTCCTTACACAAGATCTGCAGACTCCTGTAAACTCAACCTGTACGCGTACATGTACGGTGGTCATATAGGTAAGTGGAATTTAGTCACTGATGGTTTTAGCTCACACCCTAGTACTTAAACTCCTCATTAAACAAGTGACTCTCAAAAAACAACAAAGTCTGAAGTCCTAGTGACCAATCTTCATTATTCATGACTATTGAGTTTGACCAATCTCCGTGACCATATATTCCGTTCTCCCTCATGGCTCACTCACCCCACTCCTCAGGTTCCCTGTTAGTGCACGTGTACCCCAAGGGACAAGACAAGATACAGGTGTTCAATGAAACTGGAGATCACGGTCAGGGCTGGAAACTATTCTCTGTAGCAATCGGAGCTCACGCTGACTTCCAAGTCTCCGTAATTGCAGTTATGGGTGAAAGTTACGAGGGAGATATTGCTATTGATGACCTGGCCTTTACTGACTGTGAACTGACTGGCGGAGCCACTATCGTTACTCCACCTCAAGACACTAACGGTTTAGTTGGAGATGAGATCAAACTGACTTGTGATGCTAGTGGGGATCCTTTCCCAACCATTACCTGGACTGATGCCAAGAACGCGACTATCCAAGGTAAGGGTCTCGTTATGATGAATTCAACGAGGTTTTTTAATATTTTTGTGGGGGTAACACAGTAATGAATTCTTACATGACTCATGACTGTTAATGAAGAAAGCATCACTATATTAAACATCACCTTCCCTCAGATACAGGCAGGATCAAGCAGACGGGAGATCACGGCAGTATTCTGGATATCACTGAGGCACGGCTAACTGACAACGGACTTTACACCTGCACTGCTTCCAACGGCAAGAGTACAGCTACTGCTTCTGCTCATGTCATTGTTCAAGGTAAGACACGGGGCTAACGTTAATTTCCATACTATTTTCTTTCTGATAGAACTATTTTTTACCGGGTCCATCAAGTTTCACGCTCACCTTCCCCCTCCTCTCAGATCAACCACAGAAGTGCCCATCCGGACGAAAGAGTGACTCAGGTTTCACTCCCTGTACGAACTGTGCTATTGGTAAATATCAGCCAGAGACCGGTAAAACCTCGTGTATGGTCTGTCCGTCAGGACAGACTACAGACTCTGAGGGCAGTACTAGTCTCTCTCAGTGTCACGATGCTAACCAGCCCTGTGCTGTCGGAACCTTCTCTCAGTCGGGTCTACAGCCTTGTGAACCTTGTAATACTGGAAACTTCCAAGATGGTACTGGACAGAAAAATTGTAAACAGTGCAAGCAGAACACCTACCAGGTAAGAGAAAGCAATAATGAGAATACTGTGTCCTAATCACAGTGCAATTTCATTCGAAGGCAGCGACCGTCGACCTTAGCAGAGAGAGACGGAGAGACAGAGAGACAGCAATTTCATACCTCCTTCATGGTTGATAATTTCTTGGTCTGAACCGTTCAATATAATTCAGCTCAAGCATTGCGAGATATTTTGGGCAAAATGCACATTATAAAAACACTTTAAACACTAAACAATCTCTCCAGGACGTGACTGGAAGTAAGAGTTGTACAGCATGTCCACAAGGACAGACCACTAATGGAAACACAGGCTCCAAGTCTAAGAACGACTGTAAGGGAATGTGTGCTCCAGGTCAGTTCTCCACTACCGGCTCTTCTCCGGGCTGTATGGAGTGTGCTAAGGGAACCTACCAGCCTCAACCTGGCCAGACATCTTGTGTGCAGTGTCCCGGCGGAAACACTACTGATCATACCGGCTCTATCTCTAAAGACTCCTGCAAATGTAAGTCTTATTCTAATGCAGTTTGTAGTTGTACGTGACTAGGTTGACGTTGAACTCATAAAATCTCTTAGTCAGCTCATATTCAGTGAATACAGTAACTTTGTCCCCACTATTATTATCGCCACTTACCCTGTCTATTTCTCCCGCTACCCTAACTCCTGGTCCCAAGTGTATGTTCTCTCTAACCCTCTCTCTCTCTCCCCAGTGTACGCCAAATGTCCACCTGGCAAGTTTAATGGAGCTAACGGTTACACTCCCTGTACATTGTGCGCTATCGGCTACTTCAGCAGTGATCCTGGTGCTACATCTTGTCAAAAGTGTAGCAGTGGGTACAGCACCAAGACAACAGGAAGCAAATCCGAAAAGGACTGCACAGGTAAGCACTTGAAAGTTTAAACTTCCTCCTTGGAATCTGCCGTTTTTATTTCACTGGACCTAATCCAGTATATCCAGTATATCAAAGTCCTAAAACAGGTTCCATTCCCTGCATGATTATAACATAGTATCACCACTATGAACTCTGCTAACAATAACTACTCCTTCCTCAGAGCCCCCAGTAACAGAAGGCCCGACAGACCCTACTGGACCCTGCATGCCAGGATCCGCCAGTACCACCGGCAAGGCCCCCTGTGACCCCTGTCCACTGAACCAGTACGCTAAGGGGTACGGTAACACAGCCTGTACTAAGTGTCCTGATGGTCAGGTGACTGACAGTGTGGGAAGTGAGGAACCTGGGGACTGTCATAGTCAGGAGAAACAGACTGGACTCTCTACTGGCACTCTTAGTGTTATAGGTCAGATATTGTAATGAGATGTATTGGTTCTTCACTTAAAGTTCCCGACAATTTTCTATGAAAATAAAGTTACTTAGATATTTTCATCGATGGTATCACTTATACTCAAATCACCTTTGCCCTATCAGGAGTGATAATAGGGGTAGTAGTTCTGGTGTCCGTGGTTGTAGGCTTGTTGTTTGTGAGACACATGAAGATGAACGCTGGCAGCACCAACAGACTGGTTCTGAACGACCAAGTCACTGCCGGCACTTCATCTGGTTATGGAACAGGAGCTGACCCTCCCCGAGGTTTCATGAACCCTATGTACGACGACCCCAACGAACGAGTAAGTACTTAGTATTATTATTTCATACCGTCCAGCAATCGAAGTGGAGTGTATTTCTATCCAAAACCTTGAACTAGACCGCTGACTTAGGTATTAAAGTGTCTGATAATTACCTCAATTTCAGTCGGATAACAAGGCTATCGAATTATCGGAAACAACCCTCGGAGTACTGAACCCAGCGTTCTCGTCTCCCGGCGACGTGTGATGACGTCACAACACATCACATCTGTGTGTGACGTCACTCTGTGACGTCACCAACCTTCGACCCGCTGTACAATGACGTCATAAAAGGACAATAACTCGTGACCACAATACCCTGTGACCGTGTAGTGCATTTATTACGTCATTGTTATTTAGGTTTAGTTGATAGTTTATTCTAATAAGAATAGCATTCATAATAAACTTTGTAAGTTGTATTTTAGATCCGAGTATATTGTTTAAAGACTGCAATGTTATCGAGTTAACCGTCTTCTCTTCTTATCTCGAATAAGTTTATTCTTTCGCGTATTGGGAAGGAAACTTGAACTCGTGACTGTCTCAGATCTGTAAGTTGCGGCGCATTCGAGTGAAATTCGCAACTTTGCTCGGTTGTGTGCAGAAGGGGGTGGTTTGGACTTCATGTTCCCTTGGCAATAAAGACGATTTAAAAATATTTGGTATATTTTAAGTTTTTTGTATATTTTATTTTGTTTCAGCTTTTATTTATACTGGGACCTGCAGGATTGTATTTTCACGTTTACACTTTACACTGACTTATTATATGTTACGTTTTTTGTTTTGTATTGTGAGACTCTTAATTTGTACGAAGTTCGTTGCCAACCTTGATTTTGTATTATCTCTGTTTGTCAATTTTGTTTAGCACTTCTGTAAGAATTTGTTTTCATTTGTAAAAAGTCATGAATCTATTAATTAAATATTGGCAAATCTCTTAGATGAAACAGTTCATCTTGTTCTTAAATCGATCAAAATTACCCAAGTGTAAATTGTAAAGACACATAATTTTCGTAGCTCTACAGCAATTAGTTAAATCTCCAAAAATAACATCTTCACATAACTAGTAGCACTTTGGTCAATTATAATTATATTACCAACTATGAATCGATCACGAAATAACACAACATGTGCTCTGTTTAGTGCTACAGTTTGACTGAGGTCTCAACAAAGGCTCGCACATCTCAGTGTTCTCCTCTGGCTCAGGTTGTAAGGGAGTGCTAATCTCAACATATGACGTCACTGCTGCTTCAGATGACGTCACTGGTACTTCTACTGGTGACATGACTCCTTCCTCACCTTGTAGTGATTTAGGTTTGGGAGCAGGTGTGAAGGATACTGTGGAGATCTTCAGAGATTTTTTGTTGCCGCTGTTCGAGTTGGCTTGTGATGTTGATGTATTTGCTGAGAGTCCGAGTGAATGATTGTAGATACCCAGTAGAGCTGACGAAGTTGAACAAGTGGACTCAGAATCTGATTCAGATTCGGCCTCTTTGAAGCAGTCTACATGCCAAAAATCACTGTCGATTGCCAGAATATCCAGAACGTTATCAAAACTTTTATTGCACACGGAACACTTGACACAATCAACATGATAATGGTTCTCTTCAATAGTCATAACTTGCTCTCCTATAGGCTCCCTGCACTTATTACAGATCTTAGCAAAGTTTCTGAGCCAGCATGGCTCACAATACGGAACACCGTCAGTATCTCTGAAGAATCCTGTGAGAACTACCCCACAATCAGCACACACAAAACACTCAGGGTGCCACTTGTAGTCGAGCGCCACCATAGCGGCTGAACCGAGTGGCTTCTTGCAGTACACACACACATCTACTGTTTTTATCTCTTCTGGTTTTGCTATCTTACATGATACACACAGGATTTTATTGTTTTTTCCGATGAAAATCTCGTCTGAAGGATCAAAGTAACGATCACAAATCCCACAAACAAAACAGTTTCTGTGATAAAACTTGTCCCCCACTCTAACCCCATCAGCAGAAGTAATACTTTCCCTACAAACCGAGCAAGGTATTTGCTGTTCTTCAAGAGTTTTCGAGATGAAATCCATGTTGAGTTCAGTTTCTGATGAGAAATTGTTCGATTCAGATGTCACATCTGGGTGGCCATTTTCCAAAACTGGAGACTGTTCGCTTTCACTGGTTGTAGTAGGGGTTTCTTCTTGAGATTTTATTATCATACTGGTTTCCCGTGGGTTTATTTTCTGGTAAAGAGATTCGGGGACTTCTGTGTGGATTTGCTGGTTTAAATCTTTCATTTTCCTGAAAGTTATGTCTCCTGAAAGCTATGTCAAAGACTAAAATCGTAAAGCTTAAAAGTCATACTCATGGGAAACGATTACCACACAAATTAGATTTGTTAGGTCATCATTGGCAGCAATGAAGTGACTCTTGCAACTAACAACGTTTACCCAATAATGAGGCCAGCCCAAAACTCAAAACTGAGACATTATTCTGATTTTGTTTTTGAGCAGGCACCTTAAATTAAAAATATAAACACGCACGAATGATGAATGAAGTGAAACTAAAAGCCAAAGATTGAAAATTTTACCTGCTAACTTGTGAAGAACAAAGATTATTCACAATTCAGAGGCAAATGGATTAAAGATTATGACCAAAATTAAATCAGGGTGGCGTGCGCTAAGCGCAAGTAATTGTTTAATATATTTACCAGATAACGTAAATGTGTTTTGTTCAGAAACCACGGACACGAGAGAAGAAAGAGAAGACAGAAATAAAACCAGAACAATAAAAGCTGCCGTTATAAATATTATGAAAAGGAGATGACTCTCAAAGACTCGGAGCTGATAGCTTATAGCTTGAAATTTGACGGTATCCCCGACCACCTGCTACGATGTTCGGCATATTCTGGAGATGAATATTATGATGAGTTGTCAAATTTGATAGAGACTTGACATTATAAAGGAGTCAGCTACTTTCATCATATTATTTTTACGATTTTACGGACATGAATAGGTACAGATGCACGAACACACGATTGCACTTGATTGTGCAATATTTAAAAAAATCTATTCGTTGGTAACAGTGCCTACGGCTATTATATGGATCTCTATGGATAAATTTATGATATTATGTTCACTTCACTATTGTCAACAAGGGTATCAACAAATAAGAAGAGGGGAACAAGCTTATAACAGTGTTATAAGTGTTATAACACTCGAACACCTTTAGTTTCACGTCAGCAGTTAGGTAATTATGGTGATTATGGCCCACCTGTTTAACCATTTGGAGTTGTTCTTAGCAAAGGAAACCAGTTGCCATGGCAACTTAGTGAACATGTAGTGGCTAATGTGACCGATATTAAGTATATGTACTAAGATGATGGTATGCACTACACATTACACATTACACATTACACAACCATCACAATCACTGCCATGAAAACTCACTCACTGAAGTAAGAACACAATTATTCAGAGATGGGCAACGAAACAGAAAACCAGAGAAAGCCATTAACTAGTCACATAACAAGTAGAATATGATGCATGGCCACTGCTTTTAAATACATCAGGAGCTCCCGATGACTCATGACCCAGTTGTAGCTCCCGTTTTAGTTGCTATGACAACGAATATTAATCTTTACTAATTCCGATAAGGTTTTTACCTTAACGATGGTAACTTGTTTGTCCCAGACGCCAGTCGGGAGGGATTGCTTCAGAAAGCTTTTAATTTGAAGAGGCTGCGAAGCTGGTATCAAATTAGCTGAAGCTTTTCTGAAACCTGGAACTCTACACCACTAAAATGGATTGTATACCCGCACTATGGACATTTAGGGAACTTCAACTACCTTATTCCCACGTACATCAAAGAGAATAGTCCGGAAAAGACTTAAAATAGGACTCTATAGACAACTCAGTCACGAATAAGTGGTCATGATATGAAGAAATCAGAAATTAAACGATTGTGGAAATACGAGTGACAAATTTGAACGACTGGTGAGTTGCCGAGCTAGCAGTCCTAAAACTAATTTACACTCCGCTCTAATTCAAGAAATGAGCTTTAAATAATATGGTGACGTGGAGAAGAGAAGCTCTGAAAATTCATCTGAATAACCAAATTACTGTCAGCCAGATGACAAATTGCAACCAAATACAGATAGGAACATCAAAAAGAGATAATATTCTTATCAATTGTAGGTACCATTTTGTCAGTGGAAGTGCTATTGAAATATCCATGATAATGATAGCATACCACAAAACCGATTCAAACCGATTAACATATTACTAGAGACTCATCTGATAACAATTACGAAATTCAGAGATTATTTGACTTTGATCATTGAATTTGTTGAGACCCAACCGTAGAGATTGTTGGCACCTACTAAATATCATATTATCGACATTTCTTGACTCCATGGCACGATCTTACCAAAGCTAAATATTGTGAACTGTTCGAAATCCATAAAATGAGGGGGAGGGTTATAATACGATTGAAAATATTCAGCATACATGAAATTGCAACACACTTTGAGTTTGATGAAGCATTGGCCTAGCCAAAGTTTAGTTGAGCCAATAGGAACGTTCAACAAAGAAAAACGATATGATTAAAATATGATGAATGGAACATAAGACATTAACGCTTACTCCTCCAACATTAATATTATATTTGTCAAAAATCACACTCTGCTGATCAAGTAATTCTACCACTATCAAAATCAAACCTTACAAAGAAAGCATCTTATCCGACAACCGCAAATTAATCATTGGTGGAAAAAATCGACAACTCCCGCAGAGTTTGCAGCATGTATTAAATGTATAAATTAAAATTGTGTAATCATCTTGGAAATCTTCCGCAGCTTTCGCTGCTTTAATAAGTTAGATATACAAAATATTTGTGCACGTCTGAAGACTATAAATCAACTTTTAAATTGGTAATAATTTATTAAGCGAATAATTTAAAATAATTTAAATACCTGTGGAAATAATCAGGTTCTATGATGTAATTATTACCTGTGTTTAAAATACAAACATTTATTAAACGTAAAAACTTGCTCCACTCTAAGGGAGCGTAGGTGAGATCATACACACAACACTAATACTATAACATCATCCCACTAGGGAGAAATCCCCACCACTAGGTTCAAGTCCCTATTCCTAATTCCAAGTCCTTTACACTATGTCCACGTCCATACCACTAGGTTCAAGTCTCTATCACTAGGTTGAAGTTCCTGATAGACTAGTTAGCGAACGAGTCTCCGGCAGGCATGATAACCACCTTGTTGTTGTAGCAATGGTTGTTGATGGTGTAGCCTGTACCCTGTACAAGACTGTTCCACTTCCTCTTATCGTACTCCTCACTCCATACCTGCTTGTTGTTCTCTACTCCTTCTTTCGTCATCACGTGACAACCTGAGTTTCAGATCTTGTAAATCAGGACATAGCAATTTGCTGGTTTTTACTTCATCATCAAAATCAATATCTTGTAAATTATCAAACCAGCAAATATAATACGCTACAAACCTTCAGGGTATCCGAAGTACCAGACAGCCTGGACGTGTTGGTGTTGAGCTAGAGTAAGTGAGAGAGGTGACTGAGAGCCGTACACCATGTTCACTACTCCTCCAGGAATGTCACTAGTCGCTATCACCTGGTAAGAGGGGTCTTTAGTATTTATTGTGATAAAATAGAATTTAGTAAGCCTACAGTTAGGTTATTAAACAAGAAATGCGGCCGCTTTTCTTTTGTGGATGGCCGCTCAATTTCCCGATCCGTGATGGAGTATTTTATCATAATCCATACCACCTGGGGACCCCAGTCTTTGCTGTTTATAAGCATGCAGATATGGCGGAGTGACAGGCCGAGCGCCGCCCAGTTGATATAATAATTCCATATTGAATTTGAAAATCGTGTATATTTCTATGTAACAATAGACAGTTTTTGGGTTTTTCCAAATAGTTTCTGATTATTCTGATTTGCGACAAATGATATTGCACTGTTAGGATAAACGACGTTTTAAAGTAACAACTTCTTATTCATGCTGACAAAATTGGTAAATATGTGAGAAAACTGTCTCATAAAATTTATTAATCAAAAATGGCTAAACGACAACAAATTGTTCAAATACTCGACTAAAATTAGAATCAAAATCTATATATATACAACACTACTTGATCTGCTATTCAATAAACTTAAAACATCCACTAAACAGCAAGTACGTGATTGTGATCGTGTGATGGAATGACATGTACAGTGATAACAGATGATTTAAGATGTAAGTGAAAACAGATGATAAGGTAAAAGATACAATACATGTGAGATGGTGTATACACAATGTGAGTGAAAATATAGTGAGTGGTTACTGATTGTGAGCGAGATGTGAAAAAACATTAAAACTTACAACTGCTAGAAAACTTAAACTGTATGCAATAAAAAGGGAATGAAACTAAAATATCTAAAATTCTTCAGTACTAGCTATGATAAAACGTTTAATAGTATCCAGTTCTTCTCTCTTGTTAATTGTAGGGTTCAGATTAATCATAAACATCGCTTCAAAAATCTTTCTTCTGACAGTATTGGGTTCAATTCTTAAAATATCTACTTCTAAACTGGGATTTAACCCCTCATGACAGCTCGAATAATGTATGGCAAAAGCTTGACTAACATTAGAAGGGGTAGCAGGGTAGGTAGCGTAACGTAAGTGTTCTCCTACACGAGCATGTACTTTCCTACTGGTTTCTCCAACGTACAGCTGGTCACATAATTTACACTTAATCTTATATACAACATTCTTCACTTCACAATCTTTATTACAAACTATCAAAGGACAAATTTTACATGAATTAATACTGCACACACGTTTATCATACGGTCTGTTACTACATAAAATATTTCTCAATTTCGAAGTAGGTTTAAAGTTTACTTTAATAGGTAAATTGTTCTGCTTTACATAATTTCTAATCTTATTGCTAGTACTGTCCGAAATAAAATCTAAATTAAGAACTGTCCTGGAATCATCATCAACACTCTGACGCCTGTTAGAATTACTACTGTTACAATAACGTCTTGGGTTCTGGTAACCGTTTTTCTGTAATAGATCATCAAGGAGTCTGAGAGAGTGCTCTATGTAACCATATACCGTATGTTTATTGTTTATGCAACCTGACACGGATCTGTGCAAAATAGTAATACTAACTCAAAATAATAATACTATGCTATCAATTAGTCCCTAGCGGGATGCATACATGGTGAAATTAACAATGTACTTGAACATTTCAGCACCGCGCGCCAACAATTGTTTAATTCAGATGATCGCGCAAAATAACTTTGCGCAGGCAGACACGTGGGCGACACGTACGCTCGCAGGCACGCAGGTCGGTCGCACGCAGGTACGGACGAAAGCTACCATATACAAAAAAAAACCTCGTTCGCTAACCCTTGTCCTTGACTCTTTTGTGCCTTCGGCACTTTGAGTCATGGATCGGGAAAAAATGGTCCTTATAAAAAGGTAAACAGCAGTGTAGGATCTTACGTATATATCTAGATTTCTAACCTGACAGAGATCAGCAGCCACGAGAGGGAACTTGTCACTAGGCAGCACAACCACAGTGTTACCAGCAGCAATAGCAGGGCCGAGCAGAGAGCAGAGTCCCAACATGGGCCACTGAGCAGGTGCTGTGATCCCAATCACACCAACTGGGTCCTTCTGCTCCCAGGGAGAGGAAGCGAACTTGTCGGCCCAGGCTGCTGCCATGAACAGTCTCTGTAGTGACGTATCTACCTGTCATAGGAGAGGGTGAGTTAGATATTTGTACAAAGTAAGAAAGTAGTAAGAGGACCAGGAGACTAGTTTAGAGGGGAACACTCCGACCACCTACTCTTGTGTGCGAATGTATAGTACAGGGATGTACTGGAATGTACAGTATACTATACAGTATACAGGAGCCACATTTTCACATTTTCCAGCCACCTCATCTCTGTAATCTACATCCTTATCCTGAAGGTGAGCATATTGCGAAGTAATGAGTTGATCAGCGCTGACCCAGCATTACTACACGTACAATCGCATTGGAAATATTGAGTTGAGTAGCAATACTGGTCACGAGTGTAAGGTCCCGTGTCTCCCAACATTACAATTCTCCTGTGCCTAGCTTCTCTTGAGACAGTGTTACTGCGGGCGGTATTATCATACTGGCAAATAATTTACTGATTCGTCTGAATTTACATACTTACTTCGTTACTACTATACGAACGCCTTTCACATGCCTGTCTATTATAGACATCACTTATTTTGGATATTGAAATATTCCCCTAGTGAATAATAAATTACCCACATTTTAAATTATCCGACCTCATTGACATGACCTTACTCCCAGGATAGTTCATATGTTAACAAACAAGAGAACACGTGACACACACGTGATACACACGTGACACACACGTGACACAACACAACGCGGTGGTTTGTGGCTTGCTGATCTCCAGTGCTGTTGAATACTGAGGGAGTTCCTGTGCCAACACATGCATACAATGTGGGAATAATAACAAACAAATGAAGATATCTGTATATGTGTAGATCTCTACAAATTATCCAGCACATAGCAGGATGGGAGCTACCAACTCCACACGGAAACAGCTACAGAGGCGGACCTGCCAGACTTGTGGTTATTGTGGGGGTTCCTGTGCCATGTCCTCCAGGAACATACAACTGTAACAAGGAACTTGTGTAAGAACAGAATGCCTTATCCTAGATGTTCAAGGACTATAACAAACTTACTGTCCCTCTTAGAGGTGACATCAATATATTCCTTATCTGAAGGAGCTACCAATTAATGTATTTTGTAAAGTTGTAGTATGTGTTTAATATCGCATTTTATGTATTAAGGGGGGGGGGGGGGGGGGGGGGGGGGGGGGGGGGGGGGGGGGGGGGGACAATGGATATTTTTTTGTGAAACTTGATTTCGAGATAGCAGTTGACCAACAAACTAGGACCAGTGACCGAACTTTTGATGGGGTCCCGGACCCCAACCGCCAAACGGTGCCCGCGGGGAAGCCACGCCCATATTGGGTCCAAATTAGGCCCAATTTAGCCAAATACCCTGAACATGCCCAAAACCCAGATTTTAGATGCTGTACTTGTAGCTAGTGGTCTCCTGAACTCGTATATGAAATTTTACCAAGATTGGACAAAAAATGACTGAGTTATGGGCCAAAAAACCATATGCCCATATTTGGGCATACGCACCAAATTTGGTAGATTTCGTCCCATAAATTGGGCAAATATCAATATTTTTAAATGAAACTTACTTTATATGAAAGGTAAGCCTAATCTGTTTAAATGTGGATACTAAGGCGAAAAAACCACAAAAAATGAACTAAATTGCCCGTATCTTGGTTCGCGATATTCGCGGAATTGATCTCAAAAAAAATTTGGCGGCCAAATTCTGAATTTTTCCGGGAAAATTTTGGAATTTGGCCGCCAAATTTTTTTGGAGGCCTAAATCAAAAATCTGTTCTCAAAATAAGGTGGAAATGCGATTTCGAGTCGATTCCGAAAATTTCATGGAAAAATTTTGAAAACTGATTGAGTTGTTACAATTTTAATGATATCAATTCCGCGAATATCGCAAACCAAGATACGAGCAATTTAGTTCATTTTTTGTGGGTTTTTTCGCCTTAGTATCCACATTTAAACAGATATAAAGCTATAACTTACAGAGAATATGTAGTTTAGGCTTACCTTTCTTATTAAGTAAGTTTCATTTAAAAATATTGATATTTGTCTAATTTATGGGACGAAATCTACCAAATTTGGTGCGTATGCCCAAATATGGGCATATGGTTTTTGGCGCATAACTCAGTCATTTTTTGTCCAATCTTGGTGAAATTTCATATACGAGTTCAGGAGACCACTAGCTACAAGTACAGCACCTGAAATCTGGGTTTTGGGCATGTTCAGGGTATTTGGCTAAATTGGGCCTAATTTGGACCAAATATGGGCGTGGCTGCCCCGCGGGCACCGTTTGGCGGTTGGGGTCCGGGACCCCCTCAAAAGTTCGGTCACTGGTCCTAGTTTGTTGGTCAACTGCTATCTCGAAATCAAGTTTCACAAAAAAATATCCATTGTCCCCCCCCCCCCCCCCTTAAATTAATAATTGTTTTTTATTTCTTAACGTTGGCATAAAAAAATGGGACAAACAATTCTGTGCTACAAAGAACCGATACAAAATAATGAAGAATGTTTGGCTGGATATAGAAAGGTAGGTGATCTCAAAAACCGCTATTTATCGTAAAATGTCACTGCGGATGTTTTACGGCACTTATTGTGCTAGACTTAGTGAAGATACTTGACATCAGATTGTTAGTGTTGAGCTCCTCCCCCCCCCCCCCCCCCCCCCCCCCATGTTGGTAGAATTAGTATGGTTAATTCCTGGAGCAAGGCAGAGAGGAGAACAATCTCTGGTAATAATAGAATAAATAAGCAATTTTATTTCGACTGAGCTACGAAAAAGTATCACCCTGCCTCATTAGCACATTTTTTTTAAATTTAGCAAAATTTAGCTGCCCACTTTTGTCCGCCAATGTCTGCCTATGTCCTGTCCTGTCCTTTTTGGATTCTATGAGACAAGCGGACATAGACGGACGTGTCCCCCCCCCCCCCCCCCCCCCCCGGACGTGTCCTCCCCCCACGATGATATATGAGCCTTTCGGCTACACTAGACCGTCATAGGTAAAATTATACAAACATTACAGTACAAACTTATTAAACTTAACGAAGATATCATCAATAATTGTGCACTGCCAACATTGTTGAAAGTTATGGACATTCTTCTGTTAGTGTTTCTCATTGGTATTAAATTTTTGTAGAAATTTTTTGTTTTATCACATCTGCTCTGTTCAACTTCAATACAGTGTTAGCTAGTTCCCTAGCCGCAATACACCTTTATAAGTTATATACATATTCGAGCCACACGCAAAAATTTCCGGCTACCGCCATTAGATTAAATCACATAATCCTTCCTAAAACAATGGATCAAACAGTACTCGTTACTCGCTACAAGTAGACGGCATAAAAATAGCACAACAGTTAGACAAATCGCGCGAGTATGGCTCTCCCATTCCATACTATACTTAAAGTTCGACACGTACTAAACTTAAGCCTAAGGTAGGACAATTTGTAAATAACTAATTAGAAAAATCTTCTAAAATGACAGTATTAGCAGCTTATTATGTTTATTCAACGTTGTTAAAAATTGTGAGTTATCATGTACATTTGCGAGCTAAAATGTTTGACAACCACAGATCATTTTCAGTAAATTTTCCGTTTTTTTAAGCCGTTGCTGGGCAATTTTCGTTATGTTTAACATAATAAACTTGTTGGGGTGGTTTGTTAACCCAGGCCTGGATAAAACAGCGTATTCTAAACGGACTGGATTTTAGTCTCTACTAAACTATTGTCTACAGGAGACACGTCATAATATATAAGCATAATGATAATATATAAGCATAATGATAATATATTCGATGACCCAGCGGGGTGGGGGGATCAGGTACTTAGTGTCGTACGTGACGTCGACTAAGCGCAGTTTTGGAATTTACAAAAAGGACCCACCCACCCCCTTCACGGTACTAACTGCTTTTTCGGATATTTAGGACACCCACCCCCTTTTGCCGACTTTTGCGGTACTAACTGTTGAGAAATCACGGTACTAACTGTGTCTTGGTATATAAAATAAGATACCCACCCAGAAATTGCTTTAAACAGCTCATTAAACATTGGAAAATGGGCAAATTATAGCCACTATTTAGTAGGGGTTTTGTTTTCAATGTAGTCGAATTAGATAAAAAGTTACAAACAAATTTAAAAATTTTTAAAAACCCAAAAAAATATGACCCACCCACCCAACGTCACGTACGATTCTGACTTTATGATCCCCCCCCCCCCCCCCCCCCCCCCCCCCCCCCCGGGACCCAGTAGAGGAATCTACGAATCCCTCCAAAGTTCAAAGTAAGTATACCCTCATACATAAATTTCTCTTTGATTCGGATAATAAAGGGTTAAGATAATACAGGACCATCGTTCAGATCCATCGTTCAGGATCATTCTTCAGATCCACCGTTTAGGACCATTGTTAAGATCTTCAATAGCTCAATAGTCATTTACAGTTCCTGTCGGCCATTCTCGGTTAGTGAATAGTCATTTACAGTTCCTGTTCAAAGCTATTCTCGTTTATTTAATAGTCATTTATGTAAATCGAATGATAATTTAAATTTACACTATTTAAAGCTATCAAGGTAGCTGGTAAGTTTGATAATTGTAGACGACAGCTGAGTTCAGAATGGTGCAGTTTAATCTTTTCGAAGTTTTGCTACTAATCGCTATCTCTCAAGGTAAGATAATTATTTTCTCCGTGATCAGTTTTTATCTTTAATACTTTAATAGTAAGTTTAAAAACTAAACATAACATTTCCTTATTTGCCGTCACTATTACAATATTTGACCTTGTGTAAAATAGCTGGAAGTCATTGAATAAAAGAGTCTGCCTAATGTTGAATTAGCACTAATAAATCATACTCTCTTCTTGTTAAATATTTTGTACATTATAGAACAGCTTCGTTAGGCACATGATCATTTTGTACATTTCATTACTTGTTTACCACTACGTTTTCCTAGTTTGTCAAGCGGGAGAACTCCAGACAGCCGCTGAATCCTCTTGTACTGGAAACTCTTACAGTGGTCACGTAGACTGCCAGCAGTGTCCTGATGGTACCCTCGCAAATCAGAACAACACAGATTGCTGTAAGTCAATAATTTGTTGAAACTTTCGGTCAATAAAAATAAACTATTAATGGAGACTGTACAAATGTTGAGACATATCATCGTTAGACTTTGCCTGCATGCGTTCCATAATGTTTAGAACACAAAACACTAAACAAGTATTCAATTTCCAGACGAGACTCGCCATTTTGAATCCAGTGAGAGTAAGATAGTATGGGCATATTCGATATCGGAAGGCGTTTTGGGTTGGTGGAAGACAGCAACTATATGGAAACATGTAACCGGTCCTAATAAATGGGCAAACAGATTGGTTCGAGTAGAAATCACGACATCAGCTGCAAATGACGGCCAGGCAATCATTGCATTATATGGCAAAATAGACGAAAACGCGTATAGATTGATATATAAATATGTCCCATCGCATAGATTCACTTGGGTGTCATCTTTGCCGGCTGAAATCAATGAAGATCTACCTCCGTTAGCCGCCTATGACGAAATTTTCCTTCTCATATGCTCACCACCATACTCGAGTTGGTGGATCCAGTCTCACGGTTATAAAGTTGAGATAGAGTATTCAGTTAGAGGTTAGTCTTTTTACATCCTTTAGATTTTAGCAACACCTCTTGACTAATTAGTAGTTAGGTGCATTCTTCTTGAATTACCTAACTACGACGAAGGCATATAATATGACTGACTTAAGCGTTATTATGACCAATAAAATTTGCAGAGCCATGCGGACCAGGCACCTTCAGAGGCACCAGATGTGTTCCTTGTCAGGGAGCCAGTTTCAACCCGTACCCAGGCAGAACAACACCATGTTCTCCTTGTCAAGATAACCAGATCAGCAGTGCAGATAAAACATCCTGTGGTAAGTTAACGCTTTGTACTGTTCTAAAAGACATCATATCAAGTATAAAAGTCGAGTTCAATCGCTTTCAGGGCATGCAGTGGATAAAAGAATTCGAGGAAAAAATCATGGCAAAAACTGTTGTAACCTTCGCCATGGTGAAAAAGTGAAACCACCATGACCGTAAAATTCGGAAGATTCTAACATGGAATTACACTCCAGAGACAGGGTCAGGGTTATGTTCCGGATTGGATCCAGCCTGGACTCTGCTCAGAACATCAGACCAGTTCCCAGTAAAGAGAGGAGCAGAGGTGACAGTGTCATGTGAAGAGGGGTTCCTACTGAGAGGCAGCAACACTATCATCTGTACTGAGGGCATCACCTTCACCAGTGGAACTTTCCCTTCGTGTAAAGCACGTGGTAAGAGAACATTGCCCATAACAAAAGTAGACATTATTCAAAAGATATGTCCAAAAGGCAAACTGCACGGCTGATCATGATCCTCATCCACAGGCTGATCCAAGGGCCCTAAATATTTAAATGTCCTTAACTCAGATATCCAAACATATTAATGTAAAAGTGACTTCAAACACGACGATATGAAATGTATACAATGTCACTACAATCATGTCATAAGTTAGCATTTTCATCTGATGACTTAGTTCAGGGAAATTAATCGCAGCAATTCAATCCTTTATTTACTGAATAACTGACCGGAATAGCCTTTCTCATAAATGTTCTAGATCTTAGATCTATTACTGTAGAAAAACCCTCCAATTTTACAGTTTTTTCCTTGTCGTAGGAGTTGTAACATAAAACTCGTATTTATTTTTCCACCTATGTGTACGTCTTCACAAATACGATGTGCTTTATACTTTAAGTAGATTGCAAAGGTTAAGGTATGTTAGGTAACTGATCAGTGATCATACGCAAAACTGAAAAGGAGTATTTAAGAAGTAAAACTATAAGGTTTAGCTATTAGATTGACTGGTTGTGTAATGTACATACCTCTTGCATTCCATCGTCGTATTTCCTGCCCGTAGACTGAGCAATAACCTCAGCAAAGTCCTCCTTCCGTCGACAGATGTTTTCAGCCAAGAAGTAGAGTATTTGAGATCTGTTGTACCCGCTTTTCCCTGACCAACTGAGGTAATTTTATGGTAATCTATAATGATCTCTAAGGGGATCAGCTCCGAAATTATTAAGTTACATCATGACTCTGGGAATCTAAATAAAAACCAACCCGGGGAAGGCTTTAGCGGCAGCCTCCACTGCATCTCTGACATCCTTTTTAGTAGCATCCGGTAAAGAGCCCAGTACTGTTCCTGTTGAACTGCGTACCTCTCTGTACGAGTCGTTTGCAGAGCGCTTCAATGCTCCTCCTATAAACAACTTTATCGTCCTGTTCACACTGAAACAGGAAAAAGCATTGAGAATTATAAGTTAAAACACTGAAATGTAGAAAGTAGAATTTTGAAAAATAGACAAGATAGTAATGTGTAGATTGTAAATAAATATGGTGGGAAACCATAACGCACCTCTCCTCTGGATCAACTGTAGGTTTGTCGAGTGGAAGAGCAGGAGGGCTTGCTTTTCCAAAGTTCTTAACCAGATTAGGATCTGAAAATTTAACAAATTTACAGACGTAAGTGAAACTTAATTATTTATAAGTTCTGAATTATAGTAACTTAGATCAATCTATTTGTAAATTTAAGCCGGTGAAACGCTCTGGTTCACATTTTAAAACCACAATGTTCACAAACCTATCTTCTCATCAGAGAAAGAGTGTTTAGGAGAAGCTGAAGGAGCCATGTATAGTTTCAGAAGGTCCACCCCTCCACACTGTACTGACCCTGTACAGTTCCTGTACTGAGAAGGCCTGGAAGATTCTCTAATTCCGTGACAGTTCACCCATACTGTTCCAACGTTCAACTGCTTCGTCAGCTGTTACGACAGAACGTTAAAGGGAAATACACATTATTCTAAACCACCAAAATCAAAAACTACATAACCAAACCGCTATGACCATTTCAGGAACAAAATAAAAACAATCGTAGATAAAGTTACCTGCATAATAAGACTGTTCTTCTCGGACCAAACAGAACAACCTACACCCTGTTTAGAGTGATTAATAATCGCTACAGCTTCTTTAGTCGTTCTAAAGGAGGCTACTTTAACAAGAGGGCCCAACATTGCTTCATCCCAGATATCATTGCTGGGTTGAACGTCTAGAAGTACAGTTGGAATCTGGAACGAGCCTTCTGAGGGGAGTGCGGAGGTGCTCTGAAGTGATTATTGTTTTTAAAACTTTGTTACTTGTTGTAAGTTCAACATTTTGATACTTGATTTCCCAAGGGCATTGATGTTTGGTGTAAAACTTATATGTAACGATTACGTTATTAATACCTTATTTAAAAACTCACTTTGAACTGAGAGAGATGGGTGTTGAGAGATACAACTTCTTTGATAGCAGTAATATTTTTTGAAGCAGTAGCTCCGATATCGTTTGAATGATCCATGGCATTGCCAACTCTCAATTTGGAGATTTTCTTCTCCAATCGTTTACAGAACTTCTCATAGCACGAAGTCTGCACAAGTACTTTGCCAACACTATCATATGCCTGACCTGAGAATAGGTGTAGAGGTTAGAAGGTTATTTAGTGAGATATGACAGGTGGCCAATGTTTAGGTGGAACGTTCGCGAACTTCGCGTGTACTTCCTTGCCCAATTTACCGCGTTTATCGTCTTCCTCTAACATGTGATTATTCGATCGAACGTGAATAGCGCGCCCGAGTGCGCGCTTCAAATTATCACAAAAATAGGCTTCGCGCATTCCATATCATGTAATCCAGCAGTGGTACAAAATTGGCACATCACAAAACGTGGTCATATGCCCTGAAACGTACGCTATTTCACATAAGCACGATTTTGGATAATATATTCCACGCAAACAGCTGGATACCGTATTCGTAACTCGTTTCACATGCAGTATCGCTCATTAAACCATCAATAGAGAGAACGGAGCAGAGCGCCAAAATAAATTCAACTATCTTTTTCATGTTTGTAGGCCACTCACTATTTAGATTTTCTTTATCGTGTATAGATAAAATATCACATCTTTACCTGAAGCGTAGAAAGCTTTGTCAGCAAGACAATCTACAGCACTGTCAATATCACTGTTACTAAAGACTATCATGGAGCTCTTGCCAACTTGAGACAGAGATACAGGGATCGGATATTGTAAAGAGTTTACAACTGATCTGCATTCTTCCTTACTGGACAGAGATCCGCTCAACATTGCAACATTCCTGTCTGATAACAGAGCCTGGATGGGTTTATTATCGAGTGAGAGTGGATGATATTTGGCAGCAAAATTTCTGCAAGCCAAGGCCAGTATCAGACATTTTGGGAAGAGGAAATTAGATTTTCTGAACATCTGGAAAGTATCATGTAACCTGAACATTGATAAGTTAATTAGGAATTAATGTGTAGAACTTGTTAATCAGGTAAGATAAGGGGTGTATGCGTCAGGCAGCACACATATAGGAGATATCTGTCCTGCCAGATTGAGAAAAACACAGTGTGAAGCAGAGATTAACATATTTAGTGTGCGCAATGTTCAGTATGTAGTGTTATGATATAAAATATTGCTGAAAGAAGATAAGTAAATACCTGTCTAGCCTCTTCTCCAATAACAACAGATAAAACACCAGAAGGAAGGCCAGCAGTGACACACAGGCCAGCAAATAGTAGGGCAGGGAGGGGGGCTGCTGGAGATACTACCACACAGTTACCAGCTGCTAGGGCTGGTACCACCTGTACAAATATGGGGGCTGTGTTTAGAGTGGTGAACTTAATATTGTTAGATGTTACAAATATGTTATCTAAATACACTATTGTGTAATATATCCTTACAAGATATGTAATATAATATATTTAATAAGCGTTACAAAGTAAACGATGATATTGTCCAACAACGTCGTTTACTTTGTAACGCTTATAAAAAGCTCCTATTTGTTAGAAAAGCACTTAATCGAACACGAGAAACGAACACAAAGTAAAAGTCTAATAACATACCTGTTGAGCTATCTGTGTGAGGGTAGCTACTTCAGGTAGCAATACAGCTACAATACCATGTGACTGGCAATCCTTCACTTCTGAAAGCAAGTTGAGTTACAATAAAATGTAAACAATGTTACATTACAGCTGTGTTCATTATTCCAGTTTCTTGAATGTTCCTGGAATGTTCAGCACTGACTGACTGACTGTTTAGCATTTCATCTTGACTTGCTTCGTCGCAGACTGTTTAATTCTTCCATGCGGTTTAAATATCTAAAACAGATTCCGACAACACGAACTATAACCTGTTGATTACAGTGGTTTCTGAACAGCGAAGGCTCACTGTATTATTATTAAAGTGGTAGGTACATTGTAATAAAGACATGTTAGGAATCCTAATTTCCCAAATTCCTCACAACCCGTGAAATTGCATGTTTTTCAAATAACAGTGATAATGACAATACATCAACAGAAATAAAGCTAATGACGTCAGGATAGACTGATATCAGATTGGGATGGTGTGTGCTCAGATTACCGATTGTATTGTCGTCTAATTGTTCAATGTGTTAGTGTCTGATGTTAACCTGTGTTGTTAGTCTCTGAATCTCACTATATTTGCCTGTGTTGTTAGAGCAACACTTAGCTGTCCATATTTACAATTCAAAGATTGATAAATAAGGGCTCCCCAAAACCGGCTTTGCCACTTTCCAGAACCGTACAGATATGATAACGTATTTTTAAATGATTTGTTTCTTCATTCTCGTCTCTCAGACGTGCTTCAACACGGAAAACAGGCATACTGCTTAATAAATCTCATCATAACTCCAAAATACAGCTTTTCTTTGTCCAAATCATTGATTACTATTTTTCAAGTATTCCTAAGTCATTGCTGAGAGCTCCGACAAGGAAACACTTTACCGTTTGTTTACACAAAGTATACCACATTACACTGAATATCACACCAGATCACAGTATGTATATTGTTTGACATTCTCCGGTGTGTGTAATACTTGCGTTTCCTGACTAGACTGTTTGATTTCGTACTTTACAGTAATTTCAATGCTCCTTCACAGCCCATCTCTCCAGTAGGTCCAGGCACGACGAGATGAACATGTTACTGATATCTTGTTACTGATATCTTGTTACTGATATCTTGTTACTGATATCTTGTTACTGATACCTTGTTAGAGTATGATATGGAAGACATAATACTGATAACGCTCCGGGAAAATGACTTGATCCGCGTGGATAAGAAGATACTAACAGAGAATGGAACTGTGTTCGAACACTTGATAAATGAACTGGGTCACAAGCAACTTGAGATGGACGACTTTGATCCAGGTACGGTGAGACTGTTTATAGAAAGTCTTGCAGAGAAAAGGGTAGAGTACATTGAGGAGACTGATTTTAGGGACCTTCATAAACTGTCTGTAGTGTTTGGGGTCTCGTGGCTGATTGAGTACAGTAGGAAATGGTTGAAAAGCAGAATAGTTGAAATAAACGATTCTACAACAAATCAAAGAAAAATGTTCTTATACGAAGAGTGTTTCTTTATCTGTGACAAATGGAAACTATTCTTATTTGTGGACACTCTTATTTTGAAACTGAGGTTTATGGACAACACATTAATGCTCTCAGAACTGATGAGTCATTCTGGATGTTTGAAGACAAATCACCTAAAATATTTACTACATTTAGCTGGGAGTGACACTGGTATTTTCCTACAGATCATGATTTTTCAGATTAATATTCAGCAATCTGTTGACGAAAATACCAGATTCCTACTACAAAATCTTAATCTGCCTCTTTGTATTCAGCGCGATGAAGATTTGTATCACGAACTGTTTGACCGGTTATCTCAATCATCCAAAACATCAAACGATGATCTGAAAATGGCGCTAGCTCTGACAAATGAAGCAACAAAACAGGTACTAGGCAACAGAAATAGTCCCACAGGTGATGATTTGACGGTGTATGATTCTAGAAAATGGTTTGATATTGAGAAGAGATGTGACAACTTAATGATGATATACGTGTGTGTGGTAGAGGGGATGGTTACCAGTATGTATGATGTTATTGAAATGTCAGCAAGGGTTGTAATGCAATCAGAACCCAGCACGGAGGAGGTTGACGAGTTTTTTGAACAGTTAGAACACTCAGGTGAATCTTTGCAGAAAGTTTCAAATTCTTATGTGGCAATCATAATCTCGGCCTTGAAGTTTACTAATTTTAGTAGTCGTAGGGAAAAATTACAGCTGGTAAGATTATTAGAAATGTTCAACGGAAGTGAAAAACTGTCAGCAAAATTCAGTCAAGTTCAGATAATCGGAGAATTAACGAAAGGATCCTCACTGGCGACGTCTCTTAAAAGTATGATGAAAATCAAAACCCAAGAAAAGTACATTTTCAAATACAAGCACCCCGGACTAAAAGATTGCGAGAGAGAAGGACACTGTGGATTCATGCTAAAATTCAACAAAGAGAACGCAACTTATGAGTTATCTCAAAATCCAAGTGACTACCAGAACAGGAGTATTCACACGCACGATATTTTCAAAGCAGGAAAGATGAGTTGGTACAGTTTGGAGCACGGAGAATCTCGGTTAGGAAGCAAAACAACTCTACCTAAACGGTGGAGATGGGGGTGGTTTGAGTGGGGGTTTAAGTGGTTCAGGAGGGAGGATGGGCTGTATAACATACTCTGGCAGAGTAATCGAGAACAGTTCTGTGTAGATTATGATATTAGCGACCATTTAGCAGCCAGGTCTTAAATCGAATGTGTGAGTAGTAACCTTTGTGTAAGTAACTTTTCTCCAACTTTGGTAGCTACTGATTTTTTTAATATTTGAAATTTTAAATGTACCATAATATCTATAGTTCACATCGCGTTTTAAACCATAACAGATATATTTGTCTTACTAACATTAAACAGGTTCAGTGTAAGTTAGTTCCCACACAACACTAACCAGGAGAGGAGAGTTAACATTAAACAGGTTGTGTAAGTTAGTTCCCACACAACACTAACCAGGAGAGGAGAGTTAACATTGAACATGTTCAGTGTAAGTTAGTTCCCACACAACACTAACCAGGAGAGGAGAGTTAACATTAAACAGGTTGTGTAAGTTAGTTCCCACACAACACTAACCAGGAGAGGAGAGCTAACATTAAACAGGTTGTGTAAGTTAGTTCCCACACAACACTAACCAGGAGAGGAGAGCTAACATTAAACAGGTTGTGTAAGTTAGTTCCCACACAACACTAACCAGGAGAGGAGAGCTAACATTAAACAGGTTGTGTAAGTTAGTTCCCACACAACACTAACCAGGAGAGGAGAGCTAACATTAAACAGGTTGTGTAAGTTAGTTCCCGCACAACACTAACCAGGAGAGGAGAGCTAACATTAAACAGGTTGTGTAAGTTAGTTCCCACACAACACTAACCAGGAGAGGAGAGTTCAGCCCACCCAGTAAAGTGGTAGAGAGTCTGGACCAGGTCAGCTAACATAACATTCTTACACTCGCGTATAGCCACTCCGGTACTGATACACTCCATTACAGCGAGGAGTTTACCTTGCTTCTGTACTTCACGCGTCACACTGCGGTTACAGGGGTTAGGGGTGAGAGTGGCCTGCCTACTAAAGTACGCTAATTATTATTTATTACTGGCGTAAAAAAGCATTCTTATAAATAGATTTCACTGCGTGTGGATGGGAATGTAAACCTAATTCTTAATTTGTTTTGACACGTGAAAATCTTTTTGGGAGCTGACTTGATAAAATTTTCAACATTCCAACACAAACTAACTTCACCTTCCCACCAGTAGTTCAATGCAAAATACGCGACAAACAGCAGCACTCTGACAGCTAACCTGTAAAGGTGTCTGGCTCGAATGTGACCCTGCATCTTACCCCACCCTTCCTTAGCCTCCCTAGCTCCTTTCATCGCTTCAGCAATACTCCCCCCGTTTGTTGGGATGTGTGTGATCAATTTATCAGTGGAGATGTTGGTAACCGTCAACATTTCTCCTGATCCAGGACTCATCTTGTTCATCACAAAGTCTCCTAGTTTCTGTGAGTTGATCCACGCCATGGCAGCAGCATCTGATTCCTTTGCTGAACTGTACTCCAGATTCTTGAAGATAGCTTTCTCCTGCGGTTTGAAGGTCCTAAATAACTCCAGTATTTACTGTAGAGAATCAGAGATGTTAATTGTTGAAATTTAATGTGATACTAATAGCAAACTGTCGTTTGTGTAAATGATAACAGCAATATAATTGTATGCTGAGAGGGGGGGGAGGTGAGCCATATTCGTTTTAACATCTATTCAGCTTCCAGCAGGGACCAATAAACTCTTAGAATCACTGTCATGTTCCAAAGTTCGGTGTAAATATGGCTCTCCTCCCATAGGTAAACAAGTCAAAACTCTTTTGACGAGTAGAAAGCTAATAATTTAAAATGAAATAGTGATAAATATTAAATTAAACGAGCTCTACTTCCATATTTCTTACCTTTGAGACGAAATGTCCGTTCTGTTCATCTTCATTAGCCATGATGATATCTGGCAGCTGCTTGTTCATGCTCACATTCTCATCACTGAACCCTGTCGCACCAACCTGTTAGTTAGACACTTAGTTACTTAGTAGTTAGTACTCTGTACTTACTTGGTAAACCCTGTTAGTTCTAATCTCACGCCACGTGACATGACGTCATTACTCAATTACTGGCATTGAGATTGTAACATTGGCATCAGGAGCAAATGCTTAGTGTATATTTGAATGTTTGCTTTGTAATCATGATATTTTGATGAATAAACAATTTACAAAGCACTAAAATATACTGCTCCATTACCTTTTTGTCAGTTGCTTGTCTTTTGGAAGGGGGAGATTCGCTAGACATTCTACTGTCCTAGATAACAATAAAATGGAGTTGACTAATGTTAACTGAATTACACGATAATATTATTTTATCAGTTAATTAGATTTTGACTAAAGTTAACTTGAGTTATTTGGATAAAATTCTTTTTTCATAACTTTATTCTGATCCGAGTTTTAGAAGCAGAGCTCACAATTTGTAAACTAATTAAACCACAGAATATAAATAGCAGAAGGCTATACACAAGTTACAAATAGAGTGGTCTGACAAAATTTGTAATATACAAAAAAATAAGTCAAGATTTGAGCTAGCAAACTTGAGCAAACCCCATATATTATATTCGCATTTAATTATAAACAAAATCAATAAAATAACTTACTTAAAAGAACATCATATTTTCATCTCATATCTTTGATAAGCTTATTACGTGAATAATACCACTTTTTAATGTAAGTTTTACCCAGTATATCTACTTGAGTGTTAATTGCAAATTCTCTTTCGTAACAACCAGTCTTTATGCTAGACTTTGACCAGGCCGGTTTTTTATGTAATAACTCACCCTTAAAATCCTTTTTTGTTCGTTTGTCAACAAGCAATGAATTACATAAATTCTTAGCTCTTGAACCACGGATTTTCGTCTTCTTTACATTCCTTGAAAATCTGTCATTGTAAAAGCCTTTAAAAATGTTTTGAACCATCGTTGTGGTTTGAGATGTGATATCTTCGATTTGACTAGAAGACAAGCTGTCATGATCTTCAGCATTGAGAATAACTTCATTTTTGATAACTCTGACGAAGTCTTTCGAAAGTTCTAATTCGGAACATTCCTTTTGCTTTCGACATAATCTTTTACATCTATGGTTTGATTTGCCAACACTTTCAGATTGAATCGGCGATGTAGAATTATAAAATTTATAGATTTCATTTTCATTGAGTTCTCTGATAATAGGTCTATAAGGCATCAACTGATAATGTTCATTTACGGCAGCAGAAGCGATGTAAGGTTCACAGTTAATGTGACAAAGATGTGCCAAAGTTGCTACAGCATCCTTTGACTGATGATTAAAGTTAAGTGTTCTTAACTCCTTCAAAAACCTTTTAGAGTGTGTTTTCTCTGGGACACTCTCACGATCTTCTTCAACATCAATTTCTTCAAAATGATCAATATCAAACGCATCTCCATAGATAACATTCTGATCTACACTCTGGTGATCATTACTGTCAATATCTTCTTCTTTATAGGGCTTGACAGCAGGTTCTGTTTTGGAATCCTCAGGGGCATTTGCAGTAAAAATAGACGAAACATCAAAAGTAAAATCATTCTCACAATGTTCTATCTTTGGCTCATCAAAACTGATTTCAGTTTCATTGAACGGATCAGTCTCATTGAAAAGTTCAGTCTCATTGAACATACTGGTAACATCAAAAGTAAAGTCATTCATAGGCATTTCCATAGACTCACTAAGGTCTGGCTCCTGGGTAACTTCCTCTGGAAAATAAAGCTCTGCAATGTTGGCAATATCGTCCATATTCATTGTACCTGAATTGCAAAGGGTAAGAAGAATTAAATAATTATTTGATTTGATGATAATTATAATGATTTTATAACACTAAGTGTACCACAATGTAAAGAGTTGAATTTAATCTTCAATATTCATGTCTTCCTATTGTAATATAATTTATCACACAGATTTTTATCATGATACCAAATTGATACAAACTGAAACAATGAAACACTTTAATTATTAAAAGGAACTGTTACAGCAAAGAAAAAAACAAATTCTACAACGAATGTCAGGTAAACTATAATTATACAGGATCGTATACGATAACTAAATTATAATTTACATTACATTACGATTACCACTTTAATTATCAGTTCAGTAAAAACAACTACAAAGTTTAATCTGACTGTTTTATTCACTTCATCGGTTTTCACTTTTCATAGAACCCGTTTTTTAGGTTAAGTTATAATTTCACAAAAAGTGATCATGCGTTCACTAAGCAATATTGAATCATTTAATCGGATTTGGTGATCTGGAAATATTGAAAGATTTACATCATTACTAAAATATATTACAACTATTACGGGTATCGGCCTTACAAAATGACACGAAAAAGGAGATGGCTCTGAAATGCACAAAAATGAGTTTTGTTCATGTTTTATTATCCAGATAGGTAGTTCAACAGGTATATTTTTCTTCCCGGGGGTTGATTTGATTGAAAAACCGTAAATTTTGCGATAAAAATTGTCATCTTTGAAATCTTCCAAAAAAACATGCCTTACAAAATGACAATTTCGTCACGGCTGTCATTTAAAAAAAAGCAGCCTATAGAAATTTGATTTCACCTAGGACAGTTAGATGAATATAATAGATTGAAGATTAGAATAGCTTTTACAGGAAAAAGGATGATTAAAAAAAGTTGGGCAATTTCGCGTGAGATAGTGCCTTATAAAATGACAACCCAAAACGGCATCACTTCAAATCCGATTTGGGAAAAAGTTTCATTATTCTTTCACGTGTCTTACTGTTAGATATATATGTTGTTTATATTATACCAGTTCTGTTTTTACCAGAATACATTAAAAAAGGAACATTTTTTATACTTTGAAAAATTTTTAAAAATGTCATTTTGTGAGGCGTAAAAATCATTTTTTGTTTTCATACTTGAACACAGTATTTGGTTATATTTGATATTTTCTATGACTGGATAGATCACTTTTCAGTGTTTAGTTAACGTTTGACATGTTTTAGGAGTTGTTATTACTCTCTGCTTTCACAAAATAGAAGCTTTATTTCGTTGAGTTTTGAAATCAGAGTTTGAAATCAAAGAGTTTGAAATCAAAGTTTTGATATCAGAACTGCACTTTTTTAATGCTACTTGATTGTTAACTGTCAGATTATGATTATTTTTAACTCCTTCTTGTATTGACTGTTTCTGATCCATTTTAGATGATGAAAGTAATTCAATCTGAAACATTGTCATTTTGTAAGGCTTTTCGGTGTCATTTTCTGAGGCATTTTGATCAAAATTGATGATCAAACAAACACATTTAGGCTCATTATAAGCTTACTGGGTTTAAGAATACCAATAATTAGGCAAGGGGCACCCAATATAAATATGCCATCTTTGTATCATAAAATAAAACTGTCCTTTTGTGAGGCATAACACTGTCATTTTGTGAGGCTAGGTCATTTTTTTGTCATTTCTTCTACCAAAGTCACTAAATCAGTTTTTTTATTTGACCAAAGTAGTCTTTGATTGACATAAGTCATGGTAGTACCTGGTTTTCTGGGGTTAAATTCTAAACTTTGGTCTCCATTCTGGGTAACAGTTAGGCGGGGCAATGACTGAACAGCAAAAACGTCCATATTTATGTAAGAAATATAGATTCTATGTCATTATCATTCCTTGGGAAGTGTTAATTAATGCTTTATCTTTCATACAGTAAAAGGAATAGGGTTCAATGTATAGGGAACCTAAGCTACAGCATGGTCTATGTGGGCTGTCATTTTGTGAGGCCTGTCATTTTGTAAGGCCGATACCCGTACAATTTGATAAACCCTTTTTTATCATCAAACCGAAAACTTCAAATAAGCGTCCCTTGGATAAAGCTTTCTAAATGTTTAGAAATGTAAAAAAACTATTCAAATCTGCAAACCAATATAAATAAATATGTGGCACTTCCTTAGCCATAGTCTGTCTGATATTCAAATTTAACATTGGGCTGCTGTTTCTTATCCAATCTACTTCTTAACCAATCTACTTATACATAATAGCGAGAAATCGTTCATCATGTCAACAGTACCTTTAACAATCTGAAATGTTATTAATTTACTTTCTTTGTGTATGGGTAGGATTTTTTGCGAAGGTTCCAGATATCAGTAAAGATGTCACGTTTCAGCATAGCACAGGATGTCAATGCACCACCCATTAGAGCACCAGTAAACCCACACATCAAAACATCTTGACCTGTCATGATCAGTCCAGAAATATCTGTTTCTGGTCGCAATGCTGCATTAGCTTCTGGGGCAAATCTATCAACATTGTGATCCAAGCCATAAATCTCACCCTTTGTTGATGAAATGTAGTGGTTGTTTGTCACTGGAGTGCCAATATCCACATAGTCAATATACTCTTCTATCTGAGGGAACAACTGACATGTCTGATCAATCATCTTTTGACCAATTAATTTCTTGGCCCTGTCATAATCATCTCCTCTTCGCTTTAAAGGCTGGTCATCCCACGATTCAAACCACTCCCACTGGGCAAAGGTAACAATTGCTACAGTACTTTTTTCTCGTCTCTCTGGGTGATTATCCCAGTTGGGATCCTTTGTACTAGGAAAGGAAATAAAAAGCAGTGGTATATTCTTGTCAGAAGCATTATGGGCATTCTCTTGGGTAAAGTAATCACATTGAGTCCCAGCCATGGCAGCATGTTCATCAGTAAAAGCCCAAGTATTTTGACGAACAAGGTTCAGTTCCTTTCCACTCCTGTTCAGTCCCAAAAATACACTCATTGTACCCACACCCGCCTTTACCCTGTCCTGTTTAAGAAGTCTAGAGAAGTAGGCAGATGATTTCACTACACTTTCATCCAAAAGTGAGTTACAAGTATTCATCAGTCCTGCAGCTGAAACCACAATCGGACTCTCTAGGAAACAAGATTCATTTTTTCTGGCCACTTGTACACCTCTGACTGCTCCGTTTTCAACTACGATCTTTTCTACCCTGGCATTCACAAGAACCTGTCCCCCACTTTTCTCAATGACTGGAATAATGTTCAACGCTATCTCAGATGCCCCTCCAACAGGGTAAAATCCTCCAGTTCCCGCAAAGTGAGAGACTAATCCCGCTTGGGTCCTGAATGAGGACTCTTCAGGCTCAGTTCCATAATCTCCCCAGCAGTAAGTGAAGACTGTCTGCAAATCTTTGTTTGCTGTTAATCTTTTCACTAATGAGGCAGTTGTTTCTTGACATTTCATCAGTTCATCCTTGAAGACTCCCATCTTGAGAAGAAACTTTGTCAAGGATAATGGCATCAGCTTCAATACTCCAGTTATGGCTTTGGGTAATTGTGAGAATTCTTTTACCAACCGGACATATTCATCAATAGCATCATGTTCTTCAACCGGAAAAAGTGGCTTTAGCTCTTTCGCAAATCTCTGCAAGTCATAGAATATGGGGTACTCTCTCTTATCGTCCCCTACACCAATTGCTACTTTGTCAAATGGGTTCATCAATGGAGCCCATTCAAGCTGGCCATCAGTCAACTGATCCACCAAAACTCTATTGTATCTACCATCATCCATCTCCCCAATATAGTGAATCCCAACATCAAACTCATAATTTTTGTCAACGAAGGAGTGACAACAACCCCCAGCCTGGTCATGCTGCTCCAATACTAATACTTTCTTCCCAATCTTAGAGAGAATGGCAGCTACTGTCATACCCCCTATACCACTTCCAACAACCACAGCATCATAAACCTGCTCTTGAACCTTACCAACTGTAAATGACTGTTTTATAATGGCATCTCGTTTACGGTGATCCATCTCATAGGGCTTTCTAGGGACCCTAGAGTCTGCAGAAAATGGGTTTTTGCTTCCAAAGTCAGGGTAAAACAGCCAAAATACTGTCTTGTGTAGGTATCTTAGTCCAACTATCAAGAAAGCAGCCATTCCAAGGAATATTTTGTAAAGATGAGGGATATTGGAGAACATTACATAATATGCAAGCACCAGGAACGTCAAACTGAATATAGCAACTTCCATCCTGCTGATAATGTTATATGTATATTACAAAAGTTTATTTTTAAAGTAATAAACAGCACAAAGCTAAAATACATAATTTTTCAATAGAGCCTAAAACCTGCACAAGTCCTTTTTTCTGAGTGGTTTGTTTTGTCACCCCTTTCAGAATTTATCTGTTTTTTTTTGTTAGATATTACTATTGCAATATTTTCATTCATTTGAGAACAAATTTGAGAAAATAAAATATTACAGCAAATCATATTACAGTACATTTGTTATCCAATTGTATATATGAGAGAATGAAACACTATATTTATTAAGCAACTGTTACAATACAGGGAAACATAAATACTACAAAACATCATCAAATATTTGGTAAACTTTAACAATTAAAATCAGTAAAAATCAAATAAACATTTTGATCAAATGGAAATTTCAATCAAACAAAAATTTCAATTTTAGTATTTGGTAATAATTTCAACATCTAGTACTTTAATCAGTTAATTTGGTTAAGAATCAGCCAAAATTATTCTCAAGTGAAAATGACCTAAAGTTGTCATCAGTTGAACAGTTAAATCAGCTTCAAAGTTTGGTCTAATCAGTTAATTCACTTCATCGATTTAAAATAGAATCCATTTATACGGTATAAGGTTAAAGTACAACAAGTTACAATGTCTCAAGTATCAATTCTCAAGATTAAAAATGTAAAAAAGATCTAATATTAAAATCTGATTATGTAGCTAAGTATAATACTAAGATAAACATATATTAGACGTATATAATAGGAAAAAACATAAATAAAAGGTCAAAGAGATTTCTGAAACTAGTTCTCACATCTGAGTGTTAAGTAAGTATTTTAAAATCGGTTACAATACTATAATTTTTTCAAGAATTTAAACAGTACAAATAAAAACAAAAATGACATATTATAGGCAACATTTCACCATCTTATCTTAATTTGAATTCAAATTGTACATAATTAATTAGAAATCATTTTTATCTACGCTACAGTACAACAAAGTATTGTGTTATTAGTCCTCCTTTGAGCATTGGTAAGATTTTTTGCGTAAGTTCTCGATATCAGTGAAGATGTCACGTTTCAGCATAGCACAGGATGTCAGTGCACCACCCATTAGAGCACCAGTAAACCCACACATCAAAACATCTTGACCTGTCATGATCAGTCCAGAAATATCTGTTTCTGGTCTCAATGCTGCATTAGCTTCTGGGGCAAATCTATCAACATTGTGATCTAAGCCATAAATCTCACCCTTTGATGATGAAATGTAGCTGTTGTTTGTCACTGGAGTGCCAATATCCACATAGTCAATATACTCTTCTATCTGAGGGAACAACTGACATGTCTGATCAATCATCTTTTGACCAATTAATTTCTTGGCCCTATCATAATCATCTCCTCTTCGTTTTAGAGGCTGATCATCCCATGATTCAAACCACTTCCACTGGGCAAAGGTAACAATTGCTACAGTACTTTTTTCTCGTCTCTCTGGGTGATTATCCCAGTTGGGATCCTTTGTACTAGGAAAGGAAATAAAAAGAAGTGGTATATTTTTGTCAGAAGCATCATGGGCATTCTCTTGGGTAAAGTAATCACATTGAGTCCCAGCCATGGCAGCCTGTTCATCACTAAAAGCCCAAGTATTTTGACGAACAAGGTTCAGTTCCTTTCCACTCCTGTTCAGTCCCAAGAAGACATTCATTGTACCCACACCTGATTTTACCCTGTCATTTTTAAGAAGTCTAGAGAAGTAGGCAGATGATTTCACCACACTCTCATCCAACAGAGAGTTACAAGTATTCATCAGTCCTGCAGCTGAAACCACAATTGGACACTCTAGGAAACAAGATTCATTTTTTCTGGCCACTTGTACACCCTTCACTGCTCCGTTTGCAACTACGATCTTTTCTACCCTGGCATTCACAAGAACCTGTCCCCCACTTTTCTCAATGACTGGAATAATGTTCAACGCTATCTCAGATGCCCCTCCAACAGGGTAAAATCCTCCAGTTCCTCCAAAGTGATTTATCAGTCCAGCTTGAGTCTCAAATGAAGATTCTTCTGGCTCAGATCCATAATCTCCCCAGGAGTAAGTGAAGACTGTCTGCAGATCTTTGTTTGATGTTAATCTTTTAACTACTGAGGCAGTTGTTTCTTGGCATTTCATAAGTTCATTCTTGAAGATTCCCATCTTGAGAAGAAGTTTAGTCAAAGGTAGTGGCATGAGCTTCAACACTGCAGTTATGACTTCAGGTAATTCTGAGAATTCTTTTACCAACCGGATATATTCATCAATAGCACCATGTTCTTCAACTGGGAAACGCAGCTTCAGCTCTTTTGCAAACCTCTGCATGTCATAATATATTGGGTACTGTCTCATATCATCCCCTAGACCAATGGATACCTTGTCAAATGGGTTCATCAATGGAGCCCATTCAAGCTGGCCTTCTGTCAACTGATCCACCAAAACTCTGTTGTATTTACCATCATCTATCTCTCCAATGTAGTGAATGCCAACGTCAAACTCATAATTTTTGTCAACAAAGGTGTGACAACAACCCCCAGCCTGGTCATGCTGCTCCAATACTAATACTTTCTTCCCAATCTTAGAGAGAATGGCAGCTACTGTCATACCCCCTATACCACTTCCAACAACCACAGCATCATAAACCTGCTCTTGAACCTTACCAACTGTAAATGACTGTTTTATAATGGCATCTCGTTTACGGTGATCCATCTCATAGGGCTTTCTAGGGACCCTAGAGTCTGCAGAAAATGGGTTTTTGCTTCCAAAGTCAGGGTAAAACAGCCAAAATACTGTCTTATGTAGGTATCTTAGTCCTGCTATTAAAACAACAGCCACTCCAAGGAAAAGTTTGGAAAGAGGAGGGATATTGGAGAACAGCACATAATATGCAAGCACAAGGAACGTCAAACTGAATATAGCAACTTCCATCCTGCTGATATGATAGAAAAGATTATTTGGGCGATGTGCAGTAGGCAGCTCAGTATTCCGTTCTTAAAGTAAGTGGGATTCCATAAGCAAACATAAAAGTTTAGTGTAGGTGTATATTAAACTTCTATTTCTTTATAAGCTATTGCGAAAAAGGAAAATCTTAATAATCAGGAATTGTTTATAAGAAACTGCTGATAAAATTACAGCCATGAATCAAAATCTAGAAAAAAATATAAGACTAACTTTAAACTCATGAGTGCTAAGAATATTGCGTCGGGTATTTAATATATGAACAAGAAGTGTAGACTTAAATTAGGCTGAGGTTATTGGATCAAAATAGCCAATAGAGCATTATTCATAACTCATAAGCCCAACTCTACCAAGAAGTATAAATCATAGTCCATAGAACAAAATCTCTTTTAACTCTCTTATTACAGTCGACACCGCCTGAAGGTGACTGCATAACAACGGATCAACGTGGAATCATACGATAATAGGCTTGCAGCTTCCGATGACAATGTGTTCGATGTTGGTTTTAATCTGGTGTCATGCTTGAGTTGGTTTTGGGCCTTTTCATGTTTATATTTTATTTGTTATTGGTATTTGATATTATAAGCTAATATGAACATATACATTTAGTATCTAAAAGTGTATAGCGAGCATATTTAACAATTTCATAGTCAATAATGTATTGTGATGACTGAAATATCGCATGTCAATCACAGTGGCGTAACGTTGCCTGTTGGCGCCTCCCCCCCCCCCCCCCCCCCCCCCGAAAAAGCGCCTCCTGTTGGCGCCCCCTCCCCTTTGGTGCCCCTCCCTAAAATTGAAAAAATTAGGTGATTTTAGAGGATACGCCGGTAAAATCTCTAAAAAAGTGTGTATCTAGAGCAAAACACACAGTTTTGCTAGTACTTTAGTTATGTTTTCGAAATTGTCCCATATTCAAACGACGATTTGGCGCCCCCCTAAGACGGCAGGGTCAGCGGGGCCCTTCGTTACGCCACTGGTCAATCATATAACTTAATTTTATAAGTTTTTTATAAGGAAAACAAAATTAATGTCAGACCCGTCACCACTCTCAGCAGTCAACCAGGGCTCATAAAAGCTTAATAGCGCCTGGGTCCTTTCACCAGCTGTGGCAATGTGAGTGGTGGTGTGGTCAGACTCACTTTAACAGCGTGTATTATTAGTAAATACAAGCGCGCTAGCTGCTAGTATACTTGTATTACCTACTTTGAAATCAAGTTTATTCAGATATAATATATTTATTAATTGATTGTGTATTGAATTGGTGATAAATAATAAGAGTATGGATATTATAAAATATGTTTTGTTTCCCTGTAAACAATTTTATGTTAACATTATGTTTTACAAAGTTGTAATCAGCTCGGTCAGACACAATTTATGATTACAATTCTAAAATTACAATATTGGAAGAATCATCTTTTTTAACTAAATTTAAATTTAAATTTTATGTTTTAGCTAAAATTTAAATTTAAAGAAGAGAAAAATCAACAATAAACTATTACAGGTTAGATGTTTACCTGAGTTCTATATCTTTCGATAGCAACTCCATCTATAAATCTGATTAGCAAGTCATTCTGTATTCCACCAGTACTTGTGATCCTGGTTGCAGCTTTCAACATGTTTTATGGGCCCAACACTCAGCTTTCACAGTTTATGACTTCTGGCCTCCTTGCGATGTCGTAGCAGGTAGACCATTTCTTGTTGTCGCGGGCTAACCAGATTGTATAGGAACATCGAAGAGCGACCAAAGCAGCCTCATTCAGGGCTTTATTCTTCGTTCTCTTCGCCAAACCAAAGTAGTTGAATAGAGCTGGTACAGTATGGTGCCAGAAGCCCCTACACCCAATCTCTACCGTAAAGAGCAGAGCTTTCCAACCGCACCCGTCGATGCCAGGAATCAGCTCTCTGTTGTAGCGTGCTTCTTTACGTGCTACTTGGTCACTGAAGTTACTCTCGTCACCACAAGTCAGTTCAATCAGAACTACTTCTCTCAAAATATCCGACCATACTACAATGTCGGGTCTCTCCGCTGTGTTGTAGATGTGCTGTGGGAACTGGGCAGGTAGTGTATCCTCGTCCCATATCAGCTTCCAGTCTTTCGCTCTCTCAAAGGGCCTCTCAATCCTCAACTTTGGCTTTGGGTGTTCATACTTCCCATCCTTCGACTTGAACCGTATCCATTCTTTGTCGGAGGTCGTGGAACCTGAGGAATTGTACATCTTGAGTTGGTCAAGCAAGGCTCCGGCTATAACACGTAGGACGTTGTCATGTCTCCAGTTGTACCTTTTGGAGTTTCTTGCTATACTGCAGACGGCTAGGATGTGCTTGATGTTGCACGTCTTCCAACCACAAAGTGTACAATTTCCTGTACTTGAGTAGTTCCACAGTTTCATGTTTGCAGGGGTATTAGCCACGTCGTGTGTCGAGTTTAGGTGGAATTTAAGGAGGGCCGGGCTCATCTTGTAGTTGTAGACAAGGCTGTTCCATCCTAAGTCTAACTGCATTGTGTTCTCCCATGTCAAGAACTTGCCCTGTACTCCCTTGTTTACCAGGGTGACTAGCATGTCGTTCTCTGACACCGATTCTACCAGTTGTCTTAGCTTCTGCCTCTCAGTCAACTTTGGTTTGCATCCGAGTCCTACTCGGTCTTTAGTCACTACTCCAACCAACTCCTGGAAGTAAAGATCTCGCTCTCTTGCCGTCAGCTCCGTTGTATAAGACCATCTCGGGCTGTTCTCCTGTTTCTCTCTCTTGTTATTATAGGCTTCTACAACTTTGGTGTCATCATTGATTCACGATGTCAATCCTTCGCAGCTCGGTGAGGCACAGTGGTGCATCTCGCCGATCTACCGAATGGTGGTTGCGAGAAGCATTATTTGATGCGCGCGCGACCCAGTAGTGCATCGCGCTACAAGTGTCATCACTGTTCTTCAGGGCGTGTCCCTTTGATACCTGAAGAGACTTGTATAAGTCACTTAGCTTCTTCAAGTTTAGCCCGAAGTAATCCTTGCTCCTGTACAGGACTGTCACAGTAATTGATCTAGTAACACCCAACCACTTCTTCAAGAATCTGGTGCAGATAGCATCCAGTTCGTACACAAAACTTACAGGAAGGTTGTAAATCATCAGATCCCAGGACATCTTGCTAGTCAGCATGTTAAAAACTTATGTTTTTTTGTTTTTGTTCAAAAATTTTGAAAATTTTCATTGTATCATGTCGTGACCCCCATTGTCGTTTCACTGAGATCCTTGCTCTAACCAGAGCCCTCTCGCTTAACTTGCAGTAGCGCGCGATCACCGCCGAACGCGGCACGGGAGTATATTCTAATTGTGAAACAAGCGAGTCACGCAGTACGTGTATACACTTGTATCACGTGGTAACCCCCACTGTCGCTTCACTGTAGAGTTTCGACGCGATACAGGGGAGCCGCGCACTCGTGCGCGGCGGGTCATACAACGTATGACAATGCAGACCGGCGAGATGCGAAGGATTGACATTGTGAATCAAATTGTATTGTTAAGCTACTTATAATTACGACTTTGAAAAATTCAAAAATAATTTTTACTTTACAACATACGTCATACAAGTTTAAGCCCAAATTTCAAAAAAAGGCGTACAAATTTTTATTCGAATTTTGCTTTACAAAAACAAACGGTGTGAACCAAATTTCGTCGCGTGTAATTTTGATTGTGCTTCTGGAGTTTAGTAAAATTATGTTTTTGCATTTTTAATTTTGCTTTGACAACAAATTTTGGAACCAAATTTATAAAAATGTGTATACCAAATGTATAATACTTATGTGTTATATATATTATGGTGCTGCGCTTATCGTGTATATTCGCATATTAAATATGCATACATGTAGCTTGCTTTTTTGTTGGCTGTGCATGAGTGCACAAAAATATCGAATAGAAAAGATTGCCTCAATTGACGATGTCAATTCATTGCAGCTAGCTCGGTGAGGCACAGTAGCGCGCGCATGCGAGAAGCACAATTGAGTGCGCGGCGCGGCACAGTAACGCATTGCGCTACAAAGATTGCCCCAATAAATAAGCTGGAAGTAAGAAATGAAACACTTACCCTAAAGAAATGTTAAATAAGGCACCGGATAATTGTTAAATCAATTACTATTATTTTGGATAAAAATATAGAAAATTTACTAACACAAAAGTACGCCGCGCATCACACAAATTTGTAGTATCCTGTTAAGCTTTTAAAATCGAGCGCTATAATTTTGTAAATATTATAAATATTACATTGTGAAATATTGATCGCTCTTAATTTGTTATTCTTCTGTTGCAAGTTTTTATATTGTCACCGGATGGGGGTTCCTAACTTCTCGATAATTGGTCTTCGTAATACTATTAACATGATTACACATCTATATCTCATTCTACATTACTTCTTGTCGATTCAAATGTAATTTTCTCCAAATATTGTGGAGCACACTTGTTAACAAGGTTTTGATTTCAATACCTATAAACTATTGTGATCTTAATTGAAGTTCATTCAAGTCACAACATACATACATGCTACATGAAGAGGTCTCCTCCTAGTCGTTGGAGTGGCCTGCATCACACACATCTCTTCTACGGCGTAACATGTTCCTCCATTCCACTCGTTTTAGAGCCAACTGTTTTACTGCATCTCTGCTGATGTTATCGACACCTGTAAATTCAGCATCCTCGAGTACACAGGCCATCCAGCCTTTGTGGGGTCGTCTTCTCAGTCTCTTTCCATAGTTTGGTTT